AGTACTTGACCATGGGAAGGAGGAAAGGACGTCCCGGGAAGACGAGGAGTTGACCTACCAGGAGGATTTCTGTACTACAGAATGACCGCTACCGGCGAGGAAGCTGGTGGTTAAGCGGCGGATGTTCCCTGGGGGTCCTGATCGCCGGGACGGCCATAGGAATCATGCTCTGGAGGAGAACGTCTCGTGGCGAGGTTACGCAGACCACCGCGCCTTNGAACCGACGAAATCGATGCACGTATTCCAGTCCTGTAAGTACAACTTTTGTCAATTGGTTGGCGGGAGATTTGGAGAACAGTGGGCGATTTCGGCTACTTTTAATACGGCTATCCCAATAATTAAGCCCCTAGTAGTAAGAGTTAGTTCTAGAGAGTAAGAGCCCTAGTTATAAGTATCTAGAGATAGTTTTCCAATAATAGGGTTGTATATGAATTGTTAAATAAGAAATAAGAGTGCTAATTATAACCAGGGCTAGAGCGTTATTCACTAGTTGTTTGTACATATTGGGAATTGTTTAGTCACAACAATAAAGGGACTTGATTGTTTGGTCCGAATTCTTGTGTCTTTTCCCCAAACCCCCTTGGCCAGAACTAGTAGTAAGTAAGAAAAGGGTGTTCACCCGTCGAGCCCGGGCAACCTAACACATGTTACCCCAAAAAGGCTTGACGGGCTTAGAGTGGAGTAGCTCGCTGCCCCCTCGGAACGCCCTAGCGAGCGACGGGCACGAAAAGGAAACCGCCGCCCGGCCGCTCGTCACAATATCTAATACTAGTTTTATTAAATTAGATAAAAATGAAGTATTGTTAAATAAAAAAATTGTATCGATATTTGAAGAATCGAAAGTTATATTTACACAAACCGACATGTTTAGAGTGGCGAAAGCTAATATATCTTTTGAAGATTTACATAAGCTAAATGTAAAAATGCAACTATTAGAACTATTAGATGTTCCCTCGACATTATAAACAATTTATGTTTATGTTATAATTTGTATGGGCATTCTGTCAATATTCTTCATGTTAGTGTATTTTCGCCGTCACCATAAAGAAGACCCTCGTCAAGAAGGGGCGACTCAGCCGATACCTGCGTCTATTTCTAAAGGACTGCCTTTTTTCTCGCTGGAGCGAGGGGGAGTTAGGGAACTTAGGACTTAGGGACGGAGGAGTTATGGAGGAACCAAACGCCCCTCAGACCAACACGGCAGCAAAGTCTGGCGGGTCCAGATGGCCGCCCAACATCTTAATCGGCATTTTTTTAAACTAGCATAAAAACCCTAATCCCCAAATATCCTTGTCTTACTCTTACGACAGCCTTCTGCCCGACACTCTGTCGGTTTAAAGTTAAACATTGTACAGTTTTGACAATAAAGTTTCTTCTTTTTTTTAAAAAGTATTCTTCGAGCGATTACTTAACTATCGATGACTAGGCGCCACTTTTTTCGTCCAGAGGCGCGCCACTTTTTTCGTCTAGAGGCAAGTTTTTTGGGACGACCCAAACTGGGGCTGAATATGGGGAAAATGATGATTTGTTTTAACATTTTTTCAATTTGGTTATTTACTTCGTCTTTAAATATTTGCGGGTATTTGTAGGTTTTAGAGTAGACGGGTATTTAATCGGTGGTCCGTATTTTGTGCCTAATTTGATTTGTGAACGTTAGTTTATCTCCGTCTAAGTAGAAAATGTCAAAAATTCTGTCCCTAGGTTTGTCACGGCATTTTTTTCTTCGGCATTTAAGTGTTCTGTTCTAATTTTATTATTATTTGGAAATCGTGAGACGCGGTCTGATGTAACGTAGGTTTCAGAAAAACATTTTCTTTATCGTGCCAACGTTTCGATCTTTATTGAGATCATCTTCAGGGCCTGGGATTTACAAACATGTTTACATATAACAATTACATTTTGGATGTGGAAAAAAGTGAATTTATACAGTGCAAAAAAAAAATTTATATTCAATCCAAGTATTTCTACTAACTCAAAGTGTTTGTTTTCTGGGTAATTGTGCCATTCTGCTGTTTTACTCTCAGACACATCAGACCGCATCTCACGATTTTCAAATAATCATAGGCTAACGGTCACCAATCACCACACATTTCTAATTTTATTGGGGTCAAATTTTGCTTTGTTTTGAGTCATCAAGTTGAAGTTGTTAGTACTTTTTTGTACAATGAAGTCATTGATGTTTTCAACCGTAATCGGGTGCTCTAACTTTATCTCTATATCATTTTCTGTGTCGTTTTTCACCATACAAAGGGCTGAGCTATTTTTTATGTTTATCAAACCCTCAGAGATTTCTAATTTATTTACTTTAATGTTTCTCAATAATGCTTGTACGTAACGGTCATTTTTTATTTTAATGGGGATGATTTTTTCGGAATTTGCCTCTATTATCAATCCGGTTTGTGTGATGTTCTGGGTCGAATCGGATTGTTCGTCCCTAGAATCAGCTTCATCCGAAGTTTTAAGATAAGCAATTGAGAATTCTTTCCCTTGTATTTTTATTTTATTTTTTGAAAGATCAATTTTTGCTTTGAGAATTTTAATATTGTCTGTCCCTAGTAATAGGGCAAACTTTGGGTGAAAATAAAACATAAGGAATTCAAGGTCTGATTTTTCAGCGATTGAGAGATCGTTTGAATTCATAAGTGTACTGTAATTTTCCCTTGAGGAGCCATGAGTGGTGATCACTTCAAATAGCTTGTATTTTATTTTAGCGTTGAAACGTTTTTTTGCTAGTTCTGGATTTATGAACGACCTCGTACTTCCAGTGTCGATTAGGATTTTAACATCTGTCTTTTTGTCTTCTATATAAGGAAGTTCGTCGTTCTTGTCGCGTTCAATGTTCATTATGTGAAATGTTGTGAAGTTGGGCCTACTTTAAAAAAAAGAGTTCTGTTCGGGGTTTGACCGTTTTTCCGTGTGTTGACCAAAATTGGGATTTTGGGAAATGTTCCTTGTTGATATGCTCATTGGTGTTATTGGGGGTAGTGATGGCTTTTTGTTACTATATTGCAAAGGTTGACGGTTTTGGTGTGAGGGTTGGTTCTGATTATAAAATTGGCGGTTTTGAAAAAATTGTTGACGGTTTTGATAGTTTTGAGGGAAAGGTGGGCGGTTTTGGTGAGTGAATTTGTTTGGAGGTGCTATTGTTGATTAGTTAGTTTTTAAGCATTGAATGTCATTTCGTAATAATATCTCAATGTCCATCAGTGTTTGTGGGTTTCTGGTGGCCAAATTATTTCGCCAGGGATCTCTGAGACCAGATATTACATGTAAAACTGTTAGTTTTTCATTGTAATCTCCGATAGTATTTGCGTTGATGTTGTTTTCGGTGTAAAGTTTGGATTTGTAAGTTCCGAACTTTTCTATTATTTCTTTAACATATTCTAACGGATCTTTTGTGCATTTAGAGTTTAATATTTCAAATAATAAACTATGAGAATTTTGAGTGGTTGAAAATTTTGTTATTAGAAATTTTTTTAATGTATTCCAATCTGCAAAATCTGAATCATGGAGGATTTCTGCCGCTCTTCCGATTAATTTTCTTTTAATCGCACTTCTTTTTGCAAGCTCGCTGATTGTGGGAACGATCGAATTCAAAATTGAAGTTACTTCTTCGACTTTCTTGATAAAATGTGCTAGTTTTTTCGGATTTCCGTCATAGTTCGGAATTCTATCAGTGAATACTTTTATTTCTGTTAGCGACGCCATGTTACGTACACTAATGTCTGTTATAGAAAGTTTGTTTAATTGTGTGATCAATTGCTCAATTGTGAATTAAACTTACAGAACGTAGATTGCAGAGTTGCACATGATAGTTTCTTCACAGCAAGAAGGATCTGGTAGGTCTTGTAGATCGCGGTAACATGTACGCCGTTCCCGTGAATCTAGTCCAATTCTACTGCGCCAGTTATAAATTTGACTCGACACTCGTTTTTAAAAAAGATTTATTTGTTACATATTATTAAAGTTTACAATTAACTTTACATAAAAGCGAATAACTTGTAAAATAAAAATTAGGACGAGGTCGTGAAGGTGCGGTTCACTCCGAGTCTGAGTCTGTTTTGAAAATGGTGGGAGAGGGTCTAATATAGCCTGAGTTGCTGAGTCTACAGGATCTATTATGATGACAGAAGCAGCCGTTGCGGATGTAACTTAATTTATATTTTAATTAATTTATTTTATTTTAATTGTAAACTTTCAATAATTAATTAAGTTAAATATTACTGGGCGTTTAAAACTAGTAGAACGCCCAATATCGTTTGAAAGACACAAAAAAAGGAAAAATTGTGGAGGGCCTGAGCCGTTTGTCAGCCAATGAACTTCCCCCTTTATATATATCATAGGACGCCTAATATCATATAAAGTATGAGAGAGGGGGTATACATAAAATATGATACAAAACAGAAGCGGCAACGTCTTTGAACTATCAAGACAGTGATCTGCCAAGTGTTGTAAAATATATGTGGAGCATAAAAAGATTTAATTAAATATTCATCAGCGATAATTCAGACTGATCAAAATGAACCCAAAATATTTCAAAAGATTAATTTTAGCGTTATATATACGAGTGAAAAGAATAAGTTTTGTTAGAATATATATATATATAAAGTTGCATAGGATTGAGAAAAGCTAAATGATTAAAAAGTGGCTTTTTATTCCATGCTTAAGTCTAAGTCTATGGGCTGCAAATTGGATAAAATAATATAAAGTATTCAAATTGTGTATATTTTTGAATGAGAAACATCAAAATCGTTTATCGTGCAACGATAAAACGTACATTCAGGTACAATCAATCAACCAGCTTATAAACATTGATTCCAATAAATGCTAAACCTTATTGTATTATATATTTTTTTAAATTTTATTATATAATACATATTTGATATAACAAACTTGAAATGGATTTTATTTATTGTTTTATAGAAATAATAATCATGGATTCGAGGAATAAATATGGAGGAAAGGATTCGGGTATTTAAAAAAATAAATTAATAAAAAAATAAAAATGAAAAGTTGAAGTATATTTTAATCCATAATTATTAATTTACATAACACATAAGTTTGGAATAATTCATATTGGTGTTTGTTAACCTGAAAAAAATTAACAAAATACATAATTAGTAATAACTTTGGTGGTAATATAATTTCTGGATCTTACCTACAAATTTTGGATTTAGTTTTTAATATAATTTGCCTCAATATAATGGTATAAAACAACCAACAGGAACAATGATACACCCAAGAAGTTGGCAAAAATCATAAGCTGCACATCAGAAATCATCTGAAATAAAGTAGAACAATTAGATATGCTTATGCACACATTGTCTTCCCTTGGAATATTTGTGTTTGAATGAAACTAATGTCAATTTTTAAAAATGATTTTAGTTTTTGTAAAAGGTTTACTTTATGTGTTTATTTCCACACTCTACAATATGAATACCCATTAAGTGTTGTCTAAATAAACAGATCATGATTTAGATTAGAAAGGAGTTGGTCTATTGTGCAATCTCCATATTATCTAGAGGTCCTCATTAAGCTTAAGGCGTTTTACCAAAATTTTGTTAAGAAGCTATGTTAGGGAATCCAAATGTGTATCCTTCAGGCCCAGGCTTTTTCTCTTCCAGGTATCTCAGCCTACAGTCTTTGCACCAACAGAGGATATTTCCACTGTCCTTTCTGCACAGGCTTGTTTCTGTTGCTCAGAGTCTCCCTTCTATACAAATGCCTCCAGAGTCTGCAGTGTCCAGTTAGTCCAACGATCATTCTAGTCCTATTTTGGATGGTCCCATGTCCTGGATTTAATGGTTCTACCGTTAGTTTCTGTGATCATCCTTTGATAAACTTTTTTGCATGCCTCTGCCCTGGAATACCACTGAACCTGATGGATCCACATTTTTGGCAGTTTGGTGTGCCCTGGTACCCAGATAAGGTAATTTTGTTATTTTCCCAATGTCTGACAAGCATGCAATCCCAAACAACTCTGGACTTTAATACTGATGTAGTAATCATCTCAGTGCCATCTGACTGCCCGAGTAGATACCTTAGGGAAAAGTTGTGAAATTTCCCCTTGGGGTCAGCAAGATAATGAACCTGTAATTTGGTACTTTCCAATCATTATGCTGTGTCACATGCATTTGATTTACACACCATCTTCAGTGTTGGGTGAAAATAACCAACAAAATACCAAAACACATCTGACAGACCAAATCAACAAAGATGATCAGAAATGATCCTCAGATTAAACAACTCACAGACCTCAGAAGAAATATCACAATTTATTACATTATTTATTGTTTCATTCCAACATTCATTTCATCCACAGTCCCAACAATGATGATAGCAAGAAGCAAAAACACCACATCGAGCAGCCAAATCAATAAAAATGATCAGATCAGGTTAATTTTATTTATTTATTTTAAAGGTACAAATAAGGCTTTAAGCTCTCTTATATATACATATATTAGAAATAAATTAAGTTTATTAAACATAGTTATAAAATAATAACAGTAATAATAGTACAATGAAATATACAAAACAATAATGACAATAATATATTCTTTAAAATATTAATTATTTATGATGAAATGATAAAACCACTTTATGAAGAAAAGCAGAAAGGGGAAAAAAAAGGAAATAGGAAAAAGAAAAGGAAGAGGGAAGAAAAGGAGATGATTCATGTCGCTTTGAAAAATTCAAGCCAGCAAGGAAAATGAACGTTGGGAGGAAGCAAATTCCATAGTCTTGACCCTGCAATTTTGAAGGATAAGGTTAAAAGGTTTGAATGAGTGCTGAAGGCGTGGGATATGATTGGTGCGTTTGGATAAAGAATGAGGGAAAATAGTTGGTAGATATTGTGGACATTTATTTGATTTAATTTTAAATATATATGTGTGGAGTTTAGTGACCGTTAATTAATGATTATCTTTATTGAGATCATCTTCAGGGCCTGGAATTTATAAACATTTTTATAGGATTTTTTTCACATCCACATGTATGTGAATATTTAAACAATGTTTGTAAATCCCTGGCCCTGAAGATGATCTCAATAAAGATCGAAACTTTGGCATGATAAAGAAAATGTTTTTCTAAACCAACATTACACCAGAGTGCATCTCACGATTTCTGAATAATCTTTAAATATATACATTTAAAATCAAAGTTTATAAGTGTTTAGAATGTTAAAGTTGCTCAAATATGATCCCATGGTTAAAAGATTATAAGAATGATAAGCAATTTGAAGGCGATGAGCAGATTGAGAGTATAAGGAAAGTGAAAAAATAGCGTTACAGTATGAGAATAAAGGAATTATCAGGGATTTAATACAGAGAACTCCAATTTTCTGTAGAGTGAAAAAGCTGAGATGTCGAAGAGAATTGTGGTTTGAATAAATCCATGCCATGTAAGCTTGAAGTTAAAAATAACGGACTAGGGGAGCCTTTGATATGAGGAGGGCATAGGCAATCTGAACTAATGGATTTATTGGAAATTAATATGGACTGGGATTTCTTAGAGTTTAAAACAATGCCACTATTTATTGACCAATGGTTGAGAGAATGAAGATCATGGTTGAACAGATAGATAGCTTCAAAAATGTTGCATGTATGACATTGAATGTAAAGTTAAGCGTCATCCCAATAAAGATAAAATTGGGAGAAATTAAGAACTAATGGAAAATCATTTAGAAACACGGAAAAGAGTAAAGGTACCAGAATAGAACCTTGGGGTACACCAGCTAAAACTGAGAGAGAAGAGAAGATAGAACTTGAAGCTTTAACTCTCTGAATTCTGTCGGACAGATGGGAGGAAATGAGATTAGTAGCAGTAGAAGAAAAACCAAAAATATGCTCCAGTTTCCAAATAAGCAAATTATGATTTACAGAACTGAATGCATTGGAAAAATCAAGTAGAACACTAATAGTACGCTTATTATCATCAATGCCTAGGCGAATATCATTTGAAATTTTGAGAATGGCTGTCTCACAATTATGAAATTTTCGGAAATAAGATTGAAAAGGAGATATAAGGGTATGGGAGTCAATAAATAAGGGTATTTGTTTAAATAAAATCTTCTCAAATGCTTTGGATAGTGATGGATACTATAGGATGGATAGGGCAATAGTCACTAAAAGTGGTTTAAGTTTCTTGGGTAAAGCAACTATTATGCTTCCTTCCAGGCTGAAGAAAAACAGGATGAGGGGGCGAGAGAAGTTCAAAATGTGGTTTATCTTCAATCTCAACCCTAAACCCAATAAGAAATATTACAATTTATTACATTATTACTATTGTGTGGTGTTTAGTGACCGTTAGTCAATGATTATTCAGAGATCATGAGAGCAGTGGTGGACGTAGGTTTTAGAAAAACATTTTCTTTATCGTGCCAACGTTTTGATCTTTACTGAGATCATCTTCAGGGTCTGGAATTTACAAATTTAACAAATATATGTAGGATGTGGAAAAAAAAATGAATTTATAGAATGCAAAATTTTTTTTATATTCAATCAAAGTATTTGTACTCATTCAAATTGTAGGCAGAAAACAAACATTTGAGTGAGTACAAATACTTTGATTGAATATTTTTTTCCACATCCTACATGTATTTGTTAAATGCCCTGAAGATTATCTCAATAAAGATCAAAACGACGTTGGGACGATAAAGAAAATGTTTTTCTAAAACCTATGTCACACCAGACTGCATCTCACGATCTCCAAATAATTATTACTATTTACTATTCCATTCCCACATCACCAAAGATCCATTTAATCCACAGAAGAGAGCAAAAAGGAAAAACATCGACCAAAATAATCGGATCGATTAGTAAAAGGTGTCGATCTGAAGTTTCATAAACATACTTAAGTATGTATGCATGTATGTTTGATAAATATGCAGGCCCATTGCTGGACCTTAGATCATCATTGTATCAAAGTAGAAAATCATTGTATCAAAGTAGAAAATCATTGTATCACAAATATCGTCTTGACGTAGTAGGTACTCAATGGCTTGTACAATTTCTTTTTGAGGGCTGCGGGTTGAAGACTTGTTTGGTCGTTTCCAATCACCCCGGTCATCCTACACTCAATGTTTAGTTGGTCTAGTTCGTACGAATATATCAAAATGCTGGGTAGGATGATAGGACCAGGATGAAATAACCGAACTATTATCTGGATATTAAGTGAAACCGGAAGTTTCAGACATACTACACACACGTATGCATACTAAGTACAATTAATTAGTAAATTAAACCATCCGAGGTTAAAAATTACTCTTTCTTACAATGCGATCTGACTGCGATTGTGATAGTTCCAACATGGGTTTCGTGTACAGAACTTGTCTATATGAATGTAGCTACAGATATAAAGTCATAAGTATGAATATTATCATTTTTACAATAAATACGTCAGCAATAATAATACTAAAAACTATTAATTATTTAATTTTGCAGTACATTTAGAAAAGTTTGGTTTAACTAAAACTAGACCGATCTTTTAACTAGTTATGCATGAATTGTCTCAAGATACTTACTTTGTCTATTGTTTTTTTTTTAATTAAGACAAATTTTTGTCGGCTGGTTGAATTATTTGTTTGAAACCTCACTTTAAACACGTCAGATACTTCTGTTAAAACCTTCAGCTACATGAGCACGTCAGTAAAATCGAGATACAACAGGTTCTTTATTGAATCGAATCAAAATCATCGATGAATTGTTGAGTTTGGGAATACATAATTTCGATTTTTAAATTTTTTTACAATTAGATGATCAATATCAAATATATTGACCAAAGCGAACTGATTGAAGTTCATACTATCAATGGATTTTTGATGATATCTTGGATATTGAAGGAGCATTTGAAAGCAACCCTTTTTAAGTAAAGATTTCATCTTTAATAAAAAGAAGAACTGATGAAACTTGCTGTAGATGGATAAAAACTATGTTAAAATGTAAAAAATTGCAGTCCTTCATGTTCCATGAAAAAGAAGAACCATGGTGGAAAGAGGTGTCTTCAAGGACTTTGGCTCTATGGAAGGTGGTTTTAAACAACTTTATATGCAGACTAAATAAAAACAGAATCTATATCCTGGTCTATGCAGATGATATTGTAAAAAAAGAACAGCTACCTATTTTCATCTTCAAATACAAAGAAATGGTTCAATGAAGACATAACCTGTGATCAAAAAAAGTCAATGATTTAACACTTCTGAGAAGAAGGAATGAGTTTATTGCATTGAACTAAGGAACTAGGAATGTACAATAAGCCAGAATCTGGTTTGGGATGTTATTGGGTATGTGGTCCTTCAATGAATCATACACTGTATTATACAGTTGCCAAGCTTTCAGCTCTATATTTGGCCTTCCTCAGGGCAATGTACGACATCCTAAATAAAAATAATAATGTAATAACCATTTAAAAGTCAACGATTTTTTAAATACACCTCTCTAAACGTTTTTAACAGAAATTACATTGCCCTGAGGAAGGCCAAATATAGAGCTGAAAGCTTGGCTACTGTATAATACAGTGTATGATTCATTGAAGGACCACATACCCAATAACATCCCAAACCAGATTATAATCAAAGTTGGTCGATAACTGAACAACCTCGTAATAAGCCAGAAGGCTGCAGGGTCTGGAGGAGTACAAACCTCACTTCCTAGTATCCATCATCATCACCATAAATAGACCGAAAAGTGTGTGTACTTTTCTGATAGACTTGCTATATCAAGAGTTATTGATATACCCTAAGATCTCCAAGTTTGTCTGGCTCTCCAATTTCTGGGAAAATAGCCTCTAACATTGTGCCAGGACATAAAAAGATTGTTAAACAAACCAGCTGACAAACATCCAAAATAAGATGCAGTTACATCCATTGATTTGAATATTATGTAAAACACTTATGCTGAACCACATTCTGAAATCTTCTAAATTTCTGGTTGTTAAGTGCTGATCTTAAGTTTGATACACATTCATCACAATGGACAAAAAAATGGGAAANCGAAACATGGTCAGAAGATTAAAAAGAACAAAGCCATATGAACTTGTGTAGTTAAAAATGAATAGTGAATAGTGAAATGTAAATCTTATTGTACCAATGGGTTTCTAAGCATGTAAACATTTATTTATTCTATAATATTATTCTCAAATTAATGGTTGGTCTAATAAGACCAGTTTTAATAAATAAATTTAATTAAAAAAAAAAAAAAAAAACATTCATCACATGAATTGGGTTTATGTAATGCTATGCTGTGCAGGACAGTACATTACATGCAAACTTAGTAGATAGATACTTGCATATTGTCAAGAAGAAAAATAATTTGCAACAAAACAATCCTAAGCGACTACAAAGCTTTATTATACAACAATAAAATATCATTTTGGAATAATGGTTAAAGAAATTAGGCGATATGATATGTAATAAATTTTTTCTCGACTAGGACAAAAAACCCACCAGCAATATAGAGCTGTGTTGTAACATATCTGACAGATCAAAATACAGGTTCTTCACCGGACAAATATCAAGAAATCTTACAACCTAAAAAAGCACTAATTTTCTTAAATATTTTCCATGGTGTGGTCAGATGTAGGATTTAGTTGTAAATTACCAGTCTTTTTAGGTGTTTTTAAAAAGTAAAAAAAATATTGTAAGATTATTCGATATTTTAATGAAATATGGTTACAATAAAAGAAAATAAATAAAAACAATTTTTAGAAAATTTCTTAGTTCTTTATTGCCACATATGAAAATTATTGTCAGTATTCTTGTAGTGTCTAATTAGTAACACATATTCTAAATTTTTTTATTTTTTTTAGTGTATTCCCGACATTACAACAACTAGACACAGATTAACAAAAACAGTGAACATGATATACAGCAACATTGTTCCATAAACTTTATTAGCGTTCTGTTAGTAACAAAATACTTTAACATTTATATAAAAGCTATAGTTTCAATAGATCTACAAATTAACTATTTACAATGGACAGTACTTTTAATACTATAAAACAAGATGAACAATTTTTTTTCCGCATGTGAATAACGATTATGTAATAAAAATAATCCAACAAAACGATGCGTATAAAACAAATAAAAGATATTTTAAATAAATATTTACACTATTCAACTCTCAATATCACATTAAAAACAAATGAGATAAATGAAATACTTTGGTTTTGCTTGTTAAAGTTGTTGTTACTGCTTTTTGTAAATGAAGGTTCTACTCAATGATTTGTTGTTTACAACTATCCGGATTTCAAGCATTAAACGCTCATCATCAGGTTGAAAAAATTACAAACTCATTTCTCAACATGAATTGGTCACTCTTACAATTCATGTTGAGAGACATGTTTGTCATTCTTTCAATCTGATGATGAACGTTTAATGCTTGAAATCCAGATTGTACACAATAAATCTGTGAGTAGAATCATCATTTACAAAAAATGAATCTACATACTTATCCCGCCTTCATAATTTCTATTGTAACTGCTGTTGCTGTTGTGCAGCGGCAAGCTGTCTAAGTTGCTTGAGAACGGTTTCTAGAAGTTTCTTTTTATCACGTTCGCTCTTCTTCAGTACAGAAAATACAGTCTTTTTGTCAGCTTCTCGCATCCTGAAAGAATGTTCGATTGAAATAAATCGTGTAATTTTTGTAAAAACTAATGCAATTACTTTTCTAAAAGGATAATTGCTGTATTAGGATTGACTTGTTGGTATTTACTGTTTTCCTGGCCGTAATCATGAAAGTATGTCGGCCAATCCCAACTCATGAACAGATCGAGCAATTGACGAAGATCTGTGAAATAATGGAGGAGTGCTTCTTCATCTAACCCTGGCACGGGCTCTGATGCTGCAAATTCTATAGAAAAAATATACATTAGCCATACAGATTATAACAAGCTTTTTCATACATACGTTCACATTGGATGGTGTCTAAATTGAGTTGTTGCAAAGCGCCCATTGATATTTGCTTCACATTATCTTTCATTATCATTTTCATTAAAGATTTAGCGATATGTTCACAGGCAGATTTACAAGCGACTTGAGCAACTTCCCCCTGGACATAAATATAATTAATTGTCGGTCGATTAATAAGTGAAAAATATATTTTTCTAGCTTACTGGAAGATTGGTGAATGAAGCGAAGGTGCTGTTTAAAAACGCGATGAGATCTGACACAAATGTAGAAGCGTGCCCTTGTGGCTCAGACAACAACCAGTCGTAGCTTTCGAGTTCGATAAATTCGTCCAGCTTTTGTTTGAGCTTTTCACAAATTTGTTTCTCTGCGTCGTCCCTTGCAACACCAAACAAATGCCCTTGACCTCTTGATCCCAGCTGGCCTTCCTTGGGCGAACTGAAACATTCGAGAATATAAAATTTATGGTCTAAAGACAATGATAAAATTTAATTTTACCCGGTTATGTTGGAAACAAATTCCTCGAGGTACATCGTTGCATCTTCAAGATATCTTGTGTCAATAATGATTTGAATGACTTGCATCAAGCCTAAACTCGGTTTACAAAACACTGACGACAGACAACCCGTGAATGTACGGGTAAGCAGGAGGTTTGTTGATTTTCGTATCATGTCGTCTACTTCTCCTTGACTAAAATATTGTTGCTTTGATTTTATTGTCTGAGAAATTCATATTTTAAAAAATCTACCTAAGATTAAGATCTTCTGAGAATTTAAGGCAAGCGTAAATAAATTCTTTGACTTGCTGGTAAACTTTTGGTACAAGAGGTGAAAATGGAAACCTTTTGGGAAAAGGAGCTGTTTCCAATTCGTCATCTTGGAAGGGGAATGTGCTTAACACATCATCATATTCTTTCTGTGTTTCAACCTACAATTTTTTTTGTTATTTATTTGCTTTTAAAAATCTTACTTTTTTTCTCACCTCTGTTGTTAGGAAATTTTCTGCCTCGAGGATTTCCCTAAACACTCCAACCCATCTCTGCATCAGAACTTCATTATAATGATCCCTAATTTCATGTAAGACAGCAAAAACTTGATTCACTGTGTAGCCGTAATTCTACAAATGATAGTTAAGTTTAAATAAACAAAGTCCTTGAATTTAATATATTAAAAAAATAATCCATACTCTTAACGTAGTGACGAAAAGCATAATAAGATGCTTGATTTTTAGCATTAAAGTTGCATCTGTACAGTAAGACTGAAAAAATGTAATCATGTTAAATAAAACTGATAAATAAGAATAAAAAAATTCAAACTCTTACGGAATGGGTTCTTAAAGCATTGACTATCTTCCCAACTGCTGTGCCCCAAAGTTCATCCAAATAGACTCTATCGACTAGCCCATGGCCTGTGTTCAAAACATGGTCCTCTACTACAAAAAAGCCCAGTATGCTGTATATGTAGCTTTTGTACAGGTCTATCGATTCGTGCTGTCGTCAAGAAAGTGTAAGCAACAAATTTTCAAGACAATCGTAAATAGTATAATATTTAAATTACCATGTTGGTAGGAGGCTGCAAAACTAAATTTGCCTGTTGTTTCCTTTGTTTTCGATAGTATGTCTCGAAATCTCCCCTCGAATCTAAGACAGAATAAATGTGTAGACACCTGTACACAGGGGAAAAATCGATTAAATCTTGAGCGCTAAGATCTTCTTCGTCGAGTGCATCTTCAGTTGTTTCAACGACTCCTAAGAACACAAAAAGATTAATGTTAATCATATCAATTAAAAATCATAGTAAAGTTTAACGTTAAATGTATCAATGTATTACAATCAAATGTATTACATGTATGTATATGTATGTATTATAACTTCCAAGCTTTTCTGAATTCACAAAGAAGACTGAGTCCTAACAAATCAACTTTTCTAGAGTTATTGAATTTGTTTTTCATATCAGTCTGTTTGTCAGTTTGTTTATATGGTGTAAGTAATTTTATTCTATCAAAAATTATTACCTTAAAGTTGTTTATTTAATTCATTACAGACAAGATTATAATAAATTCAACGAGAAAAGGTTTTTTTTAGCCCATATATATGTATAATACAGTCAAACCTCCCATAAGTGGATACCACTCAAGAATATTATTTTATCCACTTATTAGAAGGGTCAATACATAGATTCCTTAGGCCTGGCTTTCCTCTCCCAGGAGTAGTAATCACAACCTACATCTACCTATTGTTTCAGTCCTAACACATCATAAATTGTCCACATGTATTTTAAAAAAATTAAATCATGAGTTTTCAGGATGACTGACACACTGAAGGTGAAGAAATGAAGAAATGCATATGACAAAATTACATAAAAATATTAAGTACATTAAGTGGAAGTAGATGTAGATGATTAGTCAGGGAGCACTTTATATTGTGCTATTGTATCCCCTATTCTGTGCTTACGACACACCAGTGAGTACTAGTTCATTGTAAGTCCCCAAAGCACTTCTGCAGGCAAATGTAGCACCATGGTTGCAGAATCACATCTTAGCAAAATCTGCACTCGCTGTGTTGAGTTATGTCAATCTTCTTCAGATGCCCATTTACTTTGCAGAGTCCTGTTAGGATTCACAGTTTTTTCCTGCTTCCCTTAATACATTCTGTTACCTCTTTCATCCAAAATTTGTTAGGAAGTTCTTGGATTGTTTATATCCAATGAGTTCTATTGTTCCCTCATTTTATTTTTATCCTTCTGTCTGAGGTATTCATTGATAGTGTGGGTTCGTATGCCAATGAAGGGTTTGGATCCTATCAGCGGTATAGCAGCCCCTCTTCCAGCAAGAGCTTTTGCTTTCTCATTGCCTTCTACTCCCTGCATACCTAGTTTGTTTAGTTCGGTTTTGCAGTTCAGCACCATCTTTGAGCTAATGATGTTTGAACTTTGTGCTTGTTGCTGCTTGGCTATCTGGCATAAAAGCTATATTCTTGTGCTTTTAATCCTTTTTTTCAGATTGAAATGGATACATCTCTTTCCCATGGGTTCTGAGTATTTCGTTCCAGGACTGAATATTCCCCAATACCTTCTTGTGTTTAGATCCATCAGTGGGCCAGTAGATGGTGCCATTTTTAAAGGTGTTTTTCTCTCCTCCCCCCCTTTTTTTTTTTTTTTTTTTTTGGTACCTAGGTTTATTTGGAAGTTTTCATTAAATTCAAATATCCTGTTCATTTCGTCTCCTGGGGCCATGAGTATTGAATTGTTTTTTTATTATATTGTTGCTATTTATCGATTTTAGTTTCATTCTTGATGGAGGTTTCTTTTTGATAATTCTAATAATAGTTTTCTGTACTCATTATCTTAATCCCAATATCTTCTCCATACCAACTGAGGGACATATTCTCATTGCTCCTATTACACAGATGCATGCAAGTCGCTGTATTTTTGTGAGTTATCTTCGTTTTATTTGTTCTATTTTATCAGCCCAGGCTATAGAGCCATGTCAAAATAAGCCTCTGACATCATGGTGTACATCCAAAGCAGGGTATCCTGTCTGATCCCCAGTTTTTCCCGCTATTCTTCTACAGACCATCAAAGCTCGTGTCGCTTTCTTGATGGTAGAGCCAATGTCCCTTAAGTGAAAAAATGAATTGAATTCAAATTAATGTATCTATGTATAAACACTATTTTTCTTTTTCTCAAGGACTTGTATGACTTGGACAGTTTCTCTGACCGAATTTTTGTTTCCTCACTGCCAAATTGATTTGTTACAATCACAATCTGAGAACTGACCAACTGATCTGTAAATTGATCAGGATGCACCAAAGGTATTGTGTAGGGCGAGAATTCCAGAAACTGCTCTCACCTTGGAACCAACTTCGTCCAATTTTTGAGCAATATTCTAACTTTGCAGAAACTTTCCCAACCTAGGGAATGTAATAAACCGTCTCACAGTGGAATCGCACGTATATGCCTGATTAGTTCATTTATTCTATTAATGTAGTACTTGTGCTTGTTTATTTGAATGTCTAGCTTTTAGATGTATCTTTCTTATCAAAGTAAATGGAATAGTGGTGGGAAAAAATAGTTGTCCAGTCACGAGGCATTCCACGTTAGAAATTTTACTGTACATTACATTCAATGTTAATAAAAAATTTTTTAACAACTACCTGTAAATGGATTAGGAGGGAGAGGCGCTTGGCGTTTCTTTTTCCGACGAAATACACTCGGGTCAACAATTAACTGTTCAGAAGTCTGAAAATCCCAATTAACAATTAGTTATATCTCAAATGTTATTTTTATTTTTTAATCTATTGTCTTACATGCTTCATTGCGACTTCACCAATCCTAGGTGAAACTTTCCTAATATTCTCGAGAAAATCTTTCAGATCAGACATCGACGCTTCTTTGATACTTTTCCGTAGTCTAAATAAAATAGAACAGAAATAAAATAAAAATAAAAATTTAATATTAAAAAGGACATTACTTAGGAATGTTTTCTCTCATTTGACATGAAAATCTATAATTAGCCACCCTAGGAAGATATAAATGCTCTAATTGTTCCAGAGTTTTCAGTGCAGGGTAGTACCTGTCAAACAAAAATACAATAATAAAATTTTCATATATATATATTTTTTTAATGGATAACAACCTTTTTTCTTTCATTTGTTTTTGTAATTTAGCGTATGTTGTGAGAACGGGAAGGCACATTGTTAAACTTTGGACAGCCGAAGCAATATTCTTTTCAACCTTCCTTGCTTTGACAAGTTCCTCAGTCTTTTCTATAACTCTCTCAGCTGAACTTTGAAGAGCCTTGTTCAGCTCGACTATCTCATTCTGCAAAATTAACAGTATACATGAATAAAAAAAAATAATTAAAAATTAATCAAAAGTTAATTATTTACATTGAGGTCTTTGGCTTGTTTTCTGACTTTAAGAAGTTCCCTGATGGAATCGATAAATCCCTGGTAGTGAAAATTGCACATCCTTTCGATCTCTCTGTCATGGGTTTTAATTCTAGCATCGAGCTGTTCCATGAATTTTTGATCTTCATCGCCATCGTATATCGCTCTAAAATAATTTTTTTCCAAAGTAAGTCATAATTGCAATTTTAAAACGATTCGCATGCAATATGTTATGCAGTTCCAAGTGCAAGTATACTTTTAAGTTTCAAAATGCTTGGGCATTAATCACTTAATATATTGGGTTGGTCCAAAATTAATGCAGGTTTTGAAAATTTGATTTATTTTCGCAGTTGCTTGTCATGTAAACAAAGCTAAATCCTCAAATCTAATTTATGGATTATAATAAATACTTTTAACTGTAATCTTTTATACAAAACATTTTAGTTTATATTGAATTTTATAAGAGTGAGGACCTATAAAATTAAATACGTCCAAACTAGATTTTCATCAATTTATTTGTACGAATTTCAACTCTGACGAAGTGCGACCCAAACCATGAGATTTCGATCTCGAAGACACGGAAGGTCACAGTAGGCCTTCCTTTGTGGACAACGACCAACTCAAAATGTTGATTAAAAAATGAATGTAAGACAACACAGGAAATTGCGGAAAAGCTTAGTGTGAACCACTCAACCATTGTTTGCCACCTGGAGCAAATTGGTAAAGTAAGGACGTTTGACAAGTGGGTACCGAACAAGCTAACTAAAGCTTAAAGAAATCGACGCTTTAAAATTTGCATGCCTTTTCTGTTGTGCCAGCAAAAATAATCCATTTCTCGATCGAATCATAACGAGCAATGAGAAATGGATTCTGTACGATAAGAGAAGGCATACAGAAAGTGGCTAAACAAGGATGAAGCGCCAAAACATTTCCTGAAACCAAATCTGCACCCAAAAAAGGTTGTGGCGACTGTTTGGTGGTGTACTGTTGTGGTTATTCTCTATAATTTCCTGAATTATGGTGAAACTATCACAGCAGAGAAATATTGCCTACAAATTGACAAAATACACGGGAAAATGCAATGTCTTTGTCTAGCATTGGTAAACCATAAGGGGGCGATTCTTCTTTACGATAACACCAGGCCATTGAAAGTTAAGAACTTAAAATATGAAACTTTACTGCAACCTCCATATTCACCTGACCACTCACCTACAGACCACTTTTTTAGGTATCTCTTCTCGAGGGATAAAATTTTTAGAGAACATGGTGAACCCGAAAATGCCTACCAAGACTTTATTGTGAGTCGAAATAAAGATTTTTATGTCAGCGGAATAAAAGTGCTGCCAACATATTGGCTAAGATCTATATATTCTGATGGAAAATTTCAAATAATTTCATTTTATTTTATAAAAAATAAAAGTAGGTTTGACTTCCTTTTCAAAACCTACATTATTTTTGCACCAGCCCAATATAAACACAATTATATTTGACTTATTAAACATTTAAAACAAAGCACACAAGTGTGTTTTTTTTTCTATTATTTGCATTCAAATGCGTGCAGTATTTTATTTTATTTTTAAAACTATAAATTCAAATTTGTAAGTTTTATTTATTTATTGTTTTAAATAAGATTAAACATATAATTCAACACATTCCAGCAACGTTCTGCCAAACAGGTACAAACAACATAAACAGCTAGAACAAAATACGTACAAACTAAAAACAGGTAATCCTTACATTATCCCATTTTTAACTATAATAAAATAAAAATTTTATAGATAAATTATAAAATAAACACTAACATAATTTAAAACAAATAAAAATATTTACTACTATTACTACTCTACATTAAACATTCTTTCTCTAGATAAAAATGGATCTTCTGAAGTATCCATCATTTTATTTCCAGCAGTTTCAATGGAAATTTATTTACTTTTTTTTTTATTAATTCAATATATTTTTGGTATTACATGTTATATAATGTCATATTTGTTAATCTGTAATTGAAATGTTTCAATTAATTTTAGACATCACATTTTTAAAATATTTGCCTTTCGTAATTTTTTCTCTTATACAACTTTCTATATGTGTGGTGTTTATTGACCGTTACTTGATGATTATTTGGAGGTCGTGAGATGTGGTCTGTTTCTATTTAATCAGATAACAGTCAAACCAAGGCCTATTATTAGATTATAAATTGATTTGTTTGATAAACAAAAACATGAAACGAAAAAAATTGATAAATCTTTGACCGGTGTTTAACCCTTAACCCTTATATGACTGTTTCAAATCAAATGCGAAGTGCAGACACAGGGATCAATTTTAAAAATTGGTTAATTTTTTGCCAAAAAAAATTGTTTTAAAATGGTGCTTAAAATTTAATATATAAATCATGTTTATCAGTATGAAACAAAACTACAGCAACAAAAAAGTTTTAAACAATATATTCACAAAATTCAGGAAGATATTTTTTTAAGTTGGTTGTCCATGCTGGAAACAAAATACACTATTTTCATTTTAAACTAAATTAATTTCATTTTAATAATTATTGTTAAAATGATTATAAAATGTAAAATAGTCCGGATCAATAAAATTGCAATTATGCACAACACAAAAAAGTGCAATGGAAAAACCTACCATTCTTTCCTTTTAACAGTTCACTGTTTGAATCAAGTTCGCTTTTGAGAATATCATTTTCATCCTTTTTTTTACAAACCAATGTCAGAATCAAGCATGCCCCACATTAACTTAACTTTGTTTCTTCGAATTTTGACTTATTCAAAATCACTTGGTTCAGAATTGGAAAACTATAGCTCTTAACGGACGCAGTATACTACATCTAGTTCGGAATTAGTTTTGATGTCTTAGTTTTAAAATCTTACACTTACACTGACGTGCAGTCCTAGGGAATGCAAAAATTTCAAGACCGGCAATAAAAAAATGCAAAAAGAGAACAGCACACGCCATACAGGACTGACTGAAAAAGAATTCTGCCCATAAGAAGTGGAGCTATTTGTGAAAAAATATCCACTGTGGTCCCCAAGACCTCACGTCAGGAGTTAAGTGTTAAAAAATCAGTTGTTTATCAATGAGATCTAGCATTGTATAAATTTAAAAACATCTTTTGAATAGAATAGTTGTAGCAAATTGATTTTTCAGTATTTTAAGCAATTACAGAGAAGAGCTTATTCAAAGAATTTGTAACTATTTTATAAAGTCTGTTAAATCTTGAATAGTATAATTCTTGGCTTTGTATCCTGGTTGAGTTAAACGAAATGGAATCAATTGTCGAAGAGGACTGTGGGGAATTCAAATGACATCGACGTCTCAAATACATGGGAGTTTTTATACTAAAATAATTCTAACGCATGGCATGCTATGACTTTCTTCATGCAAACGTCTCGTTAATGGATGCATACTGACATTTCAGGATGTAGTTCTCCCAGTCCCGTGATTTGAGCTACAAAACCAGCAAGAGACACCATTTCAAAGGGGTTTCGAAACTATTGAATATAAGATAGGGGCTCCCATATCAACTATTGTTGTAATCTTATCAAGAAAGGAAAAATGAATAATACAGTGATATTAAGGCAATGTGGTCCATTTGACAAGCGTTTATATACCAACTAAGGCCTGTCATTCCTTACAGTCAAGCTAACGCAACAAACTAACAGCTAACAATTTTCTAGCCAATAAGCAGCAGGCAAAATAAGGAAGACTGTCTTGTCTTTTGAATTTTCTTTTACCTTATAACTAAACCGATACTAGTGGTATCTGTTGATTCTAGCTCATTTATGAAGTGCTCGTGCTTTGTTTGTATCGCAAAGCATTTTTGTGAGTCGATGGTAACGGATCTTTTCATCATATTTCTATTTAGTGAGCTAATAGTATTTCTTGTTCTACATTTGAAATATCGTTGTAATATTGATTTATAAACGGGAATGAGCGGCAGGTTAGTCTCTACCACTCGACAACATCCTCCTTAAATCAATAAATTATGATCTTGCGTCGTACGGACAGTGTGCGAGGTTGATTATCCTTCGTAATTCGAGTTATGTCGGTGTTAGTTTATTATCTATTTTTAGTCTTTATACCTAAATGTCGGGCCCCAATAGTCGTCGGTACTTTCGATTTCTTGCAAAAAAGCTTCGTAACTTTGTGCTTTTGATTCGGCCGTATTTTCCATTTGGGAGTCGTCGGCTGGATATCGGTGATAGACGAATTTTACAAATCTGGTCAATAGTCAATACTCGGGTCAATATCCCTGGCGCTGATAAATCGAGAGTTGATCGGATGTCAAAAACGTTCACGGCTTCATTCCACTTTAATCATTGATCATTAAAGCACAATCGATTTTATGATGAAGGTCACTTAAAAGGCGGAAGACTTACTTTTTTCAAAAAAGAAAAATAATTGAACACACCCACCTGTTGATTCCCAATGAGATATTCCCGTGCTTAAAAACTACAAAAACAAAAAATAAATAAAAATAGAAAGAAAGAAAAATAAAAAACTTTTTTTTAATAGCAATGGTATTCATAGATTTATTATCTGTGGAGGACACATACCAAGTTCCACAGATAAAAAGGACTGCGGATAAAAATGACCACAGATAATAAAAACCTTGATTTTCAAAGCATTTTATTCCATTTATTTATTTAAACAAGAAGATGCTCAAAATACATCTTGCAATAAAAAATACAAATCGTATGAACATACATATATATTTTTCTAGCTGCATACACTCAGACACATTCTGTATGTGCCTATCATCAGTGTCATGTATGAACGTATTTCAGGATTTTTTTCAATAAGAAAAATACAATGTATGGTAACATGCATAAAATTTATTCCACCCGGGAAAACAATATGCACATACATCAACAGGTATAAACCTATGCACAATGTTGAAACTAATGAGAAAAAATTGTTAACGGCCTAAAATGTATTAAAAAGGAAAATTAATTACACAGTTGGAAGGTGATGAATACATAAAGTTTCAGCTTTCTCAAAGAACATTGTTATAGGAGGCTGCTTTGTCTGGTTTTCAACTCCTGGAAATTTTGTTGGAGAGGGTCCATTGCTTGATCAAGTTCAATTGAACATCACTCTTAAGCTAATTGAAAGATTTTTACAATTTTTTTTTAAACTGTCAATTCCTGTTTTCTTTTATCTTATCCTATTCTTCACCTTCTTCTGTGGCCAAACTCCTGTAGAACTTAACTAGGGGGAGTGAAAGAATCTATTGTATATTTATAGTGCTAAATGTATCAACCACTTTTTTTTACTTATGAAGAATATCTCAGAATAGTGTGGATGAAGGAAAACAAATTCAGTTGTTACTGCCAAGCTTTCAGCCTATTTTAGGGTCATCATCAGGGCAAAACAATCTTACACATGTCTACAAATTGACATAATTAAAGTTTTAATAGATGGTTTCAAATTTCTTTGGAGACCGACTCAGCCCCAACACTGCCGACTGGTTCATGGTGACTCAGTAAATGTGAAATATTTTTAACAAATATACATTTCACTTTACAAACTTTGACATCTTCACTCTTGTTTGTGTACTCTCTACTCTTTCTTTTTCACATCTTTTCATTTTTGTAATTATTACATTCAATGTATAGTATTCTATATAAATACTTGTATTATTGTAATTATTGTTACTATTATTATTATTATTATTATTCATTTTTTGTTCATTATTATAATTCAGTGATGACTGTATGATGTATCGGTGGGCTGACCTGATATGCTGCAGAAAGGAATTCTACAGATGCACAGCGGCAACTCTAAAAGAGTCATTCATAGATTTGGATATATGATGCAAGATTTTTGTAATATTTAAACTACAGGAAGAATTAATACCAAATGTAATGTGTAAATATGATGGGAAGAGCTTATTTTAAATTTGAAATAAGTAAATAAGAGAATAGAGTTTAAGGTAATCAAATGAATTAATATCCAGAATGAACTTGTCATGCATTAAGATGTGCTTTCTTCTTCATAAACTTAATACAAATCTTGTACAATTGTTAAAAAGTATTACTATATAATTTTTTTATACTAGAAATTAGATTAAGTGAAAAAGAGTATATTGTACTGTAATAAGTAAAAAATGGTAAAATAAGAGTTTTGACTAGTGTAAGTTTTAGTGTCATAGAGATGAATTTATATTTCCAAACTGAATTTAAAATTCCATTCATCCTTCTAGCAACAAAGCCTAAATAATCATCACAAGATAATCTGGTATTAAAAGTTACACACAAAATACCTGACTGGCACTCTCAACACGACACGCAAGAATGGCACAATTAAACAGAAACAAACACTTTGAGCCCTGAAGATGATCTCAATAAAGATCAAAATGTTGGCACGATAAAGAAAAAAGCATCTCACGATTTCTGAATAATTATCAATTAACGGTCACTAATCACCACACATTGTTACACCAAGGTTTTGTACCTGGTTAGAAAAGGGTATTAACAAGCCAAAAAAGAGTAGTGCAGGGAAAACCCTCAGTTCAGATATGTGTTGTAAATAATTGTTGATTGGGATTTGAGAGGGTTAAGTTTGAAACATAAGTATCCTAAAATACCTCTATGACATCTTAAGCTCCTTCCTATCAGGCAGGTAGCTCAAGGTTAGAGTCAACGACAGCTTCTCTACAGAAAAAGACATCCAACAGGCACCCCACAAGGATCAGTCTTCTCACCAATCCTCAAAAAGCAGTTCAGGCTGCTTTAGAGGATATATAAAACTATTGTAATAAATGGAAACTGGAGATAAACCCTTTAAAGTGCGAAACAAAAATCTTTACCTTGTAATGACCATGTGATACACCAGACTTGTAAATTAAAGGAAATGGCATCCCATGAAACCTCTCTGAAGCATTTAGGAGTTCATCTGTTCAGAAGAATATCAAAGTACCATTTAAATAAAAAGGTGTCCAAAGGATATGCCTGTCTGGGTCTGCTATATCCTATTATAAACCGCAAATCCAAAATAAAGTCCAAACTTGCTACGCTAATTTGTAAATCATTCATAAGGTCCCGGACCTTTACGGGTGCGAAATATGGTGAGCAGTGTCTTCATCCAAAATAAAGCTGCTGCAAATATAACAAAATAAAATAGTGCAAATGGCGATAAATGCCCAGTCATATGTGACGAACGAGGTGCACAAAGAATTGCAACTCCTGACAATACAATAAACAATTCCAAAAGTTCCATTACGGACTTAGTAAAGTCAAAGGTGCTGTCCACTTTAAACTAGGAGGAGAAAAGGCAATTCGTCTGAAGGCATGTGACGATTTATTTTTATAATATTTATTAAGTAACAATTTCTCCTCAAGTGAATACCGTAATAAAACCAAATGGTCAATCCAATGTCTCAAGCTGTTAAATGTTGTACATGTATATTTCTATACATGCACTAATGTAAAACTCTTTGTATGGAGTTGAGCTAGTGTTTTTACATATGTATATATAAAGTTGAGACCATTGTTTGAAGCCCAATTAACTAACCTAGATAGGTCATTGTTAATGAATTGAATAGAATCAGGGATTAAATGAAGGAGACATTGCACATAGATTTAGATATCGTCAACATATAAGTGAAATTTAGAGTAATTTAAACTAGAAGGGATGGTGGTTAATAAAAATTGAAAACAATAAGGGTCCCAAAGCTGTAACACCTAATGGTAGTTGGCCAGTAATGTACTAATAATAATAAAGTGCTATTATTTACAGTGTTTATACAATTAAATTTATTTCTAAGATATGTATATGTAAGGAGGGTTAAAGCCCTATTTATACCGTTAATAAATAAATAAATTATGGTTTGGTATGTTAAAATTAAGGCGGTACATTCTCAGAATGGAGTTGGCAGTTCCACCTCTTGGATCTTCCACTGCTAGCGCCTGTTGTTTGTTGATAAATGACCTGATAGGGGGTTGCAGGGGGGGAGCTGTTCTTGTTTTTGTTGTTTTGCACAATAAAGACTTTTATGAGGGCCGACAATAAAGATTGGCCGTCGTTTTGAAGTCTGTCAAAATTACAACAGAGTATTTCTTCAGACCGGGATGATGAGAGTCGTCCGTTGAGGATTTCAGCATTCCTGACACGTATACCGTACGTCTTTTGGAGGAAAGTAAATACAACCAACGTTTCATGCGAGGATGCAATTGTTCAAAGGCCTTGAAAACGCATGAGAAACCGCCCGCCAGAATTATTCAACCAGTTTCTGTGAGTTTTTGGTCGTATTTCCTCGATTCGAGACCCCAACCACTGTGAGATCCGCTTCAGGGTCATTTTTTTGATCTCGTCTTACATTTTGATGGAATTGTTTTTAAAATGTTCTGAATTTAAAGAAAGATGCGCTCGGTATGCGTCGCCCTCACACTCCTCTTAGTTTATTTGATACTCGTATTCCTGGCATTCCGCTTCTTGGACATCATACTCTGGTATCAGCATGGTGTGCCGTCGACGCAGATTGTCAATCCACTCCTCCTGAGTGTACGACAGCTGAAACAACTCTTAGAGGTACGTGGAGTCAGCTACACTGGCTATGTCGAGAAAAAGGAGTTGGCACAGCTTGTTGAAGACTCAGGTATTATATTTTATTCGCCATCACCATATTTTGCTTTAAATTATTTTTTAAAAAATCTTTACAACTAGCAGTATGGGATGAAATCAATTAAACTTGAATGGGTCATCTGGAAATACAATTATTTTTTCTTCTATTAGCTTTATTGTACAAATTATAATAAACTTATTGTACAGTAGTATCCGGCTCTTTATGCCTCACCTTACTCACAGTACGCCACAATCGATTGACACACAGACACCTACACAGTGACCTACACAGAGAGAAAGTCCATTCAACATGTCACACATAATAATGAAAAATTGTTTTTGATGCTAGTGCCATCCATGATTTCTGTTTTTGGGCATAAATAACGAGCACTCTTGATCAAGTTATGGTTTTGAAGAAAAAGCAAATTCAGTTATTGCTGCCAAGCTTTCGACATATTTTAACGTCATAATCAGGGCAAAATCTTAAATATGCCTGCAGATTGACATATTTATGTTTTCTTATTAATTTTTATTCTTCAAAGAAATTGAGATTGCCTGTGAAAAAAACATAAATATAAAGAGTAGAGAGTACACAAACAAGAGTGAAGATGTCAAAGTTTGTAGGAATGTAAGTGAAATGTATATTTGTTAAAAATATTTCACATTTACTGAGTCACCATGAACCAGTCAGTAGTGTTGGGACTGAGTTGGTCTACAAAGAAATTTGAAACCATCTATTAAAACCTTAATTATGTCAATCTGTAGACATATTTAAGATTATTTTGCCCTGATGATGGCCTTAAAATAGGTCGAAAGCTTGGAAGTAACAACTGAATTTGCTTTTTCCTTCAAGGCCGTACCTTGATCCAGAGTGTTCGTGAGTGAAAAAGTGGTCAATACTTCTAGTACTGAAGGCATAAATAATTATAGTATATTGTTGCTTATATTGTAAAATGTCTTGTGGGAGTTGTGAATGTGTGAGGGTCGGAATGATAAGAACAGTGTAATCCTTTTTTTTTTTTTTTATACACTTTATGCTTTGAACAATAGACTATTGACTACTCCATGTACAGTACAAGAGGGCATTGCAATTAGTCATGATCAAAAGACCTTTGGGAAAAGCAAAAAATTGGAAGGTCTTAAAAACTAGAACGTGGGATATTTACTGGGTCAATCTGATTTTGTATTTTTGACTCTTCTTTTCCAGTTGTTGACTTTTTATTTCTTGTATTTTTTTTTTTTTTCAAGAACTAGACAACCATCAAACTCATTTTCTTTTTATTGATATCGATTTCGGGGGCATCAGCCTCCCCTCATCGGTCTCATTTTCTTTTTTTGATCAAAACAGAAATCCTAATCAATAAAAAACATGAGTTTGATGATTGTCTAGTTCCTGAAAAGAAACCCAAGAAATTTGATTTTGGTTATTATTCCTACTAGCACAAGTAGCCATAGTCATCATGCATTTATTTTATCTTCCAAGCTTAAGCAAGTTTTCGCCAAAAGTATGTCTGTGGTAACCACATATGGTCTATTCTAAGTCAGGTGAGAATCTTGTTATTGGTTCCTTCTCGGAGTGTTGACAATCTACCTGGTCTCCAGGTACTTGTGGCTCAGTGGAAAATTTTTCCGTGGCTCTTCTTTCAAAAAAAAAAAAAAAAAGAAAATAATAATAATCGGGCTCCACATTTTTTTCTTGTTTTGGGGAAAAGCAAACCCTCGGGGTGAAATTAAAAAAATAAAATAACAATGTCCTCTATATTAAAAAAAGGAAAAAGTAACAAAACAAGCTCTCTTCAGAAAACAATAAAATAAAAGTCCGAATCTTGTCCTGGTCGTTTCCTCCCGTCACAGCTCGGTTCTCCTTTAACACACACGAACTCCCTGGAAAGAAGAAAAGTCGGTCATCATCTTTTACTCTTATTAGTTCAAAACTTATTCATTTTATTAACCCAATTGCATCAAATTTCTTAGCAAGGATTTAATTGTTTTGGAATGACTTAAAACTGTGCAGGTATCCTCTTAATATCAATATCAAAGATTGAATCAATAAAATTGAAGCCTTTAGTTATATATAGTATTTTTTCATTTTATTTTTATTTCAGGAAGATTTCATTTACATTTAAGCATTTATCCTATTTTGTATTATAATTTACATGGAAAGAAAAGTAAAGAAACCACTAACATGAGGATGTACTCTGTTATTATAATAATATTATCCATGCAAATTATAATACAAAATAGGATGTGAATGAAAGGAAATGAATGCTGAAGATGGTACGATATAAGTGAAAAGCTTCCAAAAATGAAATAAAAAGAAAAGAGTTTGAACTATAATTCAGTTTTATTGATTCAACCTTTGATAATATGGAGTTCCACCAAAAAAATTCACCGATTCCCCAGAAAATCACTACTGTCAGCATAAGGATAGTAAATTAGTTTATTAAAACGATTTTTTATTTTGAAATATTCTTTTAAACATTAAAAAATTCATTGCTGTTAATTTTTTTAAAAATTTTTTTGACCATGTCTGCTATTAAATTGTTACTATTTATTTAGTTTAATTTTTTGAAATTTATTTTATGACCCAAATTATTATCAGTGTTGATAACCTACAGTGTATTTATTGGGGCTCATTTGGCCTTTAGTACTGCTCAGAATATCACTGGGTATCTTAACATATTAATTTTTTGAAAGCAAAAAAATATAAATTGAAAAGGGATGCTTAATGAAAAATTAGGAAGACCTCCGGTAGCTGAGTGGTCAGCATGAATGACCCAGTGGTCGTGGGTTCAATTCCCACCGTTGCCTTTGGCCCCTTTTTTCATCCTATCCTTCCCCCAACTACATTTTTATGAAAAAACAAATACATACAGCTAATACGCATGTTCATAAAGCTATTAAAAAAAAAAATTAGCTCAATAAAATATATTAACCATTGTTAATTGTTTAAAACAAGATTTATCTCTGTTAAATTCTGACTATTGCAAAGTACTCTGCAACCATAATTTTACTTTCGCAGAATGAGGGCAACATTTGTGAAATTATCATTTTGAGGAATACGAATTTATATTAATAGGCACACTCATACTTGTTATTTATCAAATAGATCGAGCCTGTGATTAATTGAAGAAAAACAAAAATATTGATGGGTTTGTTTATAAAGAAATGAGTAAATATCTTCTGCTCCCAGGGGTCAAAACTGGATAAATAAAATCACGCAACTTTTCAAGATTGCCATTTTAAGGCTTATACTTTTGGGACAAATTCTATTTTTGTAGTAACTATTTTTTATTGTGCTCACATTTCATTAAATTCAATGCAGTTCTAGTAAATAAGATTACAAATTATTTGAGTTTTCAAATAGGCAAGTAAAATTACAAAAATCTCTAAAAAGGCACATTGTGTGAATCAATTCCCTTCTCGACTTTATCAATTAACAAATCTGTTAGGCCTAAAGACTAACTGGAATATGCACTTATCTCAATTTGACAAAATTTTGTCTTTCCAGTATGATATGTGATATAAAAATGTCAATGTATTATGTTTGACTTGTATGCTTTTTATTGACATAGATATAATTCAGCGAGTGAAATTATTTTATGAAATTATAAAGTTGATATTTTTCAGCCGATGTTGTACAAGGGGAGGTTGAAGAATTGATCGAATCTAACTTGAGGGAAAAGGACAGACTGTCGTTTGCGCCCAGCGCCTCTCATTTTACGGGCTCAGCCCATTTCTACGAAGAAGTCGAGGATACAAAAGACAGCGTATGGCTCGTGCAAGTCGTACCAACCTCAAAGCGAGAACCGCTTTTGGACGACTACACTTGGACGATAGTGCGAAACCAAGTTGCCCCGTTTGCTATACGAACTGGGATCTTCGACTGCCGGGTCGACAGTGGACTTTGCAAACGGAAAGGATGGACCAAGTCGCTTTTACTTTTGGCCATGCCAAGAGGAACAAAGCCAAAAGACAAAGTTATTATGAGAACCTGTCAGCTTACTAGATCTAGTGTGAGTATTATTATTATTATTATTATTATTATTATTATTTTGAATAAACTTTTGTTTTAGGCTATAATTGAATGGCTGCGAGAACAGTTATCAGTTAGAGTGAAAAAAGTATCGAGTTATGATGATCTTGAGAAAGATTGGCTTCATACGAGCAGCAATTCTACTTCAAATGATAAAAATATTTCGGTTAAAGTACTGCTACTCACACATCTCTTACATCCCCCTTTATTTTTAGCAGCACTCAGCATTAAATTTACTGGTAACTATTTTTAGTTTTTGTTTATTATACAAAAATAGGCTTGTTTTTTCTCTAGATTACAGGCTGAAATTTTTTGTTAAGCTTAGAAAACAGTTTCACCAATTATCTTTTCCTTGAAATTTTAATCAATTGCCAAGGCACATTTAAAGTTTATGAAAACAAATTTTATTTCAGGAAGAATAACATTTGGAATGTTCACGGTGAAAAAAGAAGAAACAAGCAAAATAGGAAAAGTCCCGGCATATCTTGTTATAACGCCAGACAAAACTATGGTTTATGGTAGGAGAAGAATGGAACATTATAATCTAAAATCTATGAATGCTTATCTAAAATCAATTCAACCAGAGATGAATGATTTTTTCTTATGCAGTCTTCTCCTTGTAAATATGTTTGCTGTATTGCAATTTCTTCAGGTATATTCTATTTATTTCTTTATTTTAAACAATTGAAAAACTTCATTATGGTGTAATTTTTTTAGGTTTGCTCTGATTCTTGGCTGAGATTGATTGTTGCCAGTTTATGGACAATAGTGGTGTGCAATTTACTGCTGTTTTCAGGGTGGCTTATAGCTTTTAGAGTGTTAAGGTGGCCAATAATTTCTTCATTGTGTGAATGGTGTCTTAGTGCAGTAAGAGCTATCGCTTTAAGTGAGACCGGTTCGTTGGTCCGATCGGATTGGCTCCGGTTACTTCGTTCAACGTGGCTTTTTGTATGTTCTCTCTTTGCGTTCGGTTTCTACGCCTGCAGGAAGTTGTCACCCGGAGAATCGTCCGGAACGAGCTGGTGGGACATCTACTGCCTTATCAGATATCAGCAACCACCTTTGATTGAACACGAAGCGAGGGATTTAATCGAAAGGCTGGCTGTTCCTAGCTTCTGGCTCCAACCGATGCACCATTACGACTATATCCGAGACCTGCCTGTTTGGACGTTCCAACTGGAGAAGAAGGTCATAAAAAGAGATACCCCGGAGGCCATCGAGACAATAATGGACTCCAATGACGACAACATTATTAATGAACTGACTCAGAGAGATTTGACATTTGAAAACCAACTAACATTAGAATGTGCAATATGCCTGGACAATTATACCCCAGGTGTCAACATAGTCTCCCTTCCCTGTTCCCACAACTACCATCAAAATTGCATTTCTACTTGGCTTTACAGTGGCAAACACGACTGTCCTATATGTCGTTGGCCGGCATATAGATCTAAAAAACTCAATTAATTTTGACATTCCTCTCATTTTATTTTATTGTGATACCCTCACCTCTCAGCTTATCTCTGTGAGGTGTAAATATATTGTTACCAATTAAAAATCAATATGTTTCTTATTTAACCCTTCCTTTTTATTCATGCTATACATCTACTAATAATGTGAAACTTTTAACTAGTTTTTTTTTTTTTAGTATATGTATGTATAACGGTTTCAAAAAGTGTGGTAAAATTGTATGGCCGATAATCTGCAACACTTGAAGTTATATATTATAGTGTTGTATATATACAGGTATATATAAATTAGCTAATTTATATATACCTAAAATAAAACGTACTAACTTCAAATTTGGAATTTATTAGTCATCAGAAAAAATATTAATAAGGAATCCAAATAGAGAAAACTCAGGTAATAAGAAACAAAGAGTGTTTTTGAAATATTATTAGTAATAATAATTAATGTAGTTAGTTGGTCCTATTAACCACAGTAATTAATTAATTTTTATGCAGTGTGATTGAGTCGAAAAAATAGTGTCACAAGCAGGACTCGAACCCTGGGTAATGATAGTAATAGTAATGTTTAAAAAAACTAATTTATATTTATTAACATTTAAAAAAGTTCTTTCATTAAAAAATTACATTAAAAGAAAAAATAAGGTACAATTAATGGTAAATTAAATGAAGAACAATTGGAAATAAAACTTGTTAAAAAGGAACTGTGCTCAATAAAGGAATCAAACTGAAGTTCAATTAGTAGTTCACAGTTGCACCAAACTACTTGTTCCACATATTGGGAAATATCAGCTAGGTGTTAAAATTAATAATCAACTAGTTAAATACAGTTAATAAATCAAATTATAGTTTTCACAAAAAAAAGTGAATACATTTAATATTGATTTATTATGGGATTTTGTTGATAAATGAGAAATGATGAATCTTGTCAGTCATTTTCATTCTGATCATGTCATCAGAAATTATTAAATTATTTTGTTATTATTAAACCACCAAATTATAAGTGTATTTATTAAATTCACTAATTTTGTGGTCCGCTTGACCAATTAATATATTACAATTAATTAAGGTGTTTTGGTTTAGATAAAAAATTCAATGGCACGAGCGGGATTCGAACCCACGATTTTCAGCTAGATATGTCGCTGCTCAAGGAGGGAAAATTCAAAAGGTGGGGTTGAGATGGGAAGTTAGTGTCCGAGTGGATCGACGTCACGATAGCTCAAGTGGTAGAGCAGCAGCCTATCTAGCCAAAGATCGTGGGTTCGCCATTGACTTTTTTATCTCAACCAAAAAACCTTAATTTTTGTATTGTATTTATTGTTTACAAGCAAAATTAATATGTGATAGCAGTGAATAAATAGAAAATGAAGCAAGATTGTGTATTAATTTTGCTAGTAAACCATTAAAAAACAAGATGAATATTTATATAATAAAGCTAGAGGATCAGGGTTGAAGCCATGAAGGTAAAAAAACCAACTTGTTTTCTGATGTCGAGCTTTCGGCTGTATTTAACGCCATCCTCAGGTATCTATTTAATTAAGTGAAATTTTTTATTACACATTACATATACAAAATTAAAATTATTCAACTAACTTACTCAAAAACCTATTTTAAAAGACATTATTCGGACCACATGTCTGGGCTAATCATTAAAGTTTTTTAAAAATAGGTGTTCAAGTAAGTTAGTTGAATAAGCATTGTAATTTTATATAATGTAACTTGCAATAAAAAATGGGTCTTAATTAAATAGAGTACCAAAGAAGGCACCAAATGCTCGACATCAGAAAACTTTCTCTACCTTAATGGCTTCAATCTCGATCTTCTAGCTTTATTATTTATTATTGAAAACCAATGCCATACTCAACGATAAATATTTATACTTATACATAAGTACTTTCAATAGAATAGAAAAGACTAAGTCCTATTGGTGTTGTGGATGCGGGCTCAAAACATTTTACAATGCTTTTTATATACACCAATTAAAATTCCATGGGTTGTGCTGAGGTTTGAACCCAGAACATTACAATTAATTTTAATTATTAAAGTTTTTACTTTACATTACTTCACTCCTTTTCTTAGTTACTTTACTTTATCTTAAACCACAAGTGGTTTCACATTTTATCTACAGAAGCCACCTGCGAATTTAAGTAAATTGTTTCCTAAGGTCTCACATAGTTGAGTTCCTGAGATTGATACTTGAGGCATCTTCCTTGGAGCATTTGTATATATAATAATTGGAAAAAGTATTATAAAATCGATAGTCCCCTTGTCTTCCTGTATAGTAGGAATGAATTTTTTCCCTTCATTTGGAGTCATGGCAATTTCTTCCTTTAGCACTTAAATATTCGTTATTGTGCTGACCTCTGTAAAATTTTCATTTCATTTAGGATAGAGAATTTTCAGGGATATGGAATCTAGATCTTTTTTTAATGAGGATCAGGTAAATGGTCACTGAATGAAGAAAACATCAAAAACATGCTGAGCCACGGTCCAGATAAAAATTTACAAAAGTTGAAGTTAACAAGCATTCTTTACAGGCCCCAGAATGGGAAATACTTATTTTAAATACAAAAGTGTGTGAACATTGCAAAGGGATTTTTATGCATCTGATAGATGCTACTTGCTTGAATTATTTATTCTCAAAAGAATGCTCAAAATTGAAAAATTGCAATAATTTAAACTGTTTATAATGCAATTTGAATTCTTAATCTTCAATATCTATTTATCTAATTTGTTGAAACCAATTAGTTTGAAAAAAGTAAACAGATCAGTTAGAAAAACAAACAATGCCTATAATCGCATATTTGAACTTTGCACCAATGGTGACGTTTTGTCATTTTCCAAAGGAGATTAGATTCAGACATGTCATTCAACTTTGTACAATGTGTCAAACTGTGACAAAGGGATTTGATAAGGATAAAAGAAACAAAGAGAGATAGGAAAAAAGACTAGACAATGAAATAAAATTTATTGGTTGTACAAAACACCATTTCTACAAATAAGTGTTTTAAAAATTAAACCTTAGTTATGTACAAAATTATAAAAATATTTTTGAAATAGGTTAATACAATTTACAAGGCTTTCTGAAGGTACTCGTCGAACAAAAATACTGAAAGACTGGCGGAATTGCCCATCTGGCTATTTTTGACAAGCTTAGTGAGGTCGTTGGTGTAGCCAGATATTTCTCTGACAGAATCGGCGTGCTTGTGTACAAATTTATTTTCCAAAAAGGAAATTGCCTGCAATATAATAATAATGATGAAAAAATGTAATTAATTGAAGAATAGTTCAGAAATTTTACCTCCGCATCATGATAATCCTTGTTGCGATTTGTAACCCCGCCGTGTACCTTGTGTACCTTTTCTGCAAGGTGCTTGCTCATGTCGAGTGCACGGGCAAGGCTTTCCAACTCGTACAATTCATAATTGACACTCTTATATATAAATACAAAATAAAATAATTAAAAATAAAAATTCATAAATTAAATTGTCCTGATTTGAGAGACTGACCTGGAGATCTTTAGCAGTCCTGCCAAAATTGGTGAATGAGAACGATCCGCCTCTCTTTGCTACGTACTTGGCAAGGTCCATGGCATCCTCCCAAGCGGAATCGGATAATTTTCTGTACAATTTGCTAAATCCGTCACGGTTTTTCTCATGGTTCGCAAAATTTGTGGACTAGGAGGAAAAAATAAAACTGATATAGTGAGAGATTAAATAATACAACAAGAATATTATCTAAATTCGTTTCTCAATGATGATACTCTCAAAATGTTTATATATTTTTTATAATAGCATTTCTTTGCCAAATTAACCGTATCACTAAGCAATGGATTTTTCTTTTTGGCCATTAAGAGATAAGACCATGGTATATGGTATAATATCATATGGCAAATTTATATTATGAAGATTCAAAGAAAAATTGACATGCTAAGGCCAACATTTATAGTACCAAAATTAATTTGAAAATTATTTATTTTTTATGTAATAGATGAAAGGAATTTCCTATTTCAATTATCAGGTCTAAATATTCGATCATGTTAAGAAATACTGATAATTGTAACATTTGTTTGTATGATAACAATATCAGCATAAAAATAAATTTCAGTTTATTACATGATTTATCCTGAGTGAAACTTCGAATTGATGAATTTTAACTGTATCAGTTACATGCAGAATCTTTGTGCCTGAATTTTTTATAATTAAAATTTCTTTGGATGAAAACGATGGCTCTACTCACATACTGTTTTTTCCACCCGCAGTTATCTGGATTTCGAGTCTCAAATGCTCATTCGTCCGGATAACTCCGAAAAATAGTTTATGAGCTGAACCACGGTTCATAGTTTGTTGTTTATAGTTTAAAAGTTTAGTCACATACTTTTTTTGAAGGTTGATAAAGAAATGTTAAAAAATGACAATTTTACATTTCTTAAATTGGTATCAAATAAATATAACACAAAAGGTAAATATTAATAATAAAATAATTACACAAATGTAATAATTAATTAAGAAAATAATGTAAAATTAAAATATCTTCCAGAAATAAACCATGCACTTGAAATCAGCACAGGATGCTAAAACTTATTGGACATTTCTTTAACCATTTTCAAAACAAAAGGCTTAAAAATGAGAAAAATTAAACCATCCATAAATAGAAAGATGACAAAAACAAAGAAAAGAAGAATACTAATCAGAAATTTTTTCTAGTTTGTAGGCCTTTTTTTGAAGTTAAAGAAATTTTTAAACACTAACTACTTTTTTAACGTATGATTTTAAATTGTTTTCATATTACAAATAACACTAAAGGTAAAGTTTAATTTTTTAAAAAAATTCAATTAATTATTCTTTTTATCTAAGGTCTTGATTGAGACGAAAAAGATAGTGACACGAGCTGGATTCAAACCCACGACCTTCAGCGCTCAATACACTGCTGGCTTAACCACGTGTGTAATGTCAATTATGACCGCTAAACATATGTGGATTAATATAATAAGTAAAGAAGAAATCACTTCACTAACAGCTTCCCACAGCCACTTATAAGTCTCTGAGAATCAAACTCTGATTACACAACATTTGAAAAATGGCAGAAAGAGGGAAAATTCCAAAGTTTGAAGGCTGAGATGAGGAATTGCTGTCTGAGGGGATTGAATTCACGATAGTTCAAGTGGTTAGAGCAGCAGCATATTGAGCTGAAGGTCGCGGGTTCGAATCCCACTCATGACACTAACTTTTCCGTCTCAATTAAGACCTTAGGTCAAAGAATAATTAATTGAAATAATTAATATAGTCAATTATGACCACTAAACATATATGGATTAAAATAATAATAATAAAATAATTATAAAAAATAAGTAATTAAGAAAAAGAATAACGTAAAATTAAACTATTTAAAAGAAAGGGAAAAAAAACATACTGGTTGGAAAGGACAGTTCTGCTCAAAAACAGCTTAAAACCAATTTATGAAAACTATCATTTCCAACTAGTGAATTTAAAATTTATACTCAGTCCACCGTTACTATTTGTATTAATAAACTATGCATGTAATTGAAAATGGGACGGGATGATGAAACATATATTTGAAAATTTTTTTAACCGCTTAAAAAAAAAATTGACAGAAATTTTATATCTTAAGTTATACTACTCTGATTTATACTATAGTATATATATACTGAGTACTACTCTGATTTTGTACGTTTTGGATGTGTTTGAATCAGAAGGCTGAAAGGTGCCTACACACACTTTTAATAATTATTTATTAATTTTATTCATTTAATATTATTTATCGCTCTTAGCCCTTTTCTTGGTAGTCTTCATAAGTATACTTTTAAATAACATTTAAAAAAAAATAAAATACAGAGAAAATATTAAAGAATTGTCATACCATCAGCAAGTACTGGTAACTAAAATCGATGTGTGTTCGAAATAGGTCTTCCAGATCTGGAAAAATGTGATGTACGCCAGAGTATTTGGAATCACACGACGGCAAATTTGCTGTAAAAAAAATTATACTCAGTTAAAAATAAACACTGAAGATGGGTAATTTAAATTTTAGATAGTTACTTTTCACACTGCTCTGTGTCATACATGAAGCTACAGTACTGTCATAGCAATATTCTCCATATACAAGACCAATGAAAGCCAAAGGCAGGATTAACGATAAATTCTTCATGGCTGTAATATACAATGTATTATTTTTTTGAACCTAGGAGAAAAATGTATGTTGAACCTTTCTGAGTGTTTAGACTCGAAATGAGATCGGTCGGTAATTTTCGAACAAGAGGAAACCTTGAGTTACCGACGTTATCACAAATGATCGTTTGGAGACTGTTTCCAAGTGGTTGTTGTCAAAGTTAAGAGGCGGGCGCATGCGTCTATCCAACAACGTAATTTAACCATTTCCAAAGGCGCATTAAATAAGAAGGGGAGGACTCGGAAAATAATCGGCCGACAAATGGGAATCCGTTTTACAAATCTTTTACCACCTCTTTGACGTTATCTTACAAATTTTACTTGACCGGTCGATTGTCCTATTGGTACTGTTTTTATCCCTCTATCTATCTCACTCAAGTCGTTAATCAATTTTCTGTCAAATCTAGAAATACATTTTGGAACGGGCCTTCTGCGCCAGTGTATTGTGCAAAGGTTCAGGGTGGGTTTTAAAAGGTTTTTCTGACAGAATTTTCTCCTCCGACAAATCGAGATGAAAAATATAATTTTCCTTTCGGCCCTGTTCGTCTTTGCCGGCGGGCAAGAATTCGAAGACACCCTGGAAGGGAAATGTGAGTAGCCCTTTAACTGTCATTACTTCAAAATCATATATTCTACCTTTATAAATAAATATATTTTTTCAATCATTTTTTGTTCTTTTCTGATTTAATTAGAAATCTGTCGCGTCATGTTTCGCCCTTCTATAATTACTAATCAGTCAACTAATCTCAACATTGTTTTAACTAGTAGTTTGACTTGCTGATTTATTCACAAATGATTCATTATATCCTTTATTGTTGCGCATATAGCTAAATATATAGCAATACATGCTTGTATAGCATATATATACAAGCTATCTATAGCTAAATAGCTTCATTGTTCTAGAATTATTTGTTGTACATATTTGACACAGACAAAGAAAAACAATGCTAATTTTTTTTCCCAAACCCAATTTGCAAAGGCAAACTTTTTTCTCACTAATTGGAACATTGTAAGCAATTTAGAGATCTCTATTTCTGGAATTTATAGTTTTGAAATATTGCTTTAGATGTGAAAATTGATAAACTGGTATGGTTTGCCTTTGTGTTATGTCGACAGTCCAGTCCTGGTAAGGCCAACAAGCACGAAAAGTCAGGTCGGAATGATTGAAGATGACTGAAATACATATTCCTAGGGATTTAGATTATTTTTAATTTCTCTCAAAAGAAACAACGTATTTTTTTTTTTTTTTTACATTAATGTATAGTTATATGTTTTTCATTTGATCCTGAAAGAATGTAAACATGTTTTCTATTTCTAATTTTTTACTTCACATGCTTAGATTATTAAAAACTGTGGTTTGTCATTGTAATCTGCATCACCATATATTACTATTTATTATCACCTTTAAAATAATGAATTTTAAAAAACCGATGGTCTTATATTTTTACAGTTCAATCGGTTGTTTCACAAACTTCAGATTTTAAAGCACGTAGACATTTCAAAAAGATTTTATTTTAATGAAAGCTATATTCTTTTATTGTTGTTCTTTTTTTCCTTTCATTGGTAGAGGCTGTCTAGCTAATAAGGTTCGTTAGTCTACACTTTTTTGTTGTACATATTTGACATAGGCAGAGAAAAACAATGGTTCCACAAACCCCAACACTACTTGGAAAGGCAAACTTTTTTTTAAATCTCTAATTGGAACCTTGTATGCACTTTAGAGATCTCTATTTCTCGAATTTATAGTCTTGAAATATTGCATTTAGATCTGAAAGTTGATGAATTGGTATAGTTTGTCTTCATGTTATTTTATCAGTCCAGTCCTGGTAAGGCCAACAACTGAGAAAAGTCATGTCAGAATGTGTGAAGATGACCGAACTACAGATTCCGAGGGATTTTAGATAATTTTTAATTTCTCTAAAGAGAAACAACATATTTATATTGTGTTTGTTTCGTGTTCGTTTTTTCTACATTAATGTAGTTATGTATTTTTCATTTGATCCTGAAAGAATGTAAAAAAATTTCCATTTCTAATTTTTTTACTTCACATGCTTAGATTATTAAAAATAGTATCTGTCATTATAATCTGCATCACCATATATTTATCATCTTTAAAATAATTAATTAAAAATACAGCTGGAATTATTTTTTTACAATATTCAGAGATTGTGAGATGTGGTCTGGTGTGGCATAAGTTTTAGAAAAACATTTTCTTTATCGTGCCAACGTTTCGATCTTTATTGAGAACATCTTCAGAGCCTGGGATTTACAAACATTGTTTAAATTTAACAAATACATGTAGATGTGGAACAAAATGAATTTATACAATGCAAAAAACAAAAAAAATTGTAAATTCATTTTGTTCCACAGCCTACATGTACTTGTTAAATTTAAACAATGTTTGTAAATCCCAGGCCCTGAAGATGATCTCAATAAAGATCAAAACGTTGGCACGATAAAGAAAATGTTTTTCTGAAACCTATGGCACACCAGACCACATCTCACGATCTCTGTATAATCGTTGACTAACGAACTCTAAATCACATATATTTTTACAGTTCAATCAATTGTTTCACAACTTCAAATTTTAAAGCACATAGACACTTAAAAAAAATTTTTTTTTTAATGAGAGTATATTCTTTTATTGTTGTCCTGTTTACCTTTCATTGGTAGAAGCTATCTGTAGCTAATAAGCTTCATTATTCTAGAATTTTTTTGTTGTACCTGTTTGACAGACAAAGAAATGCAACGCTAATTGTTTTCCACAAACATGACTATTTGCAAAGGCAAATTTTTTTCTCACTTTTAAAGGATCCCTATTTCTAGAATTTATAGTTTTGAAATATTGCCTTTAGTTGTGAAAGTTGATGAACTTGTATGGTTTGTCTGTGTGTTATTTTGTCAGTACAGTCCTTTCAGTAAGATAGTTAGTCGAGAAATGGTTTAAACAAGCCAGCTAGTAAGCATAGTCAGGCCAGAATGATTGAGGTGTTTGTTTCTTGTTAGTTTCTACATTAATGTAGTTATGTATTTTTCATTTCATACTGAAAGAATTAAAAAAAATTAAAATAGCCAATTAAAAACTGCTGGAATTATATTTTAACAATTCAATCAATTGTTTCACTTCAATTTTTAAAGCACATAGTCACTTCAAAAAGTTGTTATTTTTATGATAGTGTATTTTTGTTATTGTTGTCCTTTTTTTCCTTGCATTAGTAGAAGCTATGTATAGCTAAATAGTTTCATTATTCTAGACTTTTTGATGTACAGAAAATACAATGCAAAGACAAACTTTTTTGAAAACAACTAAAGATTGAACAACACACTCATTCCACCAATCATCATTTTTATGGTTTAAACAAGCAAAAAAGCCAGAATAGTCAGGCCGGAATGTTTTAAGATGACTAAACTTCAGATTCTTAGGGATTTTAGATTATTTTTAATTTCTCTCAAGAAAAACAACATATTTATATTCATTTAATGTTTGTTTCTTGTTAGTTTCTACATTAATGTAGTTATGTATCTTTCATTTGATTCTGAAAGGATGTAAAAAAATCTCCATTTCTAGTTGTTTACTTCATATGCAGACCTTAAGCATTTACAATGGTGGTTATTATAAATTACATCCTGTATTCATTATAGTTTATTACTATATTAAAAGTAATTAAAAATCCATGAATGAATTATATTTTATCAAAAAATCAATCAAATTTTAAAACTCATAGTCACTGAGGTTTTTCATTTTGATGTTACATTACTTTTTTATTTATTTATGTACATATCTCAATTTTCAACATCTTTAAACTAAATTTTAAATTTACATCCCAATTTCCAGAAATAAAACTGCTTTGAAAATGATATGGCGAAAGATCGAGTAGATTGAATGTTTTTTAGCACCTTAAAAAAGGCCCATAAATAAGATGAATTAAATTATTATGTATTTATTTTTTATTTTTTTCATGCACAATTTATGTTTATTTATAAAAAAAAAGAACATTTTGCAGCATTTATAATTAAAACACGGATGTTTGTGCAAACCCACACATACAATTTTTCTTTAGAAATCAGTTGGGAATGTTCAGATTCTGGCAACTCTAAGAGTATTGATTTTAAAAATTATGACTATTCTTAAGTAGTGTGAGGTTACTAAAAATTGGTACTGATGGAGTGAGTGTATCGATTCAATAGTGAAAATGATGGTTCTGCTATTTTGAGATTTCTTGCGAGGTAATGAGCCGTAGTTTGGTCTTTTTGTCTATTCAGTGGTTAGTCGATTTGATGCTAAAATGCAAAATGGCAAGACTGAACAGGCTAAAAATGAACGGAAACATTCAAGGTACAGATTCTGTGAAATTTTAGATCACTTGAGGCTTTTTTCCCCTCATATTTTCTGGTAAAGAATGTGTCATATATCACATTTAGTAGTACATAGTATCACTTTTTATAGTTTTATGAAATAGTTAGACTTATCAGAAGATTTAAGGATTTTTGTTCTTGACAAATTAATTTATTTTAAATTTATATCAAGAGAACAACAAATTTGAAGATTCAGTTTTATTCAATTATCCTACTAGGTTCTCCTTATTCTCTTCCTCTATGTAGACAAAAGACATGGAACACTTGTAAAAATTTACTGTGCACAATAAAATTAAAAAGGACAAACCACTTATGAAGTCTGGAGTTTGCCAAGTTTTAAAAGTACAAATGTATACAGTCGGTTTAATTTAAAAAGAAAAAATCCCTCACATTCCTTACATTTCTAACAATTCAGTGATAAATGTTGTAATCATCATCATCAATCAAAATGCATAAAATTTTATAGATATCAACTAAATCACTTAATGTCTTTGAAAGACATTTCAACATTAACCACCTAAGGTCTCAGAAATTCTGGTGGTGATCAAAAACTAACAGGGAAAAGGTTAAAATTAAAATGCAAAACGACAATGATGGTCGGCTACAAATTCTGCAAAATTTTAAATCAATAAAACATTTTTGTTTATTTCTCTCAGAAAATTCTGCACTTTTTGTTCTTCATTTTCAGAAAATTAGGCAGTTATTTGTTCATTTGTCTTAGAAAATTCCTTTTTTTTAATCTCAGAAAATACTACAATTTTTCGTTCATTTGTCTCAGAAAATTCTACATTTTGTTAATTTCTCTCATTAAATTCTGTAAATTTTCTCTTGAAAATATTGCATTATTTTGCATTGATCTATTGTCTTCAGCCATGTTAATATTTATTATATTAATGTTATATATTTATTATAACAGTTATAATTTCTTGCCAGTTTGTTTAACAAAATTGACCAAAGTAAACCTAGAAATTTTCTGTGCTCATTTAAATTATATAACTATAAGGCTTAGTAATTTTACATTGTGTATTGTACATTGGTTTAGTGTATGAAAAATCTTTCTTTCCTTCTAATATTTTCTGCCGTACCATATAAGTTTTGTTTTTCTACTTGTTTGCTTATGGTATAACGATCACTGTCTTCCTGACCAATCATGTGTAGGTACTTCTGGTTTGACCGCAGCCTCTGTCTATTGTGACAGTGCTATACCATTCGGATGTTTCTACGCAATTTCATGTTCACGTCTCAGAAAATTTGACCTTTTTTTGTTGGTTTTTCTCATTAAATTCTGCAAAAAAATTTAAATTTCTTTAGAAAATCTGCATTTGTGTTCATTTCTCTTATTAAATTCTGCTAATTTTGTTCATTTCTCTTGAAAAGATCGAAATTTTATTAATTTGCCTCAAAAAATTCAACATTTTTTTGTCCATTTCCCTCAGCAAATTCTACAATATTTGTTAATTTCTTTCAGAAAATGCAATATTTTTGTCCATTTCTCTCAATAAAGTCGGCAAAATTTGTTCATTATTCTCAAGAATTCTCAGAAAATTTGACAATTTTTTGTTCATTTACCTCAAGTATTCTTCTATTTTTATTAATTTATCTAGGAAAATTCTGCAATTTGTTAATTTCTCTCAAAAATTGTACAGTTATTGTTCATTCCTCTCTGTAATAATAAAAAACAAAAAGAAAAGTGGGTCCATTTCTCTCATCAGCAATTTTAAAACTGTTTCCAGTTTAATTAATAATTTTCATTTTAAGACTTCTTAATTATCAATTTGCTGGTGGTCCTTTAGATTAATCGTCACTTGTTCAACAAACATTTTGATTTTGAAATTACATTCACTTCATGAAACTTCATTTTAACAATGTTAAGCATTCCTAGGAATGTTAGCTTATTTTAAATTTACCTTCAATAGACTCGACATATTTAAGTTTTAAATTGGTATTTACATTTAATCCATACTACGATGTGAATCCTTTGATTATGGAATCTATTTGTGTAGTAATAAAAATGTCCAATAATGTCCTTTATTTAAGTTTAGATACTAGACTTAAGTCATACTAGTGATCAGTTACTTAATAATGAAATAATTTAAAAAGTGCACAGATTTTACATAACATCATTACAGAATATTTACAATAAATCGTATAAAAGTATATTAAATATCACTTTCACTAGTAAATGATAGATTAAATTGTGGAGGAATTACATAACTTATCGAAATAAAAGTCTGATTTGACATAGTTGACAAATGGATAAAATGTAAACCCAAAAAGCGAGAGACTGATTAATTGTCTGATCTTTGTACCTTAAGAGCCCACATTAATAAGATTGATTATTAAATTCCATTGTTTAACAAGTTAAAAATTTTCCCAACAGATTATAATAAATATTCCACACCCATGAAAAACAGGCATATTTTTCTGTATCATTGACCTTTGATCCCTCTTTTTATAACAGCTTATTGGGCCTTGTTCTCATTTTGACTCTTCCCTTAACTTAATTTGTAAATTGAGAAATGTTACATCTTTTGTGCAGCCTGATGGCCAATGATTGTAGATAAACGATGTAATAAAATGAGAAAATCATCACATCCTTTCAATTCTTATAACCCAATACAAAAATTATCAGTGACAAAAACCACCACTATTACATCATGAGTAGTTATCGAAAGACCATTTGTTTTTGTTTAAATGCTTTGATTCCTTATCGTATTTGACAATGATTTCACTTTAAAATATCTTAAACATTCACAATTTGTACAAGAATTGTAAGAAATACAATAAAATCAAAACAATACAATAGCGTTTATTTTTTAAATTACTTTCTAGGCAAAAGTAAACTTTTAAGTAATGTGCCTACTGACTGGATCACGATGTCCGATGGTTGCACACAAAAGATGAAGGAACAGGTCAAAGAGGAGTTTCAAGCAGCTATGACTTACATGGCAATGGTAAGATGCCACGCCCATGTTATTATCATATAATGTTTTAACAAACCAATTTTATTTTTATTTTAAGGGTGCCCATTTTGCTAAAGATGTAGTCAACAGGCCAGGTTTTTCAAAAATGTTCTTCAAAGCTGCCTCAGAGGAAAGGGAACACGGCATGAAGATAATGGACTATCTTATTATGAGAGGAGGTCTTCTTAAGGATTTCTCTAATATTATTGGCCAACCTGTAAGTTTTTTTTTAAATTCCTTCCTCCTCAAATTAATGTGTGTAACTTATTGACTTTTTTTTAGAGACCGACAAATAACAAAACGGCTTGGAAATCAGGATTTGAAGCCCTTTCTGATGCGCTGGCCCTGGAATCCCATGTGACTAGAAAAATTACGGCATTGGTAAAAGCTTGTGAAGATTCGCCGGCCATTGGTATTCAGCTTCGTAATGATTATCATGTAAGCAATCTATCAGTAAAATTGATTTATTCAAATACTATAAATGTACGGTATGTATTTGTATGTAGTAAAAGATCATAAATAGTAACTAATAAAATAAACATCCACAAATTTTACTCCTTGACCCAATATTACCATTTGAACAGACTGTCTAGATGTATTAATCTAGAAACCAGATGCGTTCCTAGAGAAAAAGATACCTTTCTTACATTTACCAGATTTTCATATATCATTTTCATTATCCTATTACACATGTTTGGCTTTTTAAAAATTATTGTTCATTCTTTTATTCTATTAACAATTGCAATTTCCAATTGTATTATAGAAATTTAAACATGGCCAGTTTGCCATTTGTCAATTAAAGATAATTTATCAATCTGTTCTGCTAATATTTGCTTTGAGATAGGGCCCATTGTTCGTATTGACAGTTTGTTTAATTGTTTTTTGTTTTTTTCTCGTGGGATTTTTTTATTTTAATATCGAATGTTTTTATCGTTGCCAAACAGTTGTCTCTTCTCTAAAATCAGTTATACACTGAAAATTCTATATTTCCAGCTTGTGGACTACTTGACCGGCGATTTCCTTGAAGAACAGCTCAAAGGGCAGAGAGAGATTGCAGGAAGGGTTTCAACTCTTGGTAAGATGATGGATGACCACGGCCCCCTCGGAGAGTTCCTGTATGACAAGAAACTGCTGGAGGAATAATTGCAATAATGCTGTGTACATAATTTAAAAAAAAAATCAAAGAAAGATAAAAAGTTGTATCGATATAAAAATTTACACTTTTTATATTCATATTTTTTTATATAGGCAGTCATATTTTAAATTCAAAAATTGAAATACAAATTCTTATTATGTAAATAACTTGAAAGAATTATTAATAAGTCAATACATTTTTTAATATTTTATTTGTCTTGGATTTCTTTACCTTTCTTATTTTTAGAGATAATTATCCACCTTTCAGCCATCATACTAACAGTTTGTGCATGCAAAACACAAATGCATACAAAATAATCCAAAATGAGTATTTTAAAATAGTTTATTTAACTAATAATTAGGTCTTTAACTTTTTCTTCAAAATAATTAACTTTTAAACCTACGATCTTTTTTGTCATTTATTTGTAATCTAAGGTAACCTTTCTTGCCGATTTTATATCAATATAACAAGGATACAAAATAATTTATAACCTATACAATATTTGTATATAAGTATCATGTATATAAAAATATATATAAAAGGTAAAAAGTATCAATGGTTTTTCACCTCATTCATAACTTTTCACCCTAGTTAGAGATTTCTTGCAAACTTTCAAATAATGTATCCCAAAATAGTACACAAAATATATTTTTTGGGGGTTTTTTAGGTGTCCTTTCTGCCACTTGGTTAAGTTTCTTCTGCCTTTCCTTTCTTCTACGGGGATACTTGCCTCGACTCAATTTTTATAAGGCTGACATTTTCCTTGTATATGGGATTTTCTGTTGTCCACACTCCTGTAGCATCTGTCCATAGTTTTTTTTTAATATTTTATTTCAAAGCTGCCAGACTTCTGTATTTCAGAAATGATGTCGTTAGATATTTTATTGAGGTCTTGCAATTGATGAATCTCACACTTGTGATCATCCTGCTAATCTGCTTACCCTTACTGGTTAAGGAGGGCTTAATATACCAAGCACATGTGGGGTCAAAAATCACTTTACAATACTTATAAAATATTATGATCAATTAAAAAGTCATGGGTTATGCCAGGATTCGAACCCACAACCACAAGATAAATACAAGTCAGATGCTCTAACCACATGGCCACAGTAGTCCTCTGCAAAATAAAAAAATAAAACAGTATTTGAAACAATTTGGATTTTTTCCTTTTGGGCCTGTTGAAAGAGTTTGGATTGATTTAGGAACAATTAATCCCATCAATAAATATGTCAAAACAATTATAAAAATACACAAGTTTGTAGATAAATTTAAGAGAATAGAAGGTTAAGAGTTTTTACTCTTTAAAAGCTTATACTAGATATTGGGAAAGATAAAAAAAGCCATAAATAACCAGTATATATTGTTTAATAGAGTATATAAAGATAAATTTATACAAATACATCTTTAAAAAAAATGTAGATATAGACGACAAAATAAATACCTTCATAGTTCATTGGTCATAGGATTTTTTTCTAAAAGAAGAAAGGAATAATATTACTCTTAAATACTATTTTGGATTTGAAGTGCTCACACACTACACTTTCATGATAATAAGTACACTCATGCTAATAAATATATTCACTTTCTTCATATGTTAGGTGCACAAAAAACTATCATTATCATTACTGTATACAATAAAACCACCCTGTTTCTTCCAAAAATTGCAAAAGGGGAAGTATTCGCAGCTAACTCAAGCGTGATTCTCGTATCAGGTTGCATTCCTACATACTCTCTATATGGAGCCACAGAATTGCACCCATCAACTAGGTGGGACACAACGAGCAACTTTCTCTACATGCCGGTATGTATTAGGTATTTATGCCGGCTTGGTTCAAAAAGTAAGTGTCCTTGTGTCAACCTCGCAAGGCCTATCCTTATCGGATGATGTTGACTCTTCTACGAGTCAGATCCTCCAAGGCCACGTACTGACAGTGGTCTTCATACATGATAGCTTCTCTATTAAATGTTATTATTATTTATTATTAAAATTAGATGTACTTCATTATCTGTTTTTCAATCATGGCCTATTTCTTATGAACAATTTTTATTCGGCCAAATGTAAAAAATTACTTATTAATTGTACAAATGAAATTGGATTATAATTATTTCTTTATTCATCATCCCAGAACCAACCCAACTTATAATTATTTTAAATTATAAATCTTGGTTTAGACTTTTTAATTTCATTTTGCCTCTTCAACAAGATTTATATTATAACATGTTTGATTCTGATAATCCTGGACGTTAAGCCTTACTGCTTTTTTCAGTGTATTTTTCCCGATACCATTAGAACCTATAAAAATGACATGTGAAAACACACAGACCAACCAAAATGATAAGCATTGGTTTGAGAAGACAAAACAGTGAGCATAGTCTGTTCTGGTTCATGAAGAAATGCACTAAGCCATATTTTTAAAAGGATAAAAATTTAATAAAAATATTACTTTCAGGATAATTTTTTTTTCTTACAGGTGTACTTATTAATAATACGGAAATTTTTAAGAATAAATTATCTTTTTAATGTTTTGGTTTTTGTTAAAAAAAATTCTTCATGGTTTAAAAAAATGTAAGTTTGTTACTTTAAATATTTATTTGGATGTTTTGGGACTTAATACCCTTCATCAACATCTTTAAAAAAACAAATTATTAAATTTTCATTATATTTAATTTCTTTTAAAAAATATATGACCTATATAAAACACATAGAATTGTTTTTTTAAACAAAAACCATAAAAATATCACATTAAGATTATTATTCTCATTATTAAGATTAAATTTAAAACTTGTTGATTTCACCGTGAAATTCATATTCACTAATCCCTAAAATTTTGTAGGAAATTCTTGATATATTTTTGTTTTATTACTATTAATGGTCTGTTGGCACAATGCTTCATTGTATAATTGAACTCAGGATCAAAAAACACGTGGCTCTGAAACCACAAGTCTAAACATTATTTTCCAGACACAATTTCAATAGTACTTGAAGTTTTTATGACAGAAGTGTTATGTTGCCTCGTGGCTGATAACAATGTCACAAAATAATTGTGTGCTTCATGATTGAAGAGATGGCCTTATGATTTAATTACTGAAGCACTTTAATTGAACTACTGATATCATTTAAAAGAATGATTAATATACTTTTCATATTGAAAAGAAAAAAAAATCTTTTAGATAAGATTATAGTTCATTTTAATTTTTCAAGACTACCTAAATTTTCATCTAAGTATTTAATAATTTCAGTTTTTTGTCATGACTAAAACACATCATTAGGGTGTAATTTTTTGACCCTCAATCTTAATTATTTTGGATAATGTTAGGGATGAGTTTTTTTCTACAAATACAAGTGCTTCCTGCAAAATAATTTGCCAATTCTTCAGTGCCTTGATACGCGTAGTCTTGTCATGTTTTTATAAAAAGTAAGTCTCACAATTTTGTGTATATTTCTGTAGGAATTTCTGGCTACTGCCACTTTCTCAGCATCGTCGGTGGTTTGCTAGAGCAATACCTCTGAAAAGTACAAATACTTGGGATAACACACATTTGAACAACTAAAAATAGCAAATGAATCTGTCAGTAAACAAAAAACAGCCAGAACAGGTAGTAGTTTAGTAAATTTTTGGGAAATTTGTAATAAAATTCATCTAAGCCAACCAAATAAAAAAAAGTAAAGTAATTCCTGTCATACAGAAGAGCTTAACGTCCAACTATCACTCGGTCACTGTGGTCCCCAGAACACACCTTCAGCACATACTGCATTTATAATTTATCAATTAGTACCTACAGTTCTTCAAAAATAGCTTCATGTTTGGAATTCACGAACACAATAAACAATATATCAAATATACAATTAAAAATGTTAACTCTTTTATTAAAAAATATACATATTCATATACAAAAAAATTATGTTTTAGAAAAGATGAAAAACAGAAACATGTGTTTTTTTAAACAGTTAAAAAGATCACAATCAAATTCATATTATTTTTTTCTATGTAATTACATCAAATGTAATATGTTATATTAACTTTGTGTAAAGGTCATTGTTACAAAATAAATTTCTTCAAAATGATCAATCATTGAATTCGTTTAAAACATAAAATGTTTAAAAAAAAGTGCTAAAATAATATACAAATGTAGTATGTATAAGGAATAACTTGTTATATGAAGTGACATTAAATGTAATTGATTAAAAAGAAATTGACTAATTATACTTAATATTTCTCTTCCCCCATCCACGCCCTGATACTGGCCACACAGGAGTGTCTCGTTGGACTCCGACCATTCTCGTACCACCTAATTAGAAAAATGTAAATTATAATCCTGATATATTCATTCTATAATACCATAAAAATTAATAATCAAATTATAAATATGTAAACAGACTTTACATCTTACAAGACACCAAACAAATAAAAATAATATAAATAAATATCGAAGAAAAGAATAAATAAAAATTCTATCTTCAGCTCCTTTATACTTTAAATGGCGGTTAAAAAAGAAATCTACACCAGAATTTTCAAGAAACAAGACAAACATAAAATGACTAATTTATTATAATTAAAAATAACTGTCCGAACATTACCTATTTCTGGAAAATCATTAGGATCTGAAATGAATCCATCAGAAGTGTTTGGAATGTTGAACACTGAAAAATAATTAAAGTAGTGAATTCTTATTACAAAATGTACAAAATAAGTATTTTTTACCAGTCAAGGAGGTTGGTGGTCTAATTTCTTCATTAATAGCGTTCAGCTCTTCTTGTTCGATTCTCTCTTGTTCTCGTTTTGCCTAGCAAATAAAATAATTATTAATAATACATAGTATGTTATTATGTCAGAAAAAGCATTTTTGTTGTAACAAAAAATACAGGACAATTAATTAAGGTTTTTAGTTGAGATAAAAAGTCAAATGGCACGAGCGGGATTCGAACCCACAATCTTCGGCTAGATACGCCGCTGCTCTACCACTTGAGCTATCGTGACCTCGATCCATTCCCATCTTAACCCACCTTTTGAATTTTCCCTCCTGGGTTCAAATCCCGCTCGTGCCATTGACTTTTTTATCTCAACTGAAAACCCTAATTAATTGTCCTATATTAATTGTTCATGCGGACCATAAAATATTTAGTGAATAAAAAATACACACGATTATTAAGAACCAGTATCTCAATTTTTTGTTTAACTTTTTGATAAATAATATTAATTTATCCTTAATTGAAATAGGAATCTGTTGTTTTAAATTTCTTAAAGTAATTCACTCTGTCCACAAGTTAATTTCTAAACCGATTTTTTATTAAAAGGAAACTTTTGTTTAAAAAGCATTTAGTAGAATAATCATACAAAACGTACAAGGTATATTTAAAAAAAATCTAAAAATAAAACCCCCCACAAATTTTGACATTTAATAACAACATACTTTAAGTTGACTGTGGTCAATAATAGTCGGCATAAATGATATATTCTTTGCTTTGTTGCTTTCTTCATCTGGTTCTTCTGCTTCCTATTGATGACAACAAAAAAAGATGTTTTATTGATGATGTAAAAAAATTATACTTTTAAAAACTTACATATTCCTCTTTAGGCTTTGGTGTCTTCTGTAATTAAGTTGTTAATACCAGCCATAATATTAAATTATTATAAATATAGTATATTATAAGTATATATATCATAATTAATGAATTATTAAGTAGTATTACGCTATGTCTAGAATTCTGAATTGACCAAGTAGTATCAACTTCATTGGCTACATGTTTCCCGACTTCCAACTCGACTCCAATAAATTTGCAGCAGTGATCACAAAGTGTATATACCCAACGTGTCACTATTGATAACGAGCACATCATTGCCAAGTCTTTCTCTTCATGAAACTGGAGGGGAAAAAATGTAAGTTTTGATAGAAAGCACGGTGAAATCAGATTGTGTGTTGTTTTATGTCGGAACCTACCTTACAAGCTAAATTTTTAAGACCACCGAAAACATCTTTTTCAATTTCGTTTTCTACAATTGCCAGGCTCGGCATAGGCGCCTCTGACGTATTCTCCACGACTTTGTTTCTAAGCTCGAAAAACAACTGTGGCAAAGAGTAGACGCGCAAAAGTTCAGGATCATTTTGTCCCGCTGCACAAAGCAAAGACATGGCGCTTTTGACAGCGTTTAAAGATGTGTTGGAATTAAGGGAATCGGGCATTGTATAAATTGGTGGAACAGAGTCAGCAGTATGATTTCGCTAAAAAAAACAACAACAAATAATTAGATTCTAAAATGCAAAAGAAATGTTGCCTGAATTGATAAAATAATTTATAATTTTAGCAAATTATGTTATCTTATACAAAACATTGGTTCAATTATATTAAAACAAAATAAGACATATTACATATCTAGTATTTTCTGGACAAAGATGAAGTTAAATACAGAAAAATTCAATCTATTAAATGAACTGATATAATTTTTAAATGTGCATCCAATTTTACTATTGAACTATTACAATTATTAACTACTTCAAGCTAAATAACAAACAATTAACATGTTTTATATCTTACTGTTAGAAAATTAATCAGTTTGTTAAATATTAGGAAATGGTCAGTTTCTCCTTCACTCCAGTTAAGAGGAATCGAATGCGTTTTCTCCGACCAGTCGAGAGCTTCGAATCTCAGACCCATAGGAACTTTTCCAGGATTAATAAAACAATGAAATTTATTTAACAGCCCGTCTCCAAGCGTGAATTCCACAACTGCAATTTCAGCCGGGGCGTAGAAATCATCGGTTTTGTAAGTGAAATTGACGTGGCAGAAATAGAACGGGAATGTTTTTATAGCTGAAAACAAATTTCGTTATGGCTTGTAAGGAATAATTTTAGGTTGAAACAGGACCTACAAGAGCTATTGAGACTTTTCACAGTATTTCTTATAGTTTGCTTCATTATTTGATATTTTTCATCTGCTTCCCTCTCTTCAGCCATTTGTGCTGCAAAACTGATGCCCAAGGACGTGAACTTATTAGTTATTTCTTTGGTGGAATTCTTGACACCTTTAGCCTTCTGGTTGTATTCAGCTTTTTGGTCAGGAGCCAGTGCCTATGAAATTTATACATTGTATACAATTAATCAATTCAAAATGAAATCTCATACATACTCCCAAACTCACTCGAGAAACCATAACTTCTCAAATGGCTTCAACTTGTGTGTCAGTATTTTAATATTTATCATACATTAACATAATTACAAATTTGGTATACATTTTGTTGTCATCATTAATTTAAATTTAAAATGTTCTTTAAACAACAAAAAGTAGGGGAATTTCTCAATCTTATTAGGATTAATGATTATTAAAAAGATATTTATGCCAATGTTTAAAATAAAAATTCATTGAGTATGCTTTTCTTTATTTTCCACCATTGTTCCTTTTTTTCTATTCTTTCAAATAAACCTTACATAAAAGTTCTAAATTTGGCCTTAATATTTTTGGTCTGTATATATTTTATCTGGATTTGTATATTATACACGTTTCAAAATTCAGTGACGAACCACTGAAAGTGTCAAAAGGCCAAAGCGCTTGATAGGCAGAATCATCAAAAACAGGCGGGGTTAATAAAGCTACAGGTTAAAGCAAGATTAATTATCAGTTATTTGAAATATTTAGTGAACTTATTTTGCCAAAATGCATAGGCTATCAACCCTGTGACTTTACGCACTGACCAGTGACCAGAATGATGAAGGGATAACGCTACTGGTCCTCAGGTATCGACAATGCAACATTGATCTTGGCCATGCAAGATCAATCATCATGAACAATGGTCAACTCGGACTGCAGCATGATCATCCTGGTCTCAGCCCATTCTACCTGGATTTGTCTGAACTGTTTTGGCATTAAAAGATTAAATATTAAACAATGAAGATAGCAAAAAAATAGACAGAACCGGTAAGGATGAGGATGGTGAAGAGAAGAAGCTACTAGTTCCCAAGTATCCACAATGCAAAATTGATCTTGGCCATGCAAGATCAATCATGATGAACAATGGCCAGCTCTCTGATTTTAGCATAAATATCCTGGTCAGCCTTTCCTACCTGTATTTGTCTGTCAAGTGATTTGACATTAAATCTTGAAAATATGGTAACCCTTTGAATATAGAAAATACAAACTGAACCAGTAAAACAGTTGACCAGGATAATGAGGAGATGAAGCTATATGACTCCAGGAGGACATAATGATTGAACCTGATCATCCAAGATCATCAATCATGAATGATCACCTTGTCAGCCTCTAAACTCCACTCATTACAATATCTAATGATCAACAGGTAGACTAATTTTAATTTTTATGCCAACATAGACCGATTACAGGCGAGAAGATTTAGTACAAAGCAACTTAGGTTTTGTGTTTAACCCTGATTGAAGAGATCTTAGGGGTAATTGAATCCAAACAAGCAGGCTTGAAACTGACAAAATTTAAAGTGATAAAAAGCAATTTTGTTTCATTTCACCTCCCACAAAGGACCAGCATAGTCAGCCACTTCTTTCTTATTGGCAAACGTTCGTCCTTTCCTCTCTTCGTCAGCCTGGACGTCTAACATGAAGTAGTAAAATCCATTTCTTATCGTTTTCTTTTTCGGTGCCATCTGCCTATTTTTCACACAAAAAAAGTATTAAAAATAGACAAGAAAGGACAACCCTTAGAGAACCGGAGGGAGGGAAACCGACAAACCGCCAATAATTTTGGAACGTACCTTTATTTTATGATGTCACAACGTTTTATAAAAAGATTAACGTTTGTTAAATTGTCACATCAACACTTTTTCAGGGGTTAAGGATGTGACAAGGTGTACTGCTACCAGAGTTCAGCAGGATAAGAAGCCGGTGTTTAACATTCAATCTCCTGCCTTCTGAAGTGATAACATGCTGATTTTATTCTGTACTGGAGCTGGAGAAATTCCGGTTGTCTGGGTGCCAAAAGGGCAAAGGCCAAAGGCACTGAAACACAAAGTGAATTGGCGGCAACTCTGAAAGGGATACTTTAAAAAAACAATAATACAGAAATAATATACACTATACATCTTTTTTACAATATACATTTAAGTTTAAAAAAAATATATATTTGACAACCTAAACAGTTTCAGCATTTAGCATATACGTTATCTACATTATCCACACATTTTAGCATAAATTATTCTTAAAAATAAATTAGCATGTTTTGATAAAGAACTTATAAAAAATTGTGATATAATATATATTGTTATAATATATAATGACAATAAAGTGTCTTTTTATCAAATTATTGGAAATTTAATTATTAGCAAATAGCAAACAAGAACTCATGTCGAAACCTACTCACCGGTTAAAATGTAAACTGTGCTATATTGTAATCCCCTTAAACACAAGATTTAATTAAATTTATAAATTTAATTTATATGTAATTATTGTAAATATACGATTAATAAACACGATGATGTACAGAGGGCCAAAAATGCTTATTTTAATGATTTTATTTACCATCCTAACTCTACTCAAGTCGGACGAAATAGAGGAAAAAGAGGGTGTTAAATATGCGAATAAGTGCGAAGGTGAGTTTCATAATTCTATCCTGTGGATTTTTGAATTGTAACATTGTTGCATGTTGCAGTATGCAAAATATTGGCTGTCGAGTTGGAAAGCCGTCTCGAGGAAACCGGCAAGACGTCGGAAGTTATCGAAATCGGATACTCCGTAGAGATGCCGAAGAGGAAAACCCAATATAGGAAATCGTGTGTAATGACAAGGATTCGGGGGTGAAATTTTTCATTAAAACAATAAAATTCTTTTTAGCGAGTTGAGGCTTCTTGAGTCGCTCGAAGGAGTTTGCGACCGCATCCTGGAATACAACATACACAAAGAACGGCAGGACAGCACTAGGTTCGCCAAGGGGATGAGTCAAACCTTCAAAACACTGCACGGTTTAGCGTAAGTTTATATTTCAATTATAGTTTTTATCTAAGGTTGAGATAAAAAGGGTAATTAAAAAATAATTAATACAGTAAAATAAAGAAGAGATGGATCCATATTAGGTCAGACGTCATCTGGATCCATCTTTTCTTTATTTAAATTGTAGTGGGTTGACATTTAATGTGTGGTGTTTAGTGACTGTTACTTGATGATTACTTGGAGGTCGTGAGATGCGGTCTGGTGTGACGTAGGTTTTAGAAAAACATTTTCTTTATCATGCCAACGTTTCGATCTTTATTGAGATCATCTTCAGGGTTCAAAGCGTTTGTTTTCTCCGTAAATGTGTCATTCTTGTCTGACGTGTTGAGAGTGCCTCTCTCAAGAATAACACATCTACATGGAAAACAAACACTGAGCCCTGACGATGATCTCAATAAAGATCGAAACGTTGGAACAACAAAGAAAATGTTTTTCTAAAACCTGTCATAACTACATCTCACGACCTCCAAATAATTACTATTTAATAGTATAATACAGTCAATTGTGACTTCTAAACATACATAAATTTATATAGTAAGTTTTTATTTTTATTGGAGAAACTTTCAATTTTAGTAAGGTGGTATTTATTGAACTTCACAGCCCCTTTGTTTTACTTTTTATTGCCAATACATATTTTGGCTCCAACAAGCCTTTAAAAGGGGTACCGACAATGGTCCCGAAATAATGTGTTGGCAATAAAAAGTAAAACGAAGGTTGTGAAGTTCAATAAATACCCCTTCACATGAATTCAAATAATAAACAAACAAAAAATGAAGTTTCATTTAATTTTTAGCTGTTAATATTTATGTGTAATATGTTAACAAACAAACCCACTGTTTTATACATTTTATAATAAGTTTATCCATTCTACACTTGACCTGGACAAGTTACATACTCAAGAGTAAAATATAAATGGTAATTTTAGGTTGTGCGATTTCTTATCAAGGTCTGCAAAGTGATAGACTTGTAGTTTGTTTGCTTCATTTTGGGTGCCTACCTGTTTATATACTTGCTGTTTTGGCCTGTGGTATGTGTTACAGCTTCTCGCCATCTTCAATGATCAGTCTGTGTAATTCCTGTTTAATTGGTCCCTACTGTTAGTGCATGAATGAAATATGTCGGTCTTTGACGAATTAAGTCCCTACTTTTATTTTATTCTTGTTATTCTTATTGGTTCTTGTTATTTATTGTTGACATCATTTGATCACTGATTTTTGTTTTCCATGTACATGGTACTGTGTTAAAATGGATGAGCTGAGCACACAAATTTTATATAAGTTTGTTTTTACTATTAACATCCATTTCTTTCTGCTTCTTTGAACATTTTCAATCATCCTGTTCTGCCTATTTTTACTGGTTTTGTCTGCACGGTGAATTTCAGTTTTAAACCATCTGGTAGACAAGCCACTGAGGATAATAAAATGGTAGAGAAGGAAGATGAAGTTAAGGCTAACTTCACAGACCTATACACAATATTTCAGATATTTCTTGTTGGTTTATCCTCTGTTGAGGTTTTCTAGCACACAGACAAAAAATCCTGATTGCAAGAATTTAGTCTTCAAGAGATTTTAGTGTTGGTTTGAAAAGTAATAGTAAGCAAATGCTTACTTTTGTTACCTGGAACATGTACAAAAGTATAGGCCATCTCGCAATTCTCTCTTCTAACTCGAATCCTATCCAAGTAACCTCCAGCATCCAAGACACCATGAAATTATCAAAGATTGGTGAAAAAAGTGGAGGACAAACTGAATGAGGAAAAATCTGTACAGTTTATATTTACATTGGAAAAACATCAAAAAGGACTTCCACTCAAGTCAGACTTAAGGACTATACCTAGACAGAAGACCTTCATGGAATCCCCACAAAGGACTTAAAAGACAACAATTTAACAGAAAACTTAGACAATGAAGATTTTTACGACTGAAATCTGTTTTGTCCAAAACACAACTTACTCTTTACAATACATACAGCAATCCCTCTGCCAAGCCATCCAATGTCCAACAGCATCTGAAGTTCTTTGACAAATTGTCAAAGCTCCTTACTATGTCACTAACTGTACTACCTACTTACCTAGGTCTTTACTACTTAAAGAAAGCATGGCAGCCTATACCGCTGCATGGTCGTGGTCTGTTGCTGTCCGGGGCGTGGTGGCTTCTCCTCATTGGATTCCCTCGTTTCATAGCCATCCCGGATTGACGACATGGCTGATGTGTGGTTGCACAAGGCAAAAAAAAAAACTACCAGAACGAACTCAACATCCCTTTTTCCAACGAAACTAATTTGATCCTGCTTCCAAAAGTTCCACACTAAGCTTCTGATCCATCATAACCCTACTGCTTAATCCTAATCTACTTGTTCTCACTCTGAGAACTGGCCATGTGCCTTAAATGATCTTTGTCTTGTGAGACCTCCTAGCTACTTAACCGCTAGGTCATTGTATCACCATTGTCACTGAGAAAAAAAAATTGAAAATTGTAATATGTATTTTGATATGTTGCAGATATTTAATACATTCACTAACTTTTTAAATTATTCTTTTAAATTGTTAGGGATAAAGGAGTTAAAGTTGAATTGGGAATTCCAAGAGAACTTTGGGACAAGCCTTCTGCCGAGATTACAAATATGAAGGCTCAAGTGAGTTGAATGCTAAAGAGGTAACTGTCATTCAAATAGACATTGCTTTCTAAAACCTTTTCAATTTTTTTAGTGTGAAACATATTTGGAAAATTACGAATCGGACATTGAAAATTGGTACTTCAACGATCAGGAGAAGGTGTCGTTGAAAACATATTTATGTGAGGAAAGGGTGTTAAAAGGTACAGACAGCTCTTGCCTACAAGAGACGTTGGTTGAAAACAATAAGAAAAAAGGCGATAAAGGTAAAAAAGAGGAACTGTAAATGTTGAAATAATAAAATAAATTTTGTACACTTTAGGTGGTGTCTTTATCTCTTTTAAACCATTTACAGTTACTTTATGCGGAAAAAGTAAGTAAAGAAGTTTTTTTATGTTTATTTTATTTTTATTTATTGTTTATTTATGTTTATTTTGTTTGTTTCTTTTCATAAAGACAAATAAACTTAATTTAGTGCAACATGAGCTTAACTTTGGCTATAACTTCCTTTTTAGAGTAATTTAATGGAGAAAAGTGAAGTTAAGCAAATTCAGTTGTACAGAAATGTGGACTTAGTTTTAAAAGTGGTGCTAAATATGAATTTAACAAATAACACTAAGACTGCAAATTAATCTGAATTGAGGTGGCCTAAGGTACGCATTTTTTCCATATGCTTTCAGGAAAAAACTTAAAGATTAATTTTAATTGATTATTATTTTTATCTAAGGTCTTGGTTGAAATGAATAAGTAAGTGTTACGAGCGGGATTCGAAGTTTCGAACCCACAGCTAAATATGCTGCTGCTCTAACCATTTGAGCTATAGTGTGAGTTTGCAACTTTTATCCACTCGGACACCAACTCCTCATCTCTACCTACAAACTTTCAATGTTTCCCACCTTTTGTCATTTTAATTAATTAATTCAAATGTCGTGTAATGAGGATTCGATTCTCAGCAATGTATGAAGTAGCAACGGGGGTTGAGGGTTTGAATCCTGCTCGTGACCCTAACTTTTTCATATCAACCAAGACCTAAGATAAAAAGAATAATAAATTGAAATAATTAATATGGTCAATTATGACCACTAAACATATATGGATTAATATAATTACAGAAGAAATCCCTTTGCTAACAGCTTCCTGTCACCACTTTATAAGTTGCTGAGAATCAAATCCTAATTTCATTTATTATCTATGTGCTTCGTAATCATGAAATGAAAACAGATCTGAGGATCTAAAGCTAGCAGTTAGACATAGAACATATATGGCACATTTGCCTCTTAAAGATGAAAGAATAACATTCTTTTTAATATAGAAATTATAGGGAAATAAGGTGAATATAAAAAGAGAACCTCGGCCCCAATACAACCATTTTTAAAGCTAAATTGTTAGCCGTAGAAACATGCACATGAATAAATAACAAATCATTTCAACGGTGCAACAATAATAATATCAGATAACCAGGAAGCTCTAAAGGCTCTCCAAGTTTAAGAAATCAACTCAAAACTTGTCTGGAACTGCCTAAACATACTCCATATGAAGGAAAAACCCGGATCTACACGTGGCTAAAGAGGGAATTTCAGGTAATAACATATGAGCTTAAAAGGGAGCCTCGGTACAACTAATAGGCCAAATCCATTTTGTGGCATAAATTATAGCCACATAAAAAATTAACTGGAATCTTATGTTACTACAGAACACAACAAATACTTGTAGTGAAACCAGACATGAGACAAAAAGGCTACTCTCAGAAACAATCTAATGGGAGAAAGCAGAAAACATTGGCCATTCATATTTTGTGGTCCATTTCAAACCATATATAGTTTTATTGTTATATTAATTACAACATACTTATTTTAATGTAAACCAAATTAAATGAGATCAGAAATTCAACAAAACACTGGAAATCATTTAGTGTTAGATTAAAATTTAACAAACAATTTATTCTATCGCTAGATGTGTTCAATTTTCTTCCAAACCTTCATAATTAGATATTATTCTCATATTAAATTATTTATTAAACCTCAAGAATTTCTGATCTCGTTCAATTTGATATACATTAAAATAAGTACTTTTTGTAAATGATGGTTCTATTTACAGATTGAGCGTGTGTAAAACCATCATTTACAAAAAGTGAATCAACATACTACATTTTTATTATTTATATTTATTACTTCTATTAAAGCAAGTATGTTGTACTTAATGTAATGATAAAAATACATACATTTAAAAGAAACAAAATACGGCTGTCCGGTTTTTTGTTTTTGAGGGTAGGTTGATTAAGAGAAATGAAGCTATATTTTAACTTGGATAAACATTATAAAAATCACTTGTAAATATTTTCAAATGATTTGGGCACCCCCAAGGGTTCTGCTAAAATGTTCAGAGCGTTGAGTCTAGTTACTCAGAACTCACAAGAAGACAAAACAAAATGCGATGTAGGTTAAAAGAATCTATATTTAAAATTTTCAAGTAAAAATGGTCTAGAACTTATAAAAATAGTAATTTGGTTGTTACCAGTAATTTTGGCCTCAGTGGGTTGTCTGTCAGGCGTATTCGGAATTGCCATATTCCATGTTGAGTCTAAGGTGTCTGTAGATCTGACAGGCCAACCCAACGAGAATAGGATGATAATTAGACAAAATGAACGGTAACAATCAAATTACAGGTTCATCACCAGCAGACAACACAATAAAATCTCACAATCTGAAATGTTTAAGAAATAATTTAAAAAAAATGGTAAACTGCAAAAAATTACATCACTTCCTTAAAGACTGGCAAATACGTCTTCTCTTTAAACCAAGGTTAAACAATCCGTGATTAATCATTGTCAGCAAACAAAACAAAAAATTAAATTTTATTTGATCAGTTCTTAGAAATAAAAAGTTAACATATGGTAAAACAATATTTTTTCAAAGTTTACACAACCAAATTATTTTAACTGGTAAAATGTACTATTTTGTCAATTAGTCAAGCTTTTCAAAGAAATGCCCTTCTGCACAACCTATGTACCAATAAATATAATTTAATTATATTTTGTCTGAGGTTCTCTCTGCCGCGGGACCACAATGTGTGCTTGGATCAATCCTATATGTCCTTCATATCGTAATTTTCTCACCCTACCACCCTTCTTGCAATGACACAGCTGTACTGTAACTGTGGTTGCTTTGGAAGATATGCAGGGAATATCATATGTATACCAGATTGGTATATGCAATGGAAAGTGAAGAAAATAAAACAAGTGTGTCCATTGCACATTTACACTCTGAAGCAAATCTCACAATACATTACAAAGTTCTTATCCCCAATCCAACCGTGTCCGTTACCTTAGGTTACACCTTAACGTGGAATCCAGTATTCACGACTGAAACTAAAAGAACTAAACAAATGCTACGGACTACTCTGCAAACTTATAGGATGACGAGAAACAAACTTACAATCTACTAAATGTTAATACAATTGATTTGGCATACGGTATAGAATTGTGGGGTATCGCTAAGCCTTCCAATATCAAATGTTTCCAATATTATCAGCCTAAAAGTCATATCAATTATAAGTGTTCTGTATTAAGTCTTCGATACTACCCTCTACGATGATTTTAAAAGTACATTTATCCAAAAATGTATTCCCCAAGGTGGACCAAATTCCACAATAATATCTCCCATCACTCCTAGCCTCGCCCAAGCCTTGTCCAACAGAACCCATCCCTACAATCCCACAAGGTGTCTCAAGAGGAAATGGCCCCGCTACCTACTTTCTGAGGAGTTGATACTGAAGTTTATTTAGTGAAGTGAAATGGGAAGATAATATTGATTGTTTGCTCCCTTCAATGTAAATAGTTGTACGTATATCAATGTATCAACAAATTATTTATTGCAACCAGAAATTGCAGATTGTAGTAAAATATTGAAATAAAAAGAAATTCTTCAATATATATAATGTGTACAATTTGACAATATAGCAAACAAGAAGGACTGTCCTCATAATCTAAGCTCGCCTGAGGGAAAGTGAGAGTTGTATTCTCAGCTTATTCCCAGTCTATAATAATAATAATACTTTATTTCCTAACTATAGGTAAAAAAAGGACAAGTATTTACAACTTGGTACAACCAATTATGGAATTATTCCTCCATGCCATCAGCCGGAGGTTGACCTGACAATACATTCTTCTCCTCTCTCACTCCCCCCTCCCTCAACAGCATTTGGGGATTTTCAAGTATAAAAAGCAAGAGAGAAAGATATAAAAAAAATAGAATATAATACTTAACTAGGTAAAAATACAAATATTATGTAAATAAACTTGTAAAAGAGAAAAAAGGAAGACAACGAGGGAACAAATAAAATGCAAACCATTGTTAAGAACAAGTGAGATTAGTTAAAAATTGAATTGATGTACTAGAAAATATCTATACCATGCAATGCGTGCAAATTTAATGAGTGGTCGGCAATAGGAATCTAGAAGAGAAATGAGCTGGGATTCACTAAGCTTGGAAGTACCCAGGTAACACATACGCAACTCGGCAAGAACAGGGGATATTGCTAAATTATGGAATACGTCCTCTCTTGCATTTAAGTTACAGAGAGAGCACCGGGTAATTTCTCGGTCCTTCCCCTTTCCAATTTGAACAGCCATCTTGGCTCTTGAAGAAACCAACTATTAGGTGATTCATTATTAAGCTTATTTATTATCATAGTCTATATCAGCAGATAATAAAATTGCATAATAAACGTTAAAAACATAAACATAGCCTGTAAGGTTTTTTACAATAGATGCAACAGATTTAAATGAAAAATATTTTAATAACATTAAGGCTAAACATTTTTATAACAATTTATTTTTTATTATTCTCCTTCCACCATATCCTCTTTCCCCTGAGTTCTCTCAATCTTGTCATTTCCTCTTGGAAGTCTTTGTGCTCATCCCTGTAGAGGCCGTAATCCCTTAATTTTGTCATCAATGCATGCGTCTCGAGATGCCTTGGGTAGTACTCGACAGTTTTCTCTGGATTTTTATGAACGGGCATTTCGCTCATTAAATTCACAACCTGAAAGTAATTCCATTTTTGTAAATGGCAATTTTTCATTTTAAATCTGCATAACAACAGATATGCAATGTAGCTAGAGTAAAATATGTCACATTTACAGTGAAATAATTTCCAATAAACTCCAAGGCTCCTAAAGTCACTTTTTATTCCATCTATGAAGAATATGGAGTACAATTTGTTATTTTTTGTTTATTAATTTTTTTTATTTATTGTTAAATGTACAAAATAGATGGGACGTTGAGGAAAGTGTTTGGACTAGTGGGTTATAGTGGAGGGAATAGTTCAGAGTGGAAATTGAGGGAGTAAGTTCGAATCAGATCCTTTACAAATATGATTTTAATATCTTTTTGGATCATTTGATTGGTGAATAGAAGGAAGCATTGAGGATAGAGCGGAGAGCTTTGGATTGAATGAATTGGATTTGTTGGATGATGGAGAATTTGGCTGAGCCCCAAAGTTTGACACTAAAGTCCAAATCAGTCTGATCAGTGTTTTGTAAGCAGTTAGTTTGTTATATATGCTTAGTGTTGATTCTGGTCCAAGTAAGTGTCTGAATGATCCATATGTTTTGTTAAGTTCTTGCTTTTTTAATTTTTATTGTAGGTTCCTTGTCTGGGGGCAGGTCTGATATTTGCTCGTTCAAACTGATCCACCCCCATTCGGTAAGGTGAAGATCTTGGACTGCTTCTGTGTCTAGGATAGGATGAGAGTGTGTAGATAGGATTGCGGTGTCGCCGACATAGCTTATAGAACGCCAATTGATGGTAGGGAATTATATTTTCTGAGTCAAATATGGTAATGTGTTTTAAGGAGGCTTATAGGTCTATAAGAGGATGGAGCACAAAGGGATTTTTGTGGTTTTGCTATTAGGGTTAAAGATTTTTTCCTCTGGATGGGGAACTAGGTTGTGCAACTATAAATTTTGTTTATATAATTTTTATTTTCATATATGCTCAATTTTTGAGAAACACAATGGTAGATATTATTTTAAAAATTCTATTTACTGGTGGGCAAAATAGGACAAAACCATGATTGCTTATCATCTCCAATTTTATCTTAGCACTTTAAATGCCCAAAAATTGAAGCACAAGTAGTGTTTTACTATAACATATGTACCTAAATAACACAATAAAGAACAAATCCAGTTTTTAAATGTTTTTGATTTTTGGTAGAGTTTAGAAAACAATTTGTTCTGCAAGAAATAATTATAAATTATGCTTTATTACCATTTAATTTTCAATGAATAATATTGCTGCCCTTTCTTGCACTTTTCTTACTTAAAACAATATTATGTTGTTTAACATAAAAGATAGACAAACCTTCATTGATGTAATGCTCGTGGGTCTCACCAAATCTCCGAATATTCTGTTTTTTAGCTGATTCATCTTTTTAGAATAATTGGTAGTTAATTGCATTAACTTAACTTGCCTCGACATATTATCTTTTAACTCTAGAACTGATCAGTTAAATATGACAAAATGATATTCTTCAAGAAAGACCCAGCTATGAATAACCTTCTGTTTTTCACAAACATCATTTCCAATCATAAACGGCGCTTAAATTCAAAATTTACAAAAAAAAAAAAAAAAAAACTTAAAAGTATATTTTTCTATGTTCTAGTATTTTGTCTTGTATGAAGTGTAATAATTATGCATAATTGATAAAAAAAAAAAACATATACATATGTTATTGCGCTGCAAAATGACAATGTGTAGCAGTATTATTAAAATTAAAATAAAAAGATAATTATAGACAATACGTACAGTTCAATATGCTCAAAAAACAAATTTATTCAGATGTAAATAATATTCTTCTGTTTATAAACAAATACAAGCCACGGTCGTCAAGGTGATCGTTTGAATTTTGTCCATTTTAGTAGCTGCCACCGTTGAGTCTACTTAATTTAATTTGGAATTTCAAGACAAACATGGCCAAGTCCACTCAAAACGGAGCACAAAATGTCAGTCCATCGCAAATCCCGTTTAACAACATCCCCGCACTTCCATGGCTGCCGGTTCCTGACGACGAAGCCTCTGAGCTTGTGCAAGGAGTGTTGAACAACACCAAGTATCCTCTTCTAATGCGAAATGAGACCTGGACGAGGGCAGTTCCGTTCAAGGTAAACTAATTTTGAACATTTGGAATGAGTGTCACCTTACCTGGAACGCATCTAGGTGAACACTGAAAGGTTTTGGCCTTTTTCAGATGGCTTGCTTTTGTTTCTTTGTTTTTTTATTGTTTTGCACTGCCTATATTAGGCAATCAAAAAAACTTAATCAAGCAGAATGTATTCATTTGGTCAAACTTTGTCCTAATATTTTTGGTTTGATACAAAAATAACATTTTACCATAAATTTATGTAGTTTTCAGTATTTCTACAGATTCGAAATATTATATTCTTTATTAAACAGTTCTCAGTTTTCTTTTGTACTTAATATGGCATTGATTTAACAAATCACATGGTATTTACACAAAAACTGGCATAGTTTAATAGTTTTGGATTCAAATAATAAAATATTCATAACAACCACATAATTTTAGTTGTAAAATTTAAGGAAAATAAAGTCTAAAACTAATAGGAAATTATTTTTATGTGAAGATTTTTTTTCTATAAAATTCTATTTTCTATTATATATAGAAATAAATAAATACTAGCTAATTTCTTATGGTCCTTGTGGAAGTAAAAATTTCAGTACACTCACTTCTCTCATACCTGTATTCTCTTTGCTGTTGTTAATTTATAATTTATTACAATATTTAGATGCATTTTAAAAAGTTTTTAGAGGGCAATAAATCATGGCCAGTAAAAATAAAGTATGAAAGTTATAGTTTTGGGTTGGCTAATGCAAAGTATATACTAAGAGAGCAATTATAAAAAAAATATTCTGGAAAGTTTTTTGAGAACCTATAACTGTCTGCTAAAAGCTCAAATTAAACGACTTTATTTTGTTGGGCCATATTTTTATACTTTTTTTATTATAAAATTGGTTGATTATGTACTTAACAAATATCATGAAGTCATAATTATAATTGTTTATTCTGACACAAGATTATTATTTGTCAATAATGTGGTTATCTGTGTGTTTACAGAATATTTTTTTAATTAATTTTCTATCCACTTTTTAAGGATTCAACTCAATTTGCAAAGCCCAAAGACAGAATTGGCTGCACATACAGTTTAGCCGCTAGAAGTTTAAGAATTGAAAGGCTACCGCTATCCGTGCCCAAAGTCTATAAGACGGGTGTAATGAACGAAAAAGGGGAACTACAGTATCCACCTGAGACGGGTGATCTAGAAGAGGATTCTAGGAAAAAGGCCAAGTACAATGCTTCGCTCAGGCATAAACCGGGAGTGGTCAACTTGTGGGCAAGTATCTAACAACTATTTAAATAAAATTTCTTTTAATAATTATAAATTTATTGCAGGACTTACTCTCAGGTCAATACCACAGGGACCGGAAAGAAAAAAGGAAAATGCAAAAGAAGGAGAAGATTGATCAAATTAAAAGAGTGGAGTTGTTACGGCATCAAAAGTGTTTAGAAGAACAGAGGTTGTTAAAAAACAAACATTTTCTTTTAAAACCTATCAAAATTGCAAAAAGTATTCTTTTTTTAAAATATTTTAGGAGACTGCAAGAAATGCAAGCTGAATGCCCAGTGGACCCAGATGTTCAGCGTATCACATTATTGAATGAAATTTTAAATGATCAGAAACGTGTATTATTGCCAAGAGATGAAATTAGAATAAGATATTACATTACAAAGGTATAATAATTAAGGATGTGGCTTCTTGCAAATTATTATTTTATATTTATTATTCTTAGGGTGTACCTAGAGACATGATTGAACCATACGACAGCACAATGTTCAATAGAGCATTAAAAACTTTTCCACCAGAAATTAAAGAAAGGTATATGTTAAATTATTTCAATTTGATATATATTTATTAATAATCAACAAATTTTTTAGGCATAGAACATACATTCATAAAACAGAGCAAGAAATACTTGAAGATTATTATATCAGCATTGGTAGAGCAATAGTTGAGTACGTTCTTTTAGATGATGAGGAAAAGGAAAGACTAAGAATTGAAACGTATCCTGTTAAATTTCCAACGATTGTGATCCGGCCACCTGTGCCATGGCGTAATTCTTTCATAATGGCTAAAGAAAGAATAAGATACAATTTTTACTGCAGCCATCCAGTGCTTCAAGCACTTAAGAACTTGTACACTACTAGGTACTTAAGATTTTTTTTTATAATTAAAATATCTCAAGTAATTTACAATCTTAAAAATATTACTTTTGTTCAGGTATGCTTCACTGCTAGTCATACCACACGAAGTTTTACAGGCACAAGGCCTACCAATGGATCCATTTGAGTTTGATAAGTTTACAACTGCATTATGTACAAAAGCGAGAGAAATCATATGTGAAAAGTGAGTGATAAAATTTTATATTTGTGTAAATTGAGTTATTTAAGGTAATTAGATCATACCAATGTTATAAATACAAAATCCAGATGGCTTGTCGAGTGTGCTGAACTTATTTTACAATTGCGGAACACTTGGCAGAATTTAGCACCGAAATATCAGACAGAATCATCAAACCTCATTGAACGATTTTTTTCCTGTATAAATGCCATGCTGGCAAGACAGATAAGAGAAATAATCATGAATTCAGTACATCATTTTTATGACATTCTTCTAAAATACAAGGTTATTTTAATGCCGTTCGCATTTCTTCTGAGTTATATTTGATAATTTGATTATGACATTGATAAATCTTTGCCATTCCAGGATGGTAATTCAATTACAGATGGTTATTCGGATAGCAAATTTCCTCATTGTCCTTTATTGACTGTCACATTACGCCCTGCGGATACAAAGGGCGGTAACATAAATATGTACCCAAACACAAGGGAAATAAGAAATCTTTTGGTATCCATATTTCCAAAAATTGTCCGTGTCACCAAGGAGCTGCCTACATTGGAACAGTACCTGTTTCCAGGTTTGTAACTGGTTTAAACACAAAAACACAGTTTAATTCAACATTATATTTGTAGAATTACAATCCACATCGACATTCTTACAAGGAGTGCATACGTATGAAAAAGAATTAATAAAAATTATGGATTCAGTTACTGAGATACACTTCGCTAACATCCCTGGGCCAGATCATTACCTTGAGACTTACAATGAGTACAGTTATATTTTCGCTGGGAAGGCGGACACAGATTTACATAAGTTTTTTCAGACTGACCCATTCCCAATTTTATCAGTAATTTCTTCTTCTTTTTTTTTTGTATCTATTTCATGGTGTGCAATGCTAATATTCTTAAATCTGAACAGGATTTCGCAAAAAAGATCGAAATGTATGATTCATTAAAAGACGAGATCAATAATCTAAGGAGGAATGTCCCTTTGAATCTTATTAACTTGAATTGCGGCGAATTGAATGACTTTATGTGGAAGTCCATAGATATATTGAGGACATACATTACAGATTATTTCGCAGATTTGAACAGGAAGCACAATAAAGAGTATGTTGAATAACTTATCATTCTTAAAGATTGAACATAAACAAAGCGTAATTTAAGGATTGCTCAAACATTCGAGATGATAGCTGCTCGAGCAAGTGAAATGCCTGAAACTACTGCCGACTTGGTCGAGTTGATGCATTTTATAACTGATAGCAGAGATTCAACCATGTTTAACATGCGTAATATGCTTGGAACCACCGCTGAATATGTTTTATTTCTCATGAACCATGCTATACTTCCTGGTAAGCATTTCTTCGAACGGTCTTTGGTTATGTTATTAACAAATTCATGCCGTAGCCGAAGACATTTCACTGATTGCAAAAGTTTTCATTTGGCCTAAGGACATGGAAGCGGTTTTGGAAATGTGCATGTCAAGAATTAACTTGCAAAGAGAAATTGTAGAAGCAGCTTTGAGGAATAAGAGAAATCAATTTGAACAACTGTAAATCATAATTTTTAAAAATTTTATATTTAAATTGTTAATTTTATAAACTTTTATTAGGATGTTAGAGCACTCAAAGGCTTTAGAAATGTACCGACGGAAAGATCCCCCCATTTTGACCATGGAAGAAATGGTAAATAATGCCCAAGGAATTGAAGTTTTGGTGAATACACTTAATGAAGATAAAGCAATGGCAGATGTAAGTATAAAATATTTATTGTTAATGACCTAGTAATTAAAACAAAAACTCACAGGCCATCAACACTGAGGAACTGCTTCTTGATTTTGAGCTTTCTCCATTTCTCTTGCTCGAGCAAATGTTAACAACAATAGAACCTTACGACAAGTTATGGCACACGGTATTGCATTTCCATGAAAATTATGACAAATGGTATTATGGTATGTTTTTCCATCTTAATTTTTGTTTTAAAGTTGAAAACGATATATACATATTTAAATGAAAATTATTTGCTGTAGGGTCATTTATGAGTCTTCATGCTGAATCAGTTTCTGAAGAAGTGGACCTGATGTGGAGGACGCTGTACAAATTGTCAAAAACCTTTTATGACGTCCCAGGTTCTAAGAGAGTCGCAGAGACGGTTAGGGGGAAAGTAGACAAATTCAGACAATTTCTGCCTGTACTACAAGCAATATGTACTGAAGGTCTTAAAGATAGACACTGGAAAACGGTTAGTCTGAAAAAAAAAATGCTTTGTCTATCTCTTTATTTGTTTAATTGTGAAGCCAAATGGTTTTAATAATTCTCCAAACATAGAAATTTTCAATTTCATACTTATTTTTTAGATAAGCGAAATAGTTGGTGTGGAAGTTTGCCCTGATGAAATGTCATCTTTATCTGATATGATTGAACTCGGACTTCTTAAACATGCACACAAACTGGAAGAAATCAGCGTAAACGCCTCAAGGGAATTCGCCCTGGAAAAGAATCTCTTAAAGATGAAGGAAGAATGGCAAGATATCACATTCCAGTTTGATTATTTCAGGTAGATATAAAAAAAAGATAATATATTTTTTTAAATGTAACACAATTTCTTCTTTCAAATAGAGGCAGTGTAATACCAATTTTAAAAGCTGTGGATGATATTCAAGTAATGCTCGACGACCATATTTTGAAGGCTCAGACGATGAGGGGTTCACCTCATGTTAAAGCTTTTGAGACTGAAATGCAAGAATGGGAAGACAAACTTTTATCGATGCAAGATATTCTAGATGCTTGGTTGCAGGTAATAATTTTTTTTTCAAAATTTAGCAATAAAAATTTTAAACATAAAAATGTATTACTAGGTTCAAATTACGTGGATGTACTTAGAACCAATATTTGGTTCAGAAGATATAATGAGACAGATGCCAGAGGAGGGAAGAAATTTCAGAAAAGTGGACAGAACATGGAAAAATATTATGTTCTATACGAAGGAAAATCCGCTAGTTTTGACGGCAACAGAACAGCCCAACTTACTTGCAAACTTCAAAGAGTTAAATGGTTTACTTGAACATATTCAAAAAGGATTGCATGAATATCTTGATAAGAAAAGATTATTTTTCCCAAGGTTGGTGTATTGTATGGAGCAAATGTATGATTTTAGTACGAGAAAGTGCAAAGCAACACCTTTTAAAGTGCTTCTTTGCATTTCTTGTTTAAGAATACCTAGTTTATATTATTCAATGTGATTAGATTGGTTGGTTTTTCTTTAATTTAAATTAATATATTAAATTGCTAAATTGAAAATGTATTGTCTAGATTTTTCTTTCTATCTAATGATGAGCTACTGGAAATACTCTCAGAAACCAAGGATCCGACTAAAGTGCAGCCCCATTTGAAAAAGTGTTTTGAAGGGATTTCCAAATTGGAGTTTTCGACTGATAGAGATGAAAAATATGAGATCACTGGAATGATTTCTGCTGAAGGTGAATCTGTACCGTTTTCAAGCACGATCAATCCAATGGAAGCAAAGGTACAAAGATTGTCTATTTTTCAAACAATTTTATTTGGCCTTCTTCTCATTTATTTTATCTGTTGAAATTGTCTTTAGGGTCTAGTGGAAAGATGGCTTATACAAGTGGAATCTATGATGATCACTTCTTTGAAAGATATCTGCCAAGATGCCATTAAGGCTTATAGAATTTCCGCAAGAACAGACTGGGTCATATCTTGGCCGGGGATGATAGTGTTATGCGGGAGCAGTGTTAACTGGTCTTACGAGGTATCGCATGCAATTGAACACCAAAAATTAACGGTATGATCTTTACAAATTCTCCCATAAAAAAATGTCAATTATTAAAACTATTTTTATTATAGAATTATTTAGAAAAAAGCACAACACAAGTAGAAGACATGGTGAAAATTGTGAGAGGTTTTATTTCACCTGGGTCGAGGATTACGATTGAAGCTTTGATCACATTAGACGTACATGGTAAGTTTTATAATAGTTTCTTAATATTTGAAAAATAAAATTGTTTATTATAATAGTTTTTTTTCTTTTGTCTAGCTAGGGACACTGTGAGATCATTGAGAGATCTCAAAGTCAAAACAATAACTGATTTCCATTGGATTTCACAGTTGCGATATTATTCTCATGAAGAAATTGTTCATGTTTGCATGATAACGACTGATCTCGAATACGGCTATGAATATTTAGGAAACACTCCTCGTCTTGTCATGACCCCACTGACTGATAGATGTTACAGGTCTGTTGTTTTTAAAATATAATTTTTAATCTCGTAATTGATTTTTTTTTATAGGACTTTAATGGGTGCATTTAAATTGAATCTTGGAGGAGCACCCGAAGGCCCTGCTGGGACTGGAAAAACAGAAACAAGCAAAGATCTTGCAAAAGCCGTGGCAAAACAATGCGTGGTTTTCAATTGCTCTGATGGACTGGATTACAAAGCTATGGGGAAATTTTTCAAAGTAAAATTGTCGCATGTTACATTTTGTATATTGTAAAACTGAGGATTTTTGAACATTCAGGGCCTGGCACAATCAGGAGCTTGGGCGTGTTTTGACGAGTTTAATCGTATTGATCTAGAAGTATTGTCTGTAGTCGCACAACAAATTCTTACAATTCAATTAGCCATTATTGCCAAGAAAAAGACATTTATATTTGAAGGGACAGAGCTGACATTAAATCCGACTTGCAATATGTTTATAACAATGAACCCTGGGTAAGAAAAAAAATCATTTGAACGATTTATTTTTGTATTGGTTAATATATTGACACAAATTTTCATTCAGTTATGCTGGGAGGCAAGAGTTGCCCGATAACTTAAAAGTGCTTTTCCGAACCGTAGCCATGATGGTGCCTGATTATGGGATGATAGGAGAAATATCTCTGTATTCGAAAGGATTTGAAAATGCTCGAGTGTAACTTTTTTCACTGTTTATTATATTTACTTTCTAGTTATGATTTTTGTTTTTAGATTGGCTGGAAAAATTGTTGATACGTATAAACTGTGCTCTGAACAGCTTTCCACACAGCCCCATTATGATTATGGCATGAGGGCAGTGAAGACTGTCCTTATTGCAGCAGGTGCCTTAAAACAAAAATACCCTAAACAAGATGAGCAGATTATAATTTTGAGAGCATTAGTGGATGTCAACATGCCAAAATTTTTAGCTCAGGTGATTATCTATAAATCCAATCATAATGTGTATTATTCTCTCTGACAGTAGTTTAAAGAGAACAAAATGTTATAATTTGGTTGTTACTAATTATGGCCTGCCTCACTGTTTTGATCTGCTAGACATATTTCGGCATTTACTATGTTCAATTGGTGGATTATTAAGTTTTTTAAACAAATTTGTCTTTTTAATAAACATAACAATGTGAAATTGTATAATGGGTGTAAGGGTAGAATTAGTTGCAGTTCAGTAACAATTGTATAATTTTAAAACAATTTATCTTTTTTATAGGATTTGCCGCTTTTTACTGGTATTTATCAAGATCTTTTCCCTGGAATTGAACTTCCCCAGCCCGACCGCGATGACCTTATTAATTCCGTAAAAGGGAGACTTGTACTCAATAACTTACAACCGACCGATTGGTATGTCATGAAAGTAATACAGATCTATGAAATGATCCTCGTACGTCATGGTCTTATGATCGTTGGTGAGCCGATGGGTGGGAAAACCTGTGGATACAAGGTAAAATATAACAGAAACTTTGTAAGTTTCGCAATAAAATAAAACAACTTTTATAGAATCTCGCAGAAGCTATTGGAGAGTTGAGTGTAACTTCGAAAAAGACTAAAAATCCTGAATACCGAGTAGTTTACATTATTATCAATCCAAAAGCAATAACTTTGGGACAGCTGTACGGTTGCTTTGACAAAGCTTCTCATGAATGGTCGGATGGTAAGCACTGTACCATACTTGTGTTTTCTTGATAATAATCTTTGTCTGTACAGGAGTATTGGCAAATACATTCAGAGAGTTTGCTTCGAGCAGTTCATATGAAAGGAAGTGGATCATGTTCGATGGACCTGTCGATGCTGATTGGATTGAAAACATGAACACAGTATTAGATGACAATAAAAAACTATGTCTCATGTCTGGAGAGATAATTCAAGTAAATTATAAAATAACTTTCTGCTATATTTCTTTTTAATTTAATGGATTTTTTTGCCAGATGACAAATAGAATGAATTTAATATTCGAGCCAGCCGATTTAGAACAAGCTTCTCCTGCGACTGTCTCTCGATGTGGTATGATATACCTTGAGCCAAAAATGCTTGGTTGGAGACCATTAATGGAATCGTATTTTAATGTTCTAAATAAAAAATTATTGCAAGTTCAGTTAGAATTGGTGCAAGAGCTTATGGAATGGCTCGTACAACCATGCTTGGATTTTATATTCAATCATTGTAAATTGGTTGTGCCAACTTCAGAATTGCATCTGTTTCATGTATGTCTGTGCATTTTGTTGAAAAGTTATTTAATTGAAAAGTTAATTTTTATTTCTAGAGTTTTTCACGTTTATTTACTTGCATGATTCAATTGGATACCCAAAATGCTAGTGGAATAAGTACTCATTCTTTACAATGTCTGTTTCTCTTTTCTCTTTTATGGGGTTTGGGAAGTATTTTAAGTTGTATGTATTTTTTAAATTTTGTCATTAATGGCAAACAAACTTTTTAAAATTGTATTTTGTTCAAAAATTTAGCTGAAAGTAAAAAGGAATTTGACCGCTTCTATCGTAATCTTATTTCTGGTGCAACTCCTAACCATCCAAAGCCTGCCAACTTTAAACTGACAAAGCATCAGTTATTCCCTGAGAAAGCACCTGTATGGGAATTCTTTTACGACCGCAAAGGTAATGGCTCATGGGTATCATGGCTGGAAACACAAGAGAGAATAACAATTCCAGTTAATGCCAAGGTAAAGCTCACAGCGCAACTATTAAATTGTCGAAAGATATTAAATTAATAGTTAATTTTAGATAAATGAAATTATCGTTCAGACTGATGAAGTAGCTAGGCAAAAGTTCTTTTTAAAACTTTTCTTGTCAAATGACATTCCGATACTTTTTGTCGGTCCTACTGGAACGGGGAAATCATCAATTATTCTCGACTATCTTGTTACTCTCCCTAAAGACAAGTATCTGGCAAACATGATCAATTTTTCAGCCAGAACATCAGCCAATTTAACCCAAGATGTAATTATGTCGAAGCTTGATAGGTAATGTAAAAAGTTTTTTTACAAATTAAAAATTTAAAAAACATTTTCCTTTTAAAGGCGACGTAAGGGAGTTTTTGGACCAGCAATGGGTAAAATGTGTATTCTATTTGTTGATGACATGAGCATGCCACAGAAAGAGAAATATGGAGCTCAACCACCAATAGAATTGTTACGACAGTTAATGGACCATGGTCATTGGTACGACCTTAAAAACACAAACAGAATCGATATTGTTGATATTGTAAGTATGGCAATTTTAATTTTTATATTTGATTGTTAAAAAATATATATATTTTAGCTGTTTTTGGGAGCGATGGTACCGCCAGGAGGTGGGTCAAACAGTGTCACGCCAAGATTTACAAGACATATGAATATTTTCTCCATTGATGCTTTTGAAGATTCTACACTATCTAAAATATTTACTTCTATATTGGACTGGCACTTTGCTAAAGGATTCGATGAAAGGATAACAAGACTGTCAAGGGTAATTAATATTAATGTTTTAATATTTATGTATGAAGTTTACTAACTAGTTGTTTTGCAGCTAATTGTTAACGCTACATTAGGAGTTTATAGGGAAGCCATAGTAAACTTTTTGCCAACACCGGCCAATTGTCACTATAAATTTAACTTAAGAGATTTTTCAAAAGTAATCAAAGGCATTCTCCTTTTACCAAGTTCAAGGGCTTCAGGGCCAGAAAAGATTTTGAGACTTTGGGTCCATGAAACATTCAGAGTCTTCGGCGACAGGCTGGTTTGCCAAGAAGACAAGTAAGTTTAATAAAACTGAAAATCTTTAATGGTTGGTGTATTATTTGGTTATTTTTTAGGGAAACTTTATTCAACATGATGTCCAAAAATTGTTATTATCATATTCGCTCTCACATGGATATGTTTTTGGCTGATTTAATTACTGATGAAAAGGCTTTGTCAGTCAACCATCTTGGAGGATTGTTTTTTGGCAATTTTATTGATCCAGATGCAGATCCTAAAATTTATGATGAGGTAAAAGTATAATTACTATTTATTTATTACCATTTGATATTATAAAGAAATTTTGAATTGAGTGACATTGTTTATATTTTTAGATTCCTTCATACACACAATTACAATCGCGTATGGTGTACTACCTCAAAGACTACAATTTGCAAAACAGGCTTGCAATGCATATGGTTATGTTTAAATATGCGATTGAGCATATTGCTAGGATTTCCAGGATTCTCTTGCAGGACAATGGTCATCTTTTGTTAGTCGGAACAGCTGGTACCGGACGTTCTAGTTGTGTCAAACTTGCAACACACATGGCGGAATATCAGTTTTCACAGGTTAGTCAATTTTTTTAAAAAATTTGCACAAATACTTTATCAACTCACCCAAATTGTGCAGATTGAAATAACTGGCACATATGCCGTTCAAGAGTGGAAAGAAGATGTAAGAGCTCTATTGAAAAGAGCGGGGCTTGAAGGGAAACAACAAGTATTCCTATTAACTGACTCACAGATGAAAGATGAGTCGTTTGTAGAAGACATAAATATGATTCTCAACACTGGTGATGTACCAAACTTATACACTGGAGAAGAAAAAGCCGAGATTCTGGACAAGATAACAAATATAATAAGAGAAGCTGTAAGTCGCGTTAAAATACAATTTCCATTTTTCTACTTAATAAACAATTATTATATTTCAGAATAAAAAATTTGACACAAGTCCTTTAGCATTGTTTAATTATTTCATTGACTGTGTCAAGAAAAACTTACACATCGCTCTTTCACTGTTGCCCGTCGGTGATACATTTAGGAACAGGGTTCGAATGTTTCCATCACTCATCAATTGCTGTTCAATTGATTGGTAAGTTATCATAAAATGACATTAAAAAAATATTTTTTACTAAAATAATTGTTTAGGTTTAACGTCTGGCCTCCAGAAGCACTAGAGCTAGTCGCACAATCGTACTTCCACAATTTAGACATTTCTGACGTTATTAAAGGCAAGTTGGTTCAAATGTGTAAAGAATTTCACATCACTACAAGAAATACAGTAGGAAAGTGAGTAAAACAAATATAAATAAAAATAATAAATTAATTTTTAACACTCTTGAGGGTTTTATGGCCGATATCAGCAGTAGGTGTAGTTTAAGAAATGGTTTAAAATGAAAATCAGGCAAATGTTTTACAATTCCCACCAGTAAATTAATTTTTCACTACTACACTATGTATGATAAACTTGTTGATTTGTTTCGATATTACTCCATTGGAAGTGATCAATTTGATCATAATGATATGGGTGAAAATGTTATAAATTTGTTTGTAGAATATGTAGTACATTATACATATACATACAATTATTTGTTAATAATATATTTATGTAATTAAAATACAACTTCTATTCCTATGTTTTTGTATGAATTTAAAAAATATTTCTATTTGTTTATTCATTGTTGATTAAAGGTTTTTTGAGACATTAAAGAGGAGAGTTTATGTAAATCCAAAATCTTATTTGGAACTGTTGAAAATTTTTCAAAAGATACTCCAAGTGAAAGTTGACGAAATTACTAATCTGAGAACGAGGTACGAGGTGGGGTTAGAAAAACTGGATTTTGCCGCAGCACAGGTATGCAATATATTTCTTTTATTTATAAATATTAGTTTAATGATTTTGATTTTTCAAAATTATTCTATTTCAAAATAGGTGCAATTAATGCAAGAGGCTCTACGCCAACTTCGGCCAGAATTAGTCAAAACATCCGATGATACTGAAAAACTAATGGTGAAAATTGAACAGGATACTGTGATAGTAGAAGCAAAGAAAGAGGTAATGTGTAATATTATATTTATATAGCAATCTCTAAAAACTGTTTTATGACAGATCGTTGCCGCTGATGAAGCGTTAGCCAATGAAGCTGCAGCGGCAGCTCAAGCCATCAAAGATGATTGCGAGGGTGATCTCGCCGAAGCGATACCGGCCTTAGAAGCAGCTATACAAGCGCTTAACACACTTAAACCATCTGATATCACAATAATAAAAAGCATGAAGAATCCTCCATCAGGTGTTAAATTGGTAATGGAGGCGGTTTGTGTGATGAAAGGGATTAAAAGTGAAAGAAAACCAGACCCGAGTGGTACTGGTAAAATGATAGAAGATTATTGGGGGCCATCTTTGAAAATGCTCGGCGACTTGAAATTTTTGGAGGCCTTAAAATCATATGACAGGGATAATATAAACCCTGCTATAATGAAAAGAATTAGGGAAAGGTAGTGTGTTGGTTGTAGATTTTTTTTTTTTTAATATGAATAAATTTTATTTAGGTACATACCGGATCGTGATTTTGATCCAAATGTTGTCAAATTGGTATCTAATGCTTGTGAAGGTATGTGCAAATGGGTGAGGGCCATGGAAGTTTATGACAGAGTAAACAAAATAGTAGCGCCGAAGAAAGCAAAATATCTAGAAGCAGAGGAGGAACTCGGTATTCAAATGGGGAGATTGAATGAGAAAAGAGCTCAGCTTCAAAAAGTAATGCTTTTTATTACTCCCTACTATAAATTAATTACTAATTTGCTAATAAACACTAAAATTTATGCTAGGTAACTGATAACTTGCAAGCATTGCATGATGAATACATCGCCAAGTCAAAAGCCAAGAAAGATTTGGAGGATGCCATTGCTCTGTGCACACAAAAGCTAGAAAGGGCTGAAAAACTAATTGGTACTAATATAATTAGACAATTATTTTAATAATATCAGGGATTTTTGTATGTTTTAACTTTGTTTTGACTTAGTGCAAGTAACAGGAATATGTTTTCTTAGTAAACTTGTTAAAACAAATGTATAATTTTCTTTCTTTTTCTCAGGTGGACTTGGAGGAGAAAAAGAAAGATGGAGTGAGACTGCAACCAATCTCCGTTACAGTCTTATAAATGCGATCGGTGATGTTTTATTATCATCTGGTGTGATTGCTTATTTGGGCCCTTTCACCATTGAGTATAGAAATGTATTATATATTTTTTACAATATAATTTAAAATAAAAAAATAAAATAAAAATAAAATATATTTCAGGTGCTACTGAAAGGATGGAATCAAACTTGCTTCCTATTAGGCGTTCCTTGCACCATGCCATTTTCAATGATAACAACTCTTGGAGATCAGATTTTAATCCGAAACTGGAAATTGCATGGGTTGCCGGTCGATACGTTTTCAATAGAAAATGCTATTATAGTGAAAAATGCAAACCGTTGGCCACTTCTGATTGATCCTCAAGGTAAACAGCAACAAATTTAAAAAAAAGCTGCTTCTTGCTGAAAGCATTTTTCTCCAGGTCAAGCAAACAAGTGGATTAAAAATATGGAAAGAGCAAACAAAATGATTGTTACTAAACTCTCTGATGGCAATTATATGCATTATGTTGAGAGAGCTGTTGAACGAGGATATCCTATATTATTTGAAAACATTCTTGAAACAATTGATGCCCCCTTAGGTAATTGAAATATAAATGATCGATTTATAATTTTAAAAGGATGTTTCAAAACATACTACAATTTTATAAAGATGTTTATTGAGTGACCACAATATTACAGTCTATGATTAATTTATTATAAAGTTTTAAATAGTTTATTTTATTTTTATATACTTTTTAATTTTTAATTTAGAACCGATATTGCTTAAAAACATATTCAAACAAGGAGCTGCATATCATATAAAAGTGGGAGAGCACACTTTGCATTATCACAAACATTTCCGAATTTATTTCACGACCAGATTGAGAAACCCGCATTTTCTTCCAGGAATATCAGCAAAGGTGTGTTGTCTTGCATTCCATAATTTGTAGGTGGTTAATAATCTAACACTTTACACAGGTGACCATTATAAATTTCATGGTGACCCCCAACGGTCTCCAAGACCAACTTTTGGGAATTGTCGTCGCAAAAGAACGCCCAGATCTTGAAGAGAAAAAGAACAAATTGATCGTTGAAAGCGCAGAAAACAAACGCAACCTTAAAGACCTAGAAGATGACATTTTAAAAGTTCTCTCGACTGCCGAGGGCAACATCCTTGAAAATGAAAATGCAATCCAGACGCTCTCACAATCAAAAGTAACTTCTTAGAAAAAAAAAAACTTCATTTTTTAAAGGGTTTTTTTATTAATTGTAAACTTTTCTTTGCAGTTTTTATCTGAGATGATCCAGAAGAAACAAGACATAGCGGCCAAAACAGAAACTGAGATTGATTTTGCTAGAAATTTGTATCTGCCAGTATCTTTACATTCTTCTACACTGTTTTTCTGCATATCTGAACTAGCTAGTATAGAACCCATGTATCAGTATTCCCTCACTTGGTTCATTCAGCTTTATTATCAAGTTTGTATTATCAAAAATTTATATAGTCAGGGATTACTGGATAGTACAATATACAATTAATTTTTCAGGCGATTGCAAATAGTGAATGTAGTGTTGATTTAGATGAGAGATTAACCAACCTGAATAACTATTTTACTTTAAGTGTGTATAAGAATATATGTAGGTCTCTATTTGAAAAAGATAAACTGGCGTTTTCATTTATTCTGTGTGTGGGAATTGAACGGTCTAAGGTAGTTTTTTTGTTATAAATAATAATTATCATAAATTATACTGTATATTTCAATGGTGATTGTTGTTTAAGGGAAAGTTGAGCGAAGAAATGTTATCGTTCTTTTTAACAGGTGGAATTGGGTTGGAAAATCCATTCCCTAATCCAGATCCATCTTGGCTAAGCGAAAAAGCTTGGTCTGAAATAATTAGATCTACAATTTTACCAGAGTATGTTAATAAAGTATCTATCATAAATTTGAATATTTTACAGTTTGTACTAATTGCAATTTTTTAAATGTAGATTGAGAGAATTCAGAAAAACGATTGAAATAAACAACGAGGAATGGAAGGCGTTTTATGAATGTTTTGATCCAATTGCAAAAATTCCACCATCACCATACCAAAATGTAGATGAACTCACATGGCTGGTAATTCTGCGTTGTCTTCGCCCAGATAAATTAGTTTCAGCTGTGCAAGTAAGGCTTTGGTCTGTCTGATAGAAATTAAGGCATTTTCATTAATCCATGAAATTTTCTTAGAAATATATTTCCAAAAAAATGGGTAAAATATTTATTGAACCACCCCCATTTAATTTGAGAGAAGCGTACGATGATTCCACTTGCTGTACTCCACTTATATTTATTTTATCACCCGGTGCTGATCCGATGGCAGGCCTGTTCAAATTTGCCGAAGATATGGGAATAAAACGCACAAATATATTGATTATATCATTAGGGCAAGGGCAGGTGAATCCCTGGTGATTTAAGTTTCAATTTTAATTTTATCGCATGTAATTTTGTGTTGGTTTTAGGGTCCGATTGCAGCACAAGTAATTAACAACGGCATTAACAGTGGCAATTGGGTTGTCCTTCAAAACTGCCATCTTGCTGAAAGCTGGATGCCACAATTAGATAAACTTTGTGATGAAGTTATTATGCCACAGAAAACTAACAGGAATTTCAGATTGTGGTTGACCAGTTATCCTTGTCAGTTTTTCCCAGTGATGATTCTTCAAAATGGTAAATTGTTATTAAAATTAAGACAAAATTTTTTTGTTTAACTATATGTATATTTAATTTAGGTGTTAAATTAACAAATGAGGCTCCAAAAGGATTGAGAGCAAATCTGTATCGTTCTTATACGAGTGATCCGATTTCAAACAGCAAATTTTTCACTGGATGTCGGGTACAGGAAACGTGGCAAAGGCTCTTATTTTCTCTTTGCTTTTTCCATGCCATTGTCCAGGAGAGACGGAAATTCGGTCCACTTGGTTGGAACATACCGTATGAATTCAATGATTCTGACTTAAGAATCAGTGTCATGCAGTTACAAGTACGTTTTTTGCACTTCGGTATTCAAATTTCAATTTAAATTCAATTTCATATCACATTCTATACTGCAGATGTTCCTTAACGAGTACGATGAAGTGCCATTTGAAGCCATTCAGTACCTAACCGGTGAGTGTAACTATGGCGGTAGAGTTACAGACGATAAAGACAGAACGCTTTTAAATTCTCTTCTATCGACATTCTGCAACCCGAATATACTGACTGAACCAAGGTAAGTCTTATTTCTTATATTTATTAATTACTTTTAAAAAAATTGATGCCAATTTTCTTTTCACAATGTAGCTATAGCTTTTCAAAAAGTGGTTTGTACCATATCCCTCAAGACACATCACATCAAGGGATATTGAAGTACATTAAAGAATTACCACTCGTACCACAGCCGGAGGTTTTTGGTCTTCATGCCAATGCAGATATTACCAAAGATAACCAAGAAACTATTGCGGTATGAAGAATTTTTCCCTTTTTAGGCGTACAACCTTCAAATGTTTTAATTTAAATATGTTTTTAGCTTCTTGAAACGGTGCTTCTTACTCAGCCTCAGATTACAGCTGTATCCGGTATTAAGCAATCTAGTACACTGGTACAAAATCTTGCCAGTGATATACTTGGAAAATTACCACCTCCATTTGACATAGTACAGATAACGAAGAAATTCCCTACTCTTTATGAACAGAGCATGAACACAGTTCTAAGACAGGTACTTTGCATTGACTATAAACAATCTGTCTGTTGTCACACTAATTATTGTACTGTTTTGCAGGAATTAATCAGATTCAATGGTCTACTGAAACTATTAGTCACATCATTGACAGATGTTACAAAAGCCGCAATGGGCCTTTCAGTTATGTCGTTAGAGTTGGAAGAGGTAAACAGCAGCATTCTTATTGGAAAAGTGCCGGCATGCTGGGCTGTAAAATCCTATCCATCTCTCAAGCCCCTTGCTAGTTACATCGCGGATCTTCTGTTAAGGTGAAATTACTAAAATTTACTTCGGTTCAATTCGCATTATGTAATTTACCTTTTACGTTTTAGACTGAAGTTCTTCCAGACGTGGATTAACGAAGGGATCCCCCGTGTTTTCTGGATATCGGGATTCTTTTTCACGCAATCCTTTCTGTCAGGAATACTTCAGAATTATGCGAGAAAGAACAAAATCTCGATAGATCAACTTGGATTTCAGTTCATGGTTACCAAGTTTGACGTCGATATTAAGTACGAACCGGATTACGGAGTGTATTGTAAGGTGAGGCTGTATAAAAAAGTATAAAAAGAGTATGTTAGAAAAATACCAGTCATGTGTAGCAATTAAACATATGAGCAAATAACATAAATAGAAAGTAATTCAACTGTATTTTATGAGATAATTTTTTTCCTGTAGAAAATCATGTCAAACGAGGAGTTGATATCATTTACCAATGTAAGGGTACTTAAAACATGCATCCATTAGCATGAGCTATCAAAAGTATAAATTGCATGTTTTATTTCTGCCTTGCACTGTACTAAAATATCATATTCAATAAAAATTCATCACATTTTATTTTAATAGCACATTAATAGCTTTCAGCATATGAATGAATAGTACACCAGTACTATTGGTAACATTTTTACTTGTGATCACCCTGGATCAAGTATGGCCTTAAGCAAGATCCAGTCTTCTTGAGTGAAAAAGTGGTCATATTTCTAATACAGATAACATTTTTAAAGCATTAATTAAGTAAAAAGACACTAATTTTTATAAATATACAAATAAAACAAACAAACACACACACACACACACACACACACCCAGAGTTTTCATACTTATTCAAGATCAAAAAGCGAGGAGCAAGGAGATTGATTTTTCTAAGAATGATATAAATTTGTTGCTTGTGCAGTCATAATAATAAACCTTTTTTAAGAAACTAGAAATAAATTTGGATGATTAAATTTACAGAAGTAATATATCAGTTTGTAATATTTACGTATTTAAGCGGCTATACTCAGTATTCCACCATTGGGCCTTCCAAATATTCAGACTAAAATACATTCAATCTCAATGTACACAAAAGGAAACAAAAACAAGATCTGGATGATGTGGGTTTGTTTATTTAAATAATTTTTCCTCACAATCTCTGACATTTTTAGTTTTTCAAATCTACTCCCAAAGGATTTTATAGCGACCCGGAATGGTTTCCCTGTTAATATATATTCTGGTTTTCTCAGGTGTGAAATGTAAACTTGTACCCTTTCACAGGACAACCTATCGTTCATTTTCCGAATCTGTAGATATTCATAACATCCCAAACTCTAAAATATTAAAGAACAGAACTGAATGATCAGGGTGCTTACTAACTTAAGTAGTTGAGTAACTGTTTCGCTCCATGTATTTTATCCTAATGTTTTTATATTGTAATTTAGTTTGTGTTTTATCATTGTGGCTAATTTGTAACTCTATTTTTAGTTTGTATGATTTGCTAGTTGGGTCTTGCCCTTACTTGTACATAAATACATACCACTCTTGGTATGTAAGAGCTTCTCTGCTGATGTTAAGTTAGATTAGTTATACAATATGTATAAATGGTGATGGAGTTGGGTGAATGGTATTAGAAGAGAATGTATACAGGGTATCCAAACAGATATGAGACACCCCCTTAACTTTTTTTGGCTTTTTTTCGTAGATGTTAACCCCCTTTATTTTCAACCTAGTATTCTTCTATTATAGATAGTGTGGATTGATGGCCACTGATGATTCAGACAATTCTGTTGGTACAAAGCAACACTTCTACACAGTATGCAGTGACAACAGTTTTTTTATGATAGAAATTTTCCTCCCAGCAGATTAAAATTTATAAAGAAAAAAGGCAGATAAACTGGAGAGACTTGAATGGAATAACTAAATCAATTGAATAAGTCTCTTTATCCCATTAAACTGTGTATTCGCTTGTCAACATAGCTTGTTCAGTATACTTTTGAATATTCAAAATGAATGACAAAAAAATGGATGTAGACAGTATTAATGTTTGTTTCAAATTGTTTTGTTTTGCATGAATTTTTTTGATTTTCAAAAACTTCTTTTATAATTTACACTGCAATAAGATATTTATACAAATGATTTGCTGCATGTTGTTTTGTTTCAAACGTGTTTTTAACATCTTTAAAACATCTAAACAAAGTATCTAAAAGTTTTTGCATGGGTAGTTTTCCCATTACCGAAAAACCTATCTGTGTATGTATTTTTCATGCAGCAAAAATTCGCCGAAGAGGAATTTAGTGCTTTTGTCAATGTAAGCTAAATTAACATTAAACTTCTTTATAAGCCTTATTTAACAAGATTACAACACGTTTAGAATGTACTTTATAACTTTTATTCTTTATAGGGGTTATTTCTTGAAGGTGCGAGATGGAATCGTAAAACTATGCTTTTAGATGAATCCCTTCCAAAGATTCTGTTCGACACTGTGCCGATAATATGGTTTAAATCAGGAATTACGGTATAAATAAGAAAACAAGTTTCAAATTTGTATTATAACAATTAATGTTTTATTTTTTTTTAAATACAATTTTAGTCCAAGTTCACCAATCCACCAAGTTACAGATGTCCGCTTTACAAAACGACAGCTAGAAGGGGTGTGTTGTCGACGACAGGCCATTCTACTAATTTCATCATGTATATAGACTTTGCGACCAACAGGCCTGAAAAGCACTGGATTGACAGAGGTGTCGCGAGTATAAGCCAGCTTAACGATTAGAGCAATGAGACTTATATTTACTTATCAGACTGATAATCTCTTACAATTAAATTTAAGCCATTAATCCTGTTCTAAAAAGTTAAAAAGTAGACTCTTGTTATACATCCTTAGAGAAATAAACTTTTTTGAATACGGTTTGGGAAATATTTATTTTATTCAACTATAACATATCATGAAGCTTTTATGATTAATTTAGTACCACTACTAACCATACTAGTAGTATTTGCTGAACAGGTTCATGGTTGAGCAAAGGAAGAAAGAACATTATTATTATTTGTAAAAATAAATGAAGACTCTAAAGTAAGTGAATGGTTCCTTTTTTTTGGCCAGTTGATTTTTGGAACACTGGAAAAAGGTATGTACAGCCAAAGTAATATTATAAATCGATTGTTGTATTACATGCAGAAATTCCAGAACTTCAGCTCCAAATAATCATGGTTCATGGCTAACATAGAAACCAAAAGTAATGGTATTTAGGCAATTTATTTTACAAGATTAAGAAATGCATTGCAGAAAAGAAACTGAATGTAATGCCATCATCAGTCAGATGGGCTGGAATTGGGTCAGTCACATTGAATGTGTTGTTAATATTCGATATGTTTGTCTTGAATCTGGTGTGATGGATTTTAGTATTTTTTGAATCCCATCTTAAACTGGATTCTTTATTCAATGATGCGCAACATTGAGTCAGTGCAGACACGATTTCTGGAGTGACAATGTTGCGGGGCAAAGTCTGTGAAATGTATCTGAGAATCTGCGACAAAGAATCCAAACAAAGAATCTCAGTGCGTACTAGGCTTAAGTCAAATGTCAATTTATATATTCAGTAATGCATGAGTTTGTTAGTATGATTAAATTGAAGACAGACAAAACAAAAGGGAAATTATTATTTTTTGATCGATCTAAAATGATTTAGGGTAGACAGGTCATTTTTGCTACATAAGCTGAGCAGCTGTTGTGATCTCCTTTAAATTCATTGACAATTTTAACCAATTTATGAATCTTTGTTGCCTGAGACAAACTCCTCTCAAATAAAATTGCAATCGAAATGGGTGTGAGGCAAGTTTGCACTTAAAGCCCGTTACTATTCAGTATCTTTATCAATGTCAATTGCTTATTTATAAAGTGAGATATTGTGTAACAAGGCAAGGATATGGAGGTTCCCATACTTAGAAACTTAGTGGTAATTGCAGAATACTGTAAAAAAAAAAAAAAAAAAAAAAAAAAAAAAAATAGCGTCATGAAATAAACACCTGCAACTCAAAAATAATATTCAGGAATGGTGGAAGTAAGGAAAAAACTACGAATGGAATTTGAGTAGGGAAAAAATCGAATTTATCTTAAGCACCCTGAAGAAAGGTCCTCTTACATACTGGCAATGGTGTGATGGAAAATGGGGTTTTTTGGTTTACAGATTAAAGGCCTATTAGTAAAACACGAAATAAACTACATTTTTCTCCAAGGAAACGATTAGATTGTACAGTGTCAAGTAGCTCAGAATCATTATTTTATAGCAAAAGCAAAAATCTAAATACCATAAACAACTAAAACAGGGTGACAGCTCGCTCATACCTAGCTGATGACAAGACTTTTTCTAAAAGTTAAATTTTTAAAACCAGCTACAAGCTTTGACATCACAAGAAGAAACTGTGTCGTGATGAAGGTCAATAAGTATAAAGCAAGCAACATTTTATTGGCGAGTGTCTCATTCTGCAAGACTAGAATAAAATGGGTCTAAGGAATGTTCTATAGAATGGCTAAATGGTTGTTTTTCTCAGTGGCGAATAGTTACAGAATCTAACTAGTCAATTCATGTTTGTCTCTAGGTAGACGTATCAAGAGTGATGCATTTGAGTCAGTGTCACTAGTGAGTGGATGATGTCTGTGTTTGCCTCAACCACAAGTGTGGATGTATGGCATATGAGCTGTTTAATTCATCAAACAAGTAATTTGTCAATTAATGTACACTATGCGATACTTTTGCCTCACTTTGTCTCTGGTAGACTATGAAAATAATTAAGGTAGAACCTATTAATGATTTGCCAATCTCTAATACACCTGAACCCTCCAACTGTAGTCCTGAGTTAATTTTTAAGGCTCACTCGATGTAGAGGACCTCACCTCTGTTGCGTGCTGTTTTGTTGAAGTGTGAAAAGAAATTAGAAAAAGTTCCACAGTAAAAACTGTCAGCAATCAAAATAAATTTATTCAACAGTTTGTGTAATTACAATAAAATGTGTATAATGAAGTGATCGATCAGCTTGGACAAAAAAAATGTCAACACAATAATAAATAAACAGGGGCAGGTCCAAACACTTCTGAAATGCCCCAAGCTGGATGAAGATTTTTGTACAAATAAAGCATTTAGTACTATATAATCTTTTTACTACACCTACATTCCGTGAAAAAATTCAACAAATAGCGTACATGAAAAAATGGTACTTTTGCTAATATGTAGTCATAATCCAGTAGTTTAACAAAAATACATTTTAAACAGGGGCAAAAATGTAGATAATTATAAAGCCTTTTTTTTATTTAAAAAAAATAAAAATAAAACATCTCACTATTTTAACAAAGTGTGATTTGTTTAACAAAATTTTTAAACATACATACGATCGAATGATCTTTGAAGAAGCTCTGTGATTGTCCTCTTAAAATATATAATGTTTAGTAAATATCAAGCTTTGCATTACACTTTAAAAAAACATTAAATGTTAAAATAAATATATTTATGATTTAATCACAAGTCAATTAAATTTAAAAAAATTAACGTTTTTTAAAACGCAAAATCATTTTCGTTGAATCAATGATAACTCGATCGCATCAATATGGTTATGAATGTAACAAAACTTCCACCATTGTGCTTCCAACCTAAAAAGCAAATTTGGGAATTGATTTGGTTTTAGAAGACAGGGCAAACAGCAAGGAGGAAGTAATAAAACATAGAAGACATTTTTTTCAGAATTAATCTCAAATAAAAGAATATTGTCAGTTTTATAAACAAATTTTTGTAAAATATTTTTCATAATTAACCTTTCACTTCAATTCAATATTTATACTTCTATCTGTACAATGAAAAGCATATTTTTTATATTATTTTCTTTATTTATATATTATACTGAAAAATTTATATTAACTTTTATTTATTATACTGCATCATAGTTTTTCCGCACATTTTCCTTAATTTATATATATTTATATATTTTCTTTCTTTCTTTTTTTAATAATAGCCTAAGAAATGTGTGCTGCAAAGTAAAGCAAGCCACTTCTGCATCAAAGCACCTAATTACAATTTAAAAAAGAGATAACAAAATGCAAGACCAAAATAATCGATGGGCAGTGTTAATTGTTTAAATATGTTCTCATCTTAAAATATTAAATTCCGTTCCTTTTAACAGTTTTAAAATATTTGGATCAATAAGTTTTTTTTATGCACTTTTTATTTTTCCATTTTGCAGATTTTTCTCGGATTTCTTATCTCTTCTTAATGAAATCAATTCATTCTTTTTTCCCTCTTGGAATTATGAAGCTTCGACTGCCTTCTTCTTGCTCTTCTTTTTCAGGAATGATGGTGTCCTTAACCCCTTCTTTTTCTTTTTATCTTTCTTGGGCGAGTCTTCCGTTGATAGATCCTTAGTGGGCGATCCCTGAAAAATGGAAAAAAATTGCAAATCCTTTTTTCTTTTGTATTTTACTTTACTTAGTAAAACTTTGAAAAATGTTTCTACTTACACTTACTTCTTTGCTACTGTGAGAGAAGGTGCTTTGATGAGCATCAGAATGGTCCCCGTTGTAAGTGTTTTCACCTGAATAAACAACAAAAGAAATTCATTTCAAAACAAAAGTAATATTTTCCCCTCTGATATTTAAAAATAAAAGAAAATATATGTGCAAAAGGAAGAATGAAACGTGCCATGAAGATTAATGTGAACTACATAAATGATATCTGGTTTCAAACAAATAGTAGTTAAGGATACAAAATAGTTTTCATGCTAATAATGGCTAAATGTTTCAATTTTTGTGACTGTGTAAAATAAAACAATGAAAATGGTATTTTTATTTTTTTTTAAATTATGATTTATTAAAAACTATTCCTGAAATCAGAATCATAATAGAGCAAAGAAAAGAAAGACAGCAGAAAAATAATTTTTAATATTACCTTGTTGCTTACCAAAAACTATAATTTCTTTTTTCTTATCTATTATTACTTTGAAGTTTCATGGTAATAAATAAAATCTTCATATATTTCTATGAAAAGTTTTACCTATTGTTATGGTTAAGTAAAGCAGTTATGGGTAATGGCAGTGCATAATGAATAAATAAAAAGCGTGTGCTAGGAAAAAAAGTATATTTGTAAAAATAAAAAGCTTAAATTTTAATAAAAAACAAGCTGACTGAAATGTTACTGAAAGCCATTATACCAAAATCACAGATGGTTTGTTTTCAAAAACGAATTTTTAATATTTTTTGTCATTTCGACTACTTTTATTATTAATAAAACAAAACAAAACATCAACATTCCATTCCAATTTTATTAAAATGGTTTTACATGTTATTTAAAGCATTATTTTTATCAAACCAGTCAAAACTCATTAAAAAAAGCAACATAACGGTATTTTTGTGTGTGAATTGGAATTTATTTTGTTTTATACATCAGGACTCAATTCAGATGAACATTCGAATATTGTGTAAAGTGTTTTCTCCTCTTCGATAAAAGAAGTTACAGATTCGTGCAATGTGTTGTCTGTCGAGCTGTGCTCAGGGGAAGAGGCACGGGTCGGTTGGCATACATCAGAGGAATTCACAACTATTTCACAACAGCTTTCAATTATTAAAAATTCCTCCAGGGAATTGATTGAAGTTTTCCTATTAAAAAAATGTGATTTCTGATTATGTTCTACAATTGGACCACCACTACTGGACGGTGAATTCGAATCAAGATGGAAAGGGTCAAAGAGCTGAGTCCCGTTGTGGTAAACTGTTTTGTCTGTATCGGCATCATACCCAGAATCAGAATTTACTATTTGGGGAGAAGAATCAGTCGGGCTGAAATCTAAATCGCTCATGACCAACAGGGAATCCGATTCTTGTTTAGGAGACTGAGGGGAACATTGATTTCCTACAGAGTCCAATAGCACTGTAGAAGGTGTTTCATCATCCTGTTCATCAGTACTGATCAGACTGTCAAGTTGCAAACATCTTGGCCTCCTTTTAGTGACATTACAGTTCATATCCAGAGATAGTCCTACTAAATCCTCTGAACTTGAAGAATGGCTTGGACATTTCTCAGGACAAGAATCAGAAGTATCTACTACTTTATAATTAGAACAAGTCTCCATTTCAAATGAAATAGGAGATATATCACAATACTTAGAAGTACTGGTAGTGCAATCCACTAAACCTTCGCAGGTTTGGAAATCATCTCCTACATACGAATTTAAAGAATCATTGTCTTTTATGACATCGTCGACATGGGAATCGAAACTCAATTCTAAAGAGTTGGCAGTATCATCAGATGCAAAATCTGCCTTCTCTTCAAACGTTCTTTCACAGTTTGTTTTAGTCGAATGCGGAGGTGAGAAGACGGTTATTGACACTTCCTCAAAACATTCGTCTCTGTTGGTCTGATTCATACTTTCAAATTTTATTGACAGCTCTTTGTGCAACTCATACATAAGGGATTTACGCCTTTCTGTTTCAATTTCGAAAGCAGTCTTTTCGCGAAGAGGTCTACACGGTTCACCCGACTCGTGCCCGTTTTTGAGAATGTCAGGCATTTGAGCCGATGTCCTACTGTCTGAAGGCAACGGAGGAGCTATTGGAACGATTTCATCGCGTTTTTGTTCATCCGAATCATAAAAATAAATTCTCATTGCGGTTTGGGTCCCTTTTGAAACGACACTGTTTGAATGAGAAAACTGTAAAGGAGTGGTCTTAATTTCAGCAATGTTTTTCTTCGAAGTAATATCAGCTAAGTCAATCAATCTTGCACGGCACATCACCGCAGCGTCTGTACAGTCCACACCTGTGATAAAAAAACAAACACCCAAAGAAAAGTCGGTTCAGCATTAAAACATGCAATGCAAAGCAAAAATAAAACAACACAAGTGATAAAAATAAAATTAATCAAAAAAATAAAATAAAATCTAACTGTTTAAACCTTTTCAGAAATCACTTGTATTGTTTAAAAAAATAGTATTTCTGACACCCTTAAGGGAAAAAAATCAATACCCTTTACTACATTACCTTTCTTAGAACTTTTGGCTCGATCAAGGGATGTACTTCGTTTCTGTTTCTGATCTGCAACTGTTCATGCATTACGTGCAACTTTGAGAAAATGAGAGTGCAAAATAGATATATAAAGCAGAACTTGTGCAAGACTACACAATCATAATAATAAAAGAAGATTGAAGAAAAAGAATTAGTTTGGATTTCTAAATTTGTTTTTAAACCACTAATAAAATTTACAATTTTGTCATATAAATTTAAGTTACTATTCAAGATCTTTTTATGTTATACTTCACACCATCAGTAAGGGAAATTTAACCAGTTGATTACAAATTGAACTTTTTTTAAATTTACAAATTACAATATAACTTTTTGAAAATGCTCTATGAACGTTTTTAATTTTATCAAGATTTTGAAAATTCTTTTACTTTTCATCATTGCTGAAAATCATAACATCTCAAAACCTAGTTATGTATTTATTTTATTTTGAGCATTAACATAAATTTAAAATAAGAAAAGTAGTAACCTCTAAATGAAATTGTTTCTATTATGGACACATTTTGTTAATTTTTTTAAAATTGGCTGTTCAATTTCATTTTAGGAAAATTTAAACAAATTGATATGTCGATTTCCCAATTTACTGATGTAGAGTAAAGATACTGGTTAAAAACAGATACATAAAAATATTCTAAAACTGAAAATATAAAATAAAAATGAATTATACAATTAAACAATTGAATAGATTATTTTATTTTCATGCAAAAAAGCAAGTAATAATGTTGAAGAAGACAAATTTTTCCAAAATGAAAATTGTTTAATAGTGGGAGCAATAGGATACAAGTCATGCTTTTGAAAAAAGATTTTAAAATATATATATAAAATGTTATAAGAGAATTCTCTTATGAATTTCGACTCACCTTTGTTCGACGGATACCTCTGTGATTTTGATCTTTCAACATGCGGTGGCAGTAAATCATTTTCATCTACAAAGACATTCTCTACTTCTCTATCATCTACAGAGTTGAAGGAAATAGAAGCAAGAAAGAAAATCTAGTTTAGTGGTCATGCATTTTGAAAAAGTTCGCTAATTTTTAAAGTCGTATAGCAAAGTAGAATTTTGACTTGAGTTCATAGTAAATCTATAGGATGGCACAACTATTATGCAGAATGCGTGCCATACCGTTTTTATCTCCATTCTTTCATCCTAATACTTACAACCTCAGAACTTCCACATAGCTAGCAAAGTGGAAAAGGTCTTCTTTACTTGTACAATCGCAAACAATATTTTTTTTACAACTTATAAAAATTAAAAGAAAAAATAAAAGGCAACAAACAAGAAGGAAGTGATTTTTTGTTTTAAGAGATAGCAAAATGTTAAAATAACTGGGAGGTGAATGCTTGCTAAATATTGACTTTAGAATTTCAATTTAAATGATTCGGTATTATTTAGCCGGCAGTCACATCAGTTATACAAATAGAAGCTTGTATTTTGCACATTTGAGGCATTACATTCACCATATTTAAGAAGTTTTCATTATTTTACATAAGTCTTAATTTATGTTTATATGGTGAATGGTTGCTGTGAACAATATATTTTAATTTTTCGGTTGTGTTAAAGAAAGTTCAGCTTACAACACAGATTAGCCATGCGCTTCTTTAGATTTGGTAAAATATTGATTTTGTTTCAATTTTACTTATTTTTTAACTTCAGCTTTTTTAGTAGTACAAAAAAAGTAATTAGTAATCATCAGAACAAGCCAAGTCAAAATAAGTAAAGAACTGAAACTTATCAATGAACACACAAAATGCGAATCTGCTTAGGCTGTTTAATGCAGAAGGACGATGCGCATAGGCTCTCCGGAAGTTTTGAACTGAAAATTTAATGATTTTCTGAAATGGTTTACCATCACTCAGAACGACTTCGGCTTGGCTCGGAATCGGTGCAGTTTTCGTTTCTATTCTCAAAACTTGTGGCTCTGTAAAGAAATTTCAACAAAAAATATAAACTACAGACACACAAAACAAAAACTACTGAGGAATTTATATAATTACTATGTTCATTAAACTGTTATGTATAAAGGGGAAAGATGGAATAAGTAAAAGTGTTCCATTTAAATGGTCTAAAATTATCTACAAATTTAAGGCAGTAGGCTTTAAATTTTTTTTTTAAGTTTTATTGTCATAAACTAACAACATTGGGGAAGTCTAAAGGATTGAACGACAAAAATAATTTCTATCAGACATTTTTAAAAATATTTTAACATTTATATACTACAATCAATTATAGATTAAATGTTCAAAACCATGCTAGGTTCCTATTCATTGAAAAACAAACACAAATTTGTGGATGATCCTATTATTAAAAAGTGCCCCAAGAAAAACCTTATGTACACCTGAGTAGTCCATTTTAAAAATACAATTTGAATATATTCCAAAGCAAAAAATACTTGGACTTACCAGTTCTGCTGTCCTCTTCAGTTTCAGAGAGGGGAGATTTCACACCGGACGGTGGAAGTGCTGCTGATGATGAAAGAGCTTCGCTTTCACTCTGTTCCTCATCATCTGTCAAAAATACCAAAAACTCGATAATTATGATTATCTCAAAATTTGTGTTACTCATTACTCACAGTATTCTCCCTTTTGTCTTCTGGTAACTACTTTCTTGTATTCTTCCAGCTCTTGGTCTGAGACGCAGTCAAATGGATTTTTTGCATACGGGGTTTTATAGACGGTGGCGTTATGCTGGAAACCTCGTTGAATGATGCCTTTTGAAGCAGCACCCACAAGTATCACTTGATCCCCTGTCATGCTTATGTTGGCGTCCTAATAATTTGAAATTTTGTGTATATACAGATAGATAAGATTGTTTTGTAAATTTGTTACTACCTGAAGCTTCTTCGCTTCCTCCCAAGATACACCTTCGAGAATGTGAGACTGAGGCCCTGAAGTTATTTTATCGGCTCGTCGATTTTCTTTTATCTATATTTCAAAAATTCAATAAGCATTACTCAAAAATGAGAGTTAAATTGATAAAACAATATGGGATCGAGTTTTGATACCTGTTGTTGAAGTTTCTTGAACTCTTTGGGATTCGTGTTCTTAGGAACGAACTGGAGAGCTGCGTCGATCTTGACAGGTGTGCTTGTATGTGTGGGAGAGCCATCGGCGACCCACTATCACAGACAAAACCATATCCGTGCGTCAGGGTAAAGGGTGAAGTAATTACAGATAATAAAATCCAATAGTTTAAAAGGGAGGAGAGACTAGTAAACATTGCTGGGACGTTAAGTATTAGAAGAAAAACAAGGAAAACTCGTAAGAGAACAAAATGTGCCTGCTGATAGTAGGATATGAAAATAAATGTGATTAACATTAACAACTTAAAAAGAAATGATAAATGGGCCATTTGTATCATTTCCTCCCATACTTTACCTTAACTTTTTTTTTAATTACCTGTTTAGACAAACCAAGAATCTTGCGAATGGGTCAAAGCTAAAGGATAGACGACCGGACTGGTTTTGCCTGTGATGGACAAAGCTGCTAGGAAAAGGATTTGACGAAAAGGGTGTTCTATACAACAGGCACAAGTTTTTTCTGAGTTTTCCAAATTATTTTCATTCAAATAATTATAAAACACAAATCCTTAATCTCTCCAACCTTTTTATTTATTGTATCTTGGATATTCCTTAAGGTAAGTACTAAATATTCCTAATAAATTGAAGCAAAACTAAAAAATATATGACTGTGCCAAGTATGTGCCATTAAATGTAGAATAAATTTAACTTTAAATGTAAAAAGCTTCTATATAAAAAAAAACCCAAAAGAAAATTTTGCAAGAGAATCGTCTTGAGGCAATTCGTTTTCATTTTATTTAAATAATAAACATTCAAATATAAACATTTTCTTGAAAATTTTCTTTTCTTACTCAAGAAATATGCTAGATCTTAACCAAAATAATTCTTAACCATGCTGAAGTGAAACCTTAAATGATAAAAACAAAAAAACTAATTTTGATATATATGCAAATGTGCAACACAAATAAGAAACGTAAGAAGTTTCAAAAAGTAAAAATCAACCTGCTTTAAGCATGCAGTTTACAGTGGAAAAGTACAAAAATTTCAATGTAAAATAATTAATTACTTCTATTTAACAATTATGTAGTCAATATATACCAAAAATGAATAATTTTTGAAAAATATGTGTAAGATGCTAAATACCTTTTATCATGTCTTTGCACAGTGTATACCTTTGTGATATCCAATTATTTGACATTAATTTTTTTAAATGTTAGTTTACTAAATAAATATTGTATAATCAATGTTATATTTATATTACGTCATTTCCCCTATATCAAAAATGAATTGTCTAAACTGGTATCCTTTACCGTTTTGTTTTAGAAACAAGTTTCGTTAATGATTAAATTGTTTCTTCTAATAAATATCATGCAACCATCACCTGAAACTTATTATTCAGTATTGAAATTTAAACGTTAAATAGTTCTATTGGTTTGTTATAACAATGGTTTCTTAAACAATAAACCACCACAGATATTATTTCTAAAAAAAATGTATTATTTTTATTAACTTATTACCTCATCAGCGTGAGAGTCCACCCACTAGAACATTGAAAACATAAAACCATTACAAAACAAAAACTCACATACAATTAGATTTATTTTTGTCCTCGACATAGTAAAGCAGTTAAAAAAATAAATAAATAAAATAAAAAGCTACTATTTTATTATTTCTAATTGCTAAACAATAATAGAAAAAAAAGGAAATTACAAAGCTTGACTATGTCAAAAAAACCAAAAACTTAAAACGAATTGTGTTCATAGTTTAAAAAACACAAAATTTCTCTACTATCATGCAAATACTATACCAAAGAAATAAAACCACTTAAGTTCATTATTATAATAACTTCAGTGGTTATTTCTTTAATTACACGGCATGCTGCTAACTTTTTAAGCCATGAGTGAATAAATAACAAATCAGATTATTAATAATCGAGTGAAGATTTCTTTTCTATTATTAACTGAGGAATATCCAAGTTAAAAAAAATCACAAAATTAGAAAAATAATTTTAAAAAACTTGGCCATTAATTACTTAATAGAGACAAAAAATAAAGCTTTGAAATATTTATTGCTCACACAAAAAAGTACATTTTAAAATATTTAGTAATCTAGATAACAGACAAAGCATGCCTTGTAATAATAACATGCATCATAAAATATATATTTCATAAAAATTAGTTATATTGCTTAAACATCGCTATTTAATTTTTGTGTAAATACAAAATCACTTTTGAATGTTAAAATTATGGAATGTCTTATTTTTGACTATCGATGGAAAATGGAAAAATCACATCAATACATTTTATTAGGATGAGGAGTAGTATTGCACTAATGTTTATTTTTCTCTAAAAGGAATTTGTGCGTTATTTATTTTGTCTTTGTGCTATTAATTTTAACATAAGATAAATTCTGTAATTTGAAAGCCCTATTTTAATTATTAATAATGAATTATAGTGACAGAATCTGTTGTTAATCATTAATGTATAAAAAATCATATCACTTGCCTATCAGAAAAAATTGTTTTAAAAAGAGTATTTTCAATACTGTGAAATTAAAAAAAATATATATATGAATTAACCGGCAGTAAAACTTTAAAAGCACTTTAAATTTCTGTTATATTGTTTTATTTCCCTTATGTCTTTGTCAGTTTAACAAAAGGAAATCAAAAAATATAAAGTGACAAAAAGTAGTCAATGCTGTTATATAACAACCTAAATATTTAGACCAGACCAGTGGAGTACACTGTTGTAAATAACAGACTAATCAAGTTTTATCATACTAACCTAAGATAAAAAATATAAAACAAATATCCAAATCCCATACATAAAAAAAAAGCAACAGTGAATTCAGTCAACGAGAATTCTTAGAAAAACTAATTCATTTTGCATGAAAAGCTAAATTTTACGCATAAATTGTGATAAGATAATTTGAAAGAATACATCTTTCGATGCAGTGAGATTCCACATTGAGAAATGAAATTGTTTACAATTAAAGTAAAAACACCTGTTTTTCGTTGAAAAATCACATTTTAAAGTATAGATTATAATCAGTATACCTTCATTACATATCTTTGATATAGGTAATTTATGATATACTTTTGTTAATAGAAATTTCTTCACTTCTTATAATCTAAAATCCCTTTAAAAAAAAGTATATTCTATATATAATAAATTTAAAATAAAGTAGTAAATAAAGCATTATTTCATTAAAAATCTCGACCTTTTAAGCGATTAGTATAAATAATAAATTTTGAGATACTTGTATATAGATACCAGCCTAATTGTTAAATGTTACAACTTCTACCTTAGTTATTTTCTTGGGGTCCGTTGTTCCTGTTTCGAGGATTTCAACTTTCTGATAAACGTTTGGCGAGTTGAGCCAGCGGGTCCTATCGTTTTTATTGAATCCCGCTTTTTTCCACATTCTGTTGAAAATAATAAATTGTTAATCGTTTACAAGTGAGAGAAAATTTAACAACTTACCCTTGCTTGTACATCTCTTCCTCTTCGAGAAGATACCCTAATGAAGACACTGCAGGAGGTACTTCGACATCATTTCTTGGCCTTGGAGGATCTCCTTTAATCAATGGTGTCCTATAAATGTAGCCAGTTCTAAAACCCTACAAAATAAAATTATTAATAATGATATATTTTATCAAATTAATGCTTTCAAAATAAACTAAATAAAATAAAGCGTACAGCGTTATCCAACATCCTCATGAGGGCTTCAAAGTCCATGCCTCCAATTCTCCACCTCTTTTCTTTCTTTTCCAGGGCTTGGGCTAATTCTTTATCTTTTGGAGGTAAAGTTGCCCCTCCTTCTGGAGCCTTTCGAGCCGCATCGTATATTTGTTTTCTACTTTCATCAGAAAGAAGAACAATGTTGTCTAGTCCAATGGGCAACAGTTTAACCTGTGCAATTGTTAATTAGTACAAAAATACTCTTTTAAACTGAACAAAAAATTTACCTGAGTTTCACAGGCAAGAACTGTATTGTAGACATTGAAAAATGCTTCTTCAACAGTCTCACCACAACAGACAGCACCATGATTAGTCAAGAACATCACCTAAAATAATAATTTTAACATAAGTATATATATGTTATAATCGTAATGTCATTTTGTTTTACTTTATTGTTTGGTCCAAGACTTCTGGCTATCTTGTCTTTTTCTTCAGGCTCTGAAGCCGAACCGTTATACTGATGTAGGCTAACTTCACCGATCACAGCAGCTTCTTGACACAATGGGAGTAAGCCATTAACTAAAGTTGAGACCTAAGATATCGAATGTTACATTTCATTATACAATGCATACACCATTACAATATAAATCAATTTGTAAACATAACATACTGCTAAGACAGAAGGTGTGTGCACATGAATGATACACTTAATGTCAGGCCTGGCAGCATGTACGGCGGCATGGAGTTGAAACTTGGTTTGATTTACTCCAAAATTTGTTGTACCAGGTTCTACAATATTTCCTTGCATATCAACTTTAACAAGCGATGATGCAGTCATTTCATGAAACATCATTCCAAAAGGATTTATTATGAAGTGTTCTTCTTCTTGATTCAGTCTTGCCTGTAATTATTAAAAATATTAAATAAAAAGTAAATAAAGTCAAATTGACAAGATTCGGATTTACCGTAATATGATTGTTTATTCCGTGTGTCCAACCGTACAAATCCATCAATCTGAACACGGACGCAAGCTTACATCTCAATATCTTCTCACCTTTTACATATCCCATACTTTCAACCCCTCTAATATCGTTTATTGGCACCACGCAGTTTGAACCTTTAAAAAAAAAAAAATATATATATATATATATATTGATGATTAATGAGGAGAAAAATCTTTCAGTTCAATTGACTTACTTTTGAACATAGATCCTGAATGTATCCTTCCAGCGCCACCTACCATGTCTTGAATCTGCTGAAGGAGTCCTGCAGGCCCTCCTCCTTCCTTCATCTGCGATTCGATAATCCTTTCCAATTCTTCCCTGAACAGCCTGGATCCCATCATCATTTCAACTCTCTTCCTCCTCTCCATCTCCCTCATATCCTAAGGGCAAATATAATGGGAATGATAAATACAGGCAATAAAGAATATTTTTTTCTTGAAAATTATAAATTACTTATGGCTTAACAAAGTAAATTGTGTATGTTGAGTGGCCATTGAATGAACTGAGTTACAATTTAAATTGTAAATTTAACAAATGCTGATTTATAGGGTAAAACATTCATGAAAGTTTAATATTTCCTGAATGTAGTTTGGACATGTCTGATTATTTTGGTCGGCCTATCCTCACTGTTTTGGTCTGCCAGGTGCACGTCAGCTTCTGATCACACAGTCATCTTACAGGTGATAAAAAGCTGAAAAACCTCTGATGAACTTAGGCAGATCAAAAGCTTCAGAAACAAATGGACTACAGGTTAATCACCCATCAGACCAAGAGGAAATCGTAGAATTTCTTGATCTGTAAAGTTTTATGATTAAATCTTATTATAATCTACCGATCAGAATTGACAAATGTGAAAATGAAAGATTGTTATGAAACCATCTAGTGTAAAATTCTAAGGCCATAAATGAAACACCCTTTGCAACACTGTCAATATATATTCTAACAAATTCAATTGATAATTTTATAATAAAGAAGCTGAAAATGCGGATTATACAACTGACAAAAAATTATCTCTTTGGTTACAAGTGTCGGCAGCTCTGTTGGGGTTTATCTTAAGATCAAATTTCATTCATTAATTGAGCTCTTTTGAAAGAGCTCTTTGCTCCCTACTGAACGATTGCTCAACCAGCACTAACTAAAAATACTCTACATTAATTAAACCAAACACTTTCGTAATGAGATAAAGAAGCCATTAGCCCACAACTGTCACACTTTTTCTTGAAATGTTTAAAACTATCGCTTTATAAATACAGGTGATGATTAAACTTTTTTTTAATTAGCTGGGAATATTTTGAAAACTAGTTCTAGCAGCAAAATAGAACTGTTTGACAATTATTAAACATCTAAGTGCTGTTTTTAATAACATTCTTAGTCTCTTTTTTTATTAACAAATATTAATGTGTAAATAATGATATGAACAAAAGGTTAATGATCTTTTAAAAGAAGCAATTTTATTTTTTGACATTCAGACGCTTTTAGCTCAATCTTGAATAAAATCGTTTATGTTAAACAATTTTTCTTCAAGTTTGGGTTATTTTTAGTTGGAACTTCAAAGGCTTTTTATATACATCGCAGAAAGAGATTTGCAAAGAAAACTCGAGAATGGGACGGAAACACAGTGTATAAGATTGGGATTGGATGGCTGCCAATAGAAAGTCCAGATAGAGTCCAGGATTGGTTTTAACGCTATAATTTGCTATTAATAATACTATAGATTTGAAATAGATTTTTTAAGGAAAAAAGTGCAGATGTTAAGATGTGGGTCTGAGAAAGTTGCAGTGGTAGGTGATTTCACCCATTGGTAAAGAAGCTTACCAGAAATTTACATATTTTATTTGCAATATAATATACATTATATTAGCGACCGCAATGAATGGTTATTAGAGATCATGAGATGTGGTCTGGTGTGATGTAGGTGTAGAAAAACATTTTCTTTATTGTGCCAATGTTTCAATCTTTATTGAGATCATCTTCAGGGTCTGGGATTTAATTTAAACATTGTTTAAATTATACAAATACATATAAGATGTGAATATGAATTTATACAAGGAAGTAGGGATCCCTACTCCTTAAAAAAAATTTTAATTGCTTTACGGATAACAATCGTATAAAAAATATTAAAGTGATACCAACCAATGCCCAACAAGAACACACAATACATGTACTCTTCCAGAATAATATATTTTTGAAATTTGAATTGTTATCAATGACTGGGGGGATGACACTGACTGATCAGAGATGAGACTGCAGTTTCATGAAACAATGACTAAAGGTATTAAATGGCCATTATTTTGTGAAATGCTTTTGATATGTTAATTATAGCTTTGTAAAGAAACAAGGCAAAGGGAATTAAGGATGCACATATAATTATAGCTAGGCTGTGCATAAAAAAACAAAACACTGTAATTATTGAAAGGGGACAAAACACACACACACACACACGTAAAATGTCCATACTAAGGCTACAGGACCTGACGGTATCCTGAACAATTTTTTAAAACAATTTTTCCTTAACTATTGCTTTCAAGCAAAAACTATTCCTAATGGCCACACATCCTCCTTTCTTCCCTAAACTTCAGGTTTTCCTCAAGGCTCTAACATTTCCCCTCTTCTGTTCAGCATTTACATCAGTGATCTCCCTGATTCCTCTCAGCATTGCGATGACCACCTCTATGCCAACGACTCCTGAATTCCTTCCGTCCCTCCGATCTATATTTACTTTTGGCTATCCACATAATTCAGGAAGATCTGAATTCTATAAATAAATGGTCACATAGCGCACAAATGCTAGGAAATCCAAAGCCATTGTTATAGGATCCAATCAGCTCCTCAAATCCCTCCCATCCTTCTTTCACTGACAACAACCAGCCCATTTCCTTCTGGTCCACTGTTAATAACCTTGGGGTTATCTTCGACCAAGATCTTTCCTGAAAACCACACAGATCCCCAATTTCCCGATGCTGAATTGCATCCCTCATTCAATTCCGCCAGTCCTACTTTGTACCACTTGCGAACTCCTTATCTCCTCCCTGTTCTTTCCCTTCTTTGTCTGTGTCACATAAGGTGGACTTTCAAAGGAACAAGAAAAGCATCTGAAAAGACTTATTAACTGTTATGTCAGATTAATTTTCGCCACCCTTTCAATATCCAGTCTCACACCTGTTATTTAGACCTATCCTCACTTTATATCCTAACCCTCCTTCCATAGGAAATATTTCCCAGCCAAATTCCTTTACCAATCCATAAATTCTTGTCGTCCTCACTATCCTTTTCCACTTACTTCAATTCAAACCTTCTATCCACTCTCTTAACACAAGCTCATCTCCCAATGACCTACACCTTCCTCGTCATAAAGCCTCCGCATTTGAATAATCCTTTCTAGCTCAAGCCAAATATTTCTGCTTTTATTCCTTTGTCAATCCGCAAATCTACCTCCCTTGCCACTTTTAAATCCCTCCTGTACAAACACCTCATGTCCCTCCAAACAGAGACAACAATTTACAATATTATTAGGTCCTTCTACTACATAAGAAAGCGTGTTTCCTACCTTTACTCAACTTTTAAGTTTACAGTATGTGATTATGATAACACAAGACAGAGTATTTTTTATTATTACTGTGTGGTGTTTAGTGTCCGTTAGTTAATGATTATTTGGAGATCGTGAGATGCGGTCTGGTGTGATATAGGTTTAGAAAAACATTTTCTTTATAATGCAAATGTTTTAATATTTATTGAAATCATCTTCAGGGCCTGGGATTTTTAAACATTGAACAAATACATGTAGGATGTGAAAAAATGAATTTATACAATGCTAGAAATTTTAGACTCAGACAAAGTATTTGTACTCACTCAAACTGTTTGTTTTCTGTGTAGATGTGTCATTATTGTGTGTCGTGAGCCTTTCAAATAACCTTTTAGGCCTTATTTTAACTTTAGAACATAATTTTAACACATTTTAAAATCTCTTTCAAACTGATGTAATAGAAAAATATACCAAAAGTTATGAAAAGCTCAGAAAATTTATTTGTACCTATTTTGATTTCGAAATATTCTAAATTGTAATAATTAAACATTTATAAAAACTGTTTTAAGTCAATTAATATTCTTATTCTTCTTCAACTATTAAGTCTTTAATATTTTCTAAATACCAACTTGTAATAAATATGTAGTAAAATATTTTGACTGATTATAGGGTTCTGTATGAAAATATAAACTATTTGCAAATCTAAAAGTTGTTGATTTAAATTATAATACATATTAACTTACAGCATCGATATCAGCAGGTCTCATTTTCCCCTTGTCATCTTCTTCTGTATCTTCACTGATCCCGTTTGTCTGGGGAGGCTGCTCTCCAGTCTCCGCCATCTCTCACGCCCTGAAACACAAACCGACAAATTGGTACAATAAAGTCATAGAGGCAATTAAATATTTCAGTGGGAGAAAAATTGTTTTGCATTATCAAACAATAAATTGATTTCAAAAGTCAATTTCATACTAGGTACGTGTAAGAGAGATGTGCTTTTAGCGAGTTGCCAAAGCTTTTATGAATATTGACGTTTAAACGGAGAGGGCAGAAATAGATCCTCACTGGCATAAAGGGAAATTTGGTTGAACGCCGAGCAAATGGTTGAACTATTAATTAACTTAACTGCTAAAGTTTGACGGGGACAATAATTAAAATTAAATTATGATGGGGCAAGTTCTTATTTTATTATAGGCTTCCTCCAAACTATAGATTGGACATTGGATTGTTCATAGTGTCATTCATTATTATTGTTAAATAACTGAAAGAAATACATATTAAGACAAATATTTTAAAGAAATATTTAACTTAAATTTAAAATAAAATAATGCTTAATATTTTTGAGAGAACTAAGACAACTGGAAACAACTCGAAAACATCAATTTTGGTTCCTAAATTTTTAAACCATTAGCAATAACTGTTCTATATAATGAATTTGTTTTTATAACCCCCCTAAATTAAATTGCATGAAAATTTAAATTGTTTAATCTTCGTTTTTTTAACTTTTAAAGAAGAATTGCTGAAAACTGTTTCAGAAGTCATGCATGTGGGTTTTTCGTGCTTTTGGCCTTTCTATAATATGTCTCTAGACTAAAGGGAGGGTGGTGAGTGAAAAATTGCAAATCCTCGAAAACTTGGAAATGTGTGTAAAAACAGGGACAGCTACAAAAAGTTAACTACCGTGCAAATAAATAATAAACAGCAATTAACACAATTTTTAGGTAACATCAATCCTGCCGGAACAAACAGACAAAAGACAAATTGGCTTTACCAATAGAACAAAGGGGGCGCCGGTATGAATGAAATCTCGACTGTTTCTCATTCAGCAGGCTTTCTCATAAAACTTGCAAAAATAGAAGACAAGAGAATACGCATAGACAACAAATAAAAAAATAACTACCATGGTGTATCAAGAAAATAAATTAAAAATGCGGCTTAAACATGAAAGAAGCACATTTGCAAGACATATCATTTTAAATTACAAGCCCTACAGAATAATTGTTAAATCATCTCCGCTCAATACATGCTTAAAAATGCACTATATTTTTTTTGTTAATTAAAACTGATAAATACGATCTATTAAATGAGAAAAATACAGGGGGATGGTTAATTTTTGAAATTGTGAGCAGGGAATATCAAGTTGAAATTTATAAAAGTAAGTTTGATACTTGCTTATCTTTTAAACATTATTTTGACCTGGTTCAACTATTTCCTTCAAAGTGAGAAAACTACCAAAACCCAGAAAAACAAGAATAAAACGACCAAAA